ATGAATTAATGAATAGATTTAATTTTCACTTTATTTAGCAAATATTCACAGAAGTGGGTTCCTTTAGATGAAACAAAGAATCAACAGCTATGAAACAAAGCATTGTGCTACTTAAAGTCTTTAATAATAATAATTATAAAAAAAACTTATGGTGCTATTCAACTCAGAGTGAGTTCTCAAAGCATGTAACAAAAGTTAAGTATAATAACATATGAATTTAAAATATGATTTTTTTTTTTATTGAAGCACGATAATAATAATAATAATAATAGCCTAATAGTCCACTCCAAATTTTATTAAACCGAAACGGAAATTCTTTTTGCCCAATTGATCATGAGCCCGGCAGCCACTGAGCAGCGCCAGATCGACGTTGCTCTATTCCTTATTGTTGAACACCAAACAAGGTAGCAACAACTCCCATCTTTTAACGTCTTTTGGTATGACGCGGCCGGGTGTGTGGCGGACGCTCTACTGACTGAGCCAACACTAGACAATAATGACTATGCAAGTTTTGTAACAAGTAATAGACAAAAAGACTGAAGAAGATTCATGACATCACAGTGACTTCAGCACATATCCTCTGTTATGAGTCAGAAGGGCGTTTAACTTTGTGTAAAAGAACGAGTTAATGCCCTTCTGGCTCCAAACAGATGTGACATATCCATTTCATCCGATACCCAGCCCCCAGGGGTTAGCAATGACGCTTATGTGAACCATGACTAACAAACTCTGAAAGCTCGAGACACTAATGTTTCTACATCAACTCCCATGTGATCTGATTAAACATTAAACCCATGCCCTTACTACTCAGGTTTGAATGAAATCAAAACAACCCGAGGTTATGTAACTCAAGTGATTCCTTGATTATAAATAAATAATCGTGTCTGTTCTGAAACAATGGAATGTCAGACAGTATACAACTCCTCACATCTATCCCTCCCCTACTCTTTCTCTCTCTTTCTCTCGCCCTCCCCCCTCTCTCTCTCTCTCTTTTTTTCTCTCACTCTAATTCTACCTATCTGACTTTCCCTTCACTATTCTTGATAACCAGGGACCCCTTTATTTGTGCTACCATAAAAGTCATACAAAAAGTGTCCAGCTTTTGCTTAATTGTGAGCTCTAAATGTCTCTGATTTCATTCACTTTGCAGATTATACTTTTATATTGTACAGCAAAACTTTGTACACTTCTATTCAGAACCGAATGAAATAAAATGGGGGAAAAAAGGATAAGAAATTGAATGTCAATCAAAGGTCATAGAATACCCTCGTCAGGTATGAATGAAATCCAAATAACCAGAGGTTATACTGTTTGAGAATCTTCTCTATCTCTAGGATGTCAATCAAGATTATAACCAATGACTGAAACATTCCAATATAATAATAATAGTAGGTTCTTGTCCAGCGCTCATATCTGTCAGACTTGACACTCCTGGTGCTCCCGATTATTACCCTGGCTTGAGCATGGCTGCCATTACGACGCTCTAGCATTTCTGGGAATGAATTCCCTTCTATTCACAAAGCAAAAAGTAATCTTGAGTTCTGGGAATGACCCGTTATCTTTTCACAGAATCATACAAAATTGCACTGAATGCTCAAGACTACATTTGCCATCTATTTGTAGTTTTGAACAGTCAGTTCATATTTCTGCACAATAAAGTCATACAAAAACTAAAAACAAATGGATAAGTTTGAACATGTCATGGTAGCTTTTATTAATAAAACTCAATGGACATGGTAGTCAACAAATGATCATGATAGAGTACCGAAGCTGTGACGTCATAAAAATCTATTTTTAGAATTTCTCAATTTTTTCTTCATTTTCCGAAAGAACATCGAAAATAATGTCCAAATGTCGAAAACTGAATATGTTAAATATTGGCTGAGATATGACCATCTGAATAAAGATACTCCCCATAGGAACTCAGTGTTATATGCTCTGGCTCCTAATGGTTAGGAGCCAGAGCATATAACACTGAGTTCCCATAGAACATATATTCATTCGGATGGTCATAACTCAGCCAATATTTAACATATTCTATTGGTTTTCTACATTTGGACATTATTTTTGGTGTTCTTTCGGTATATAAAGAAAAAATTGAGAAATTCTAAAAATAGATTTTTGATGACGTCACACTTCACCACTCTATAGTCAGCCATGCAAGAATAACACAACAGCAGGAAATATAAGCAGGAAGATCAGAGAACTAATGGAGCAAAACAGAGTGAGTGAGGAACTGATAGATATGGATTCAAATGAATATGGTTTATCAATGTAAATAAATTAAAAAGAGTCATGCATGATTGAGTAACTCTTAAGGCTTGTTCAGATTTGACACAACAAACAACAAATCCACCAGTGTTGCTGCGCAGAAAAAAGGACTTGCACGTTTTCACTGAGCTCTATGTTTTAAGATACAGAAATGTATACCGGTATGTGTATTAATGCGTATTATTACCCGTATCAGACATCTGAGCTGGTCATTTACAAAACCGTATTGCTCTAGTTTTCACTAGCAGTGGGGAACGGAAGGGTATATTCTTTGTATTTTCCTTGGTCTCCCTGCGCGTTTGACTTTGCGTGTAGAGACGAGTGAAAATATACCTTGGTATTTTCCACGGTCTCGCATCCGGGCATCTTGTATTGACCGCGTCGCATTTTCATTGCGCATCTATTATGCGTACGAGAACCTGCGCACTTTGCGCGCACTCTATTGTGACGTAATAATCACACCAAATACACACTGTTTGCAGTGTATCAAAAATTTTGTCAAGCACTGGATGCACAGTGTTGGTTTGACAAAGTTTGTTCAGTTCTTGAGATTGTCATGGTGAATGTCTGTATTTGCTCTAGATGTCTGATTTGGATAACAATAAAAATATTGACTGGCTTTACTTTCGGGGGATATCAGAAATATTGACCGCGCTAAGACCATATTGCCCTCGTCTTTCGACTCGGGGCAATATGATCTGAGCTTGGTCAATATTTCTGATATACCCCTCAAGGCCAGTCAATATTATATAAATACACTTCACATCATTTTTTTTTTTGAATTCAGCAATTTTGCTGCGTCATATCTGAATAAGCCTTCATAAGGGCTGGTCCCATAATAAAAATATAGTACAGAACAATACGTAGAGATGGTTCCTAAATTGGTCTTCAAAAATTTAAGTGGAAAAAATATGGGACAGTGTTGTTGCTTGTCCCATCCCAACAAGTAGTACACATGACCCTATAGCATTTTACATGATTGCTGGCATTGCTCAGAGAGATATCCCGAGGACAGACAAGACAATCTTATCATCAATACGCATGAAATACAGTAGGCTTGCGGGTGCACCATGTGAGAGAGAGGAAGGATTGAGGAGTCCCGAAAAGGACTCTCGGTAATCTTTCTTGAGGGTGTGTAGTCCTGAAAAAGACTGTTGGTGTAGTCTTGAAAAAGACTGTTGGTTATCTTTCTCAGCTTATAGTTCTAAGGAGAACTATAGCGCTTGGAGAGGATGAGTGGCGGGAGTGGCTCGACGTTTCGTACAGGTTGACTATCCGTCGTAAGGAGTGAGGACTCCTCAATCCTCCCTCTCTCTCACATGGTGCACCCGCAAGCCTACTGTATATCTACATCACCATGCAAGCCGACACTTACAAGCAGCATCTAATACGCATGAACACATTGTCTATTTAATTCTCTCAATCTCATAGGCTTTAATACATGACCCACCTGGTTCCAGAAGGCAATGGGCTAACTGATAGAACTCAACTGATTCCTCAGCCATTGCCAAACTGGTGTAGTAGGACTCCTCAAACATTGTTATACATTTGGCACAATTCATATCTATAGTTATCATAATGTGACCAGCCCTTTAAGTTACTATGAAACTTTCATAAATAGCATGCAAAATCAGTTAAAATACAAGTGTAATGAGCAGCAAAATATTAACATAGAAACAAAGAATTATTTGTATAAAATCATGAGAACAGTCAAAACTGACACATCTTGAACTCAATTCGGTGATTGCCAATGAGATGTACACAGTAGAAAACAAAGTTGGTTTAATGTGACTAAAGCAAATAAAATGCAATAATAACAACCAAAGATAATTAGTTACCATGGTTAACTGTAACATACACAAACAAAACAAGAAAAGATGAATTAGAAATGCTTGGCATGCATATTATCTTAACATCTTCAAAGCCACTAGTGACTAGGCACTTCTGAAGAAACCATTGGCATTGCACTTTCTCAAGTCAAATTTAGGCTTTTAATCAAATTTCACTTCACTGTAAAAATTGACTTTCGACTTTCGCCTTTTATCAAGTGACGATCTGTATCAGCTTCTGTTTCATCAATACAGAGTTCAATTTATCGTAGGTCCCTAATATTCTTGAACAAGATTTGCTGACCATAGCATGGAAGAGTTTAAAGAAGTTCGAAACAAAACCCCTGATGGCTTCTAAAAATCTAAAAACCTAAAATCCAATAATGATAACGGTGACAATAAATATAAATCATTGAGTAAAGTATGATTGTGAACAAGGCACTCCTGGCAAGAATCCAAACACGATGCCACTGAAAGGCAATACAAAGAGCTAAACTTTAACTTCAATAAATAATGTTGTTTCATAATAAAGTGTTTTAGCATGGTTCTTTCCTATTACATAATAAATTGTTCCACTCAATAGTATAGGAGACATGAAAGGGATCTGGTAACTTTGTCCCAGATTCTGAAACAAAATCCTGGATTTAGCTCATGCTGCAATGATAATTATAAACCTTTAGGTCAATCAGGAACCCCATTACTTTTACAAGCCGATCGCCTGTCTGATTATCAAGATATTTATGATTGGAAATAGAAACCAAATTTTGCGTTTTCCTAACAGTTTTCATAACACTACAGTCTATTGGGGAAAATGAGTATGGTAAAACTGGTCACTCAAAGATTTTTACTTTTTTGAGGCACTTCTTGATCATTTTGAAGCGCAATTTTTTTAAGGGCTTCAATATTACACTGTATCACAGACGCTGATAACACGTAGGGCATTGCATCTCAGATTTAACATTGTTAATCGATGCCTTAAGATCTTTAAGCAGCCTCTAATATGAGGTAAAGCAGACAGCAGTATTGGAAATGAATCCATGCTGAAACCTTTTTATTTCATCCTTCCAATGATGACCTGACATCAATCAAGGTATGACGGATACCACAGAGGTTATCCATTCAGGGCATCACTGTTTCTTTCCATCGATGACATACATCAATACACCTTGATACTGGCCACTCCAGGATTGAATACATGATTAATATGTTATTGCACTGTAAATGCACTACGTCTTGTCATCTTCCTTGAGACATTTATGCATGAGTGAACGGATAGCCCTAGCTCGAAGCTCTAGTTCCAGGACTTCAAGCTCAGCTTCTCCAGAGTCTTTTTTCTCTTCTGGTGCGTTAGAGGTCAAAGGTGATGTGATCGAGGCGCGGGCAAGAGCTAGCTGAGAAGGCTGTCCAGCAGCCTTGGACATATCAACACCTAAATCTAATGAGTCTAGATTGATATCATCATCATCATCATCATCTTCATTGTCCTCGCTATCTTCATCACTATCATCACTATCATCTTCATCATCATCACTGTCATCTTCTTCGTCATCATCATCCTCTTCACAGCTCATTTTGCCTGGATATGTTCCAGCCTTCTCTCTGGTTTCCGCTTCTTCATTCCCTGCTGCTACATCTCCACAGCTCTGAGAAACAGAACTGATGCTTTCCGCTGGACCACTCTGACATTGTACCACCAAGTCATCATCATCATCCACACCAGGAGGAGCAGCATCATCCTCTAGCTTACCGGTCACAGAAACACATGTCATCTTACCTGGTACCTTGTGTTCTAAACCCTTTCTACCACCTACTAATCCTTCTAACTTTCTCCTCATCTCTTGTTCCCTACACCTCCTCTCCTCCAAGGCTTCCTTCTCCTCCTCCTCTTCATCTTCTTCACTCTCCAGCTCTAGAATCTCTCTGATCTCTCCTGATGACAAGCTTCCGCTGGGAGTGGGCGGGGTCGGATACCTCATCTGGATTGCATCTGGTAACAGGAAAGGGATATTATCACTAGTTATACCAGGATGAATAAATAACTTAAAAGCCCATTCGTACTAGTTTGGCTAGGAGGGATTATACCACCCAGGAAGGTCACTGAAAGGTGGCTATCTGATCAACTCACCTCTCAATTAGCATAAGAAAAAGAGAATCATGGGGGACCAATGGTCACCGATTAGGTATTGTTTTCTATATAGAGGGAGCAAGTAGGTACAAATAGTACAGTGGGCCTTTAAACTCTTAAAGAGGGACAGGTAACAACATTTTAATGTCTACCACACTTCAATCAAAAAGAGCAATAAAAGGACAATGGAGCGCTGGTTTCCAAGAAGCATGATTAGTGAAGCACATTGAAAATGAAGATGAATTTATGAAGGTGTGTTTATTTTAAAAGAAGTAAACCAATATCTATGTCGTGGATAAATGGAAATGAATATTTGGTAGTAAATTGCAAGTTGATTCTTTGTACAATTGTGCAGGTTGGTTAAAATATGAATTAATAAAGGTGGATTTAGTTTTAGAAGTTATCCAATATCTATGTCGTGGATAAGTGGAAATGATTATCCAGTAGTAAATTACAAGATGTGTCTTTGTACAGTTGTGCAGGTTTGTTTATCTCTACATAAAAAGCTTTGAACATTGATCTTAGAATCAAAGCATGAGAATGTTATCCTAGCCACATATTTATTCAAGAAACTGAAATAAGCTGATCATTAATGTAATGAAAGAAAACCCTAGATGCACAGTCCATTTATTAAACATATTGATGTGTCAAGCACCCCTACATTTATCAATCATTCATAAAGTTCTTCACCTAATTCTGTTATTTCAATCTCACATAAATGTTTCATGCTCAGGTGAATAAAGGTGAACTTGATTGATATAAGCTTCTACTCATCAAACATTGATAACATGCCTACAAGCAATGCAGTCTGTGTTGTGAAAGAGAGTACTAGGTAAGCACACTGGAGCTCATAAAGTATTTATTACTACCTCCAACATTCTACTGCATGAGTTTAACCCTTATGGTGCTGTCAGGTTTACGACTAGTGTTGTAACATTACAGATATTTCCAATTCCGTTTAACCACTTTTTTTTGTGTGGAAAATTAAAATAAATCACAATATTTACAAATAATTTAGTTCAAAATCAATGAACATAAACAGAGACTTTACTGTTGGGCATGCATTGGAACAATAAACAAAGTGAAACCCAGTCATTATTCCAATGCATGCCTGACAGTAAAGTCTCCGTTTTTGTTCAATGATTTTGTTTTTTTATTATGTACATTATAATGTGATTTCTTTTGATTTTCCAACAAAATTTTTTTTTTAAAGTTAAAATTTAAATTTAAATATAATTTTTTTTAAATAAATAAGTACAAAAAAAAACTGTCAAATTAAAAATGGATAGTGCCATAGACGGTCGGATACCGGACAGTTAAAACGTTTGACTACAGCGCTATTTACGGCCATATGAATCATTAAATTCTTGAAATCATGATGCAAATTTTGAATTATACTGTCTTGCATCGCTATTCTTCTGGATACTCAAACCATTCATGATATATAATTTCAAATTCATTAATCTGCATTGAGTTTCAAAGTAAGCTAAGCTTTTATTAGATGCAATATATATAATATTGGGTAGTAGTGAAAATCTTTTAAAAAATAATTTAACTTAAATCAATTGTTATCAAATTAATGAGTGTTATAAACTTATCATTTCTAAATGGATAAGTCAAGAGAGAAAAAAGTTCAAAATGTAGATGTTTTCAAGAGAATTAATGCACAAGTTGGTACAGGATGAGGCAAACAAATATTGATGACATATCAACATTTGCAACACATTTCAAAGTACAGATGAACTTGAGCTTGTGATTCCTTCCTTATGTCTTTACATTCATAAGCTAGATACTACTTTAGGAAGTAATTTTGATTCATGTCCTGTTCCTCTGAACTGGTACATCATTATACATTGACAACTTATAAAGCACTCTTCATCTCTGGCAGCTACCTACCAATATACTTCATACTTTCTGTACTAATGTCTTATTATCTTTGTTTTGCCAAATTACAAAAATGAAGTGTTTCTCGTCCTCTTTCTTTAAACAATTTAATATTTAGAAATAAATAGCAAAAAAAAAAAAAAACCTGTGATATACATTTTATTTAAATAGCTTCTAAAGCTATAATTAGCATGGCAACCATCTTAGAAAAAAATTGCAAAAAAGTAAATAGTAATGCCCTGCCTCCTTCTTTTTATTAAAGTCCGCATGAGAAACAACTCTGCAGAAGGAGAAGCAAGACTTTAAGGGTTGCACAATATAGTTGGACTAAAAAGAGCTACCCTTTTCATCTGCAAAAAGGGAAACAGGTACATTGTAAGAATGTACTTCATTGTTAAGTGGTTAAGTTTATTCCCACAGAAGATATCTTATGTGCAGTTAAGCAACTGAGCAAATCAAACAAAGCATTGCAAGAGAAAGTTCAACTCTTGAATGTTCATTTACGACTATTGTACACAAACTTTGTGGAAGAGATGGGGTAAAACTACTTTAGGTAAACTAAAATAAGACATAAAGTAAGACATAAAATGGAATGAATGGTAAACTCACCAACATGAGGTGGAGGTGGAGGTGGAGACGGGGGCAAGGGAGGATCCACAGGGAGAGCTTCCTTCCTTCCTGGAGACCTGCTCCTGGTCCTGGATCTAGATCTACTCCTGGACCAGCTACGAGACCAGCTCCTAGACCGGCTCCTTGAACGGCTCCAGGATCTCCTCCTAGATCTAGAACGACTCCTTGAGTAGCGCCCTCTTGAATGACTCCTTGAAGACCAGCTTCAGTTCATAAAGAAAAGAAAAAAAATTAAAAAACGATGTACATTGATCAATACGACTACAGGGTGATTCCGTGATTGTGTCATATTATTTTATTTCTTTTAAAGAAATGGACAAAGAATCACTTAATAAGACTTTGGGTTAATATGTCTAAATTCTGGTATCATCATAACAGAAATTTAGAAACTTTATTAATAATAATAATAATAGTGGGTTCTTGTATAGCGCTCATGTCTGTCAGACTTGATACTCCTGGCGCTCCCGATTATTATCCTGGCTTTAACGCGGCTACCATTACGGCGCTCTAGCATTTGAAGGAATTAATTCCTGCCAGGTACCCATTTACATCACCTGGGTTGAGTGTGGTTGAGTATTACTGGTGTCTAAAAGTACATGGTACACACAATTGCCCTAAACATTTTAGGAATAACCTTTTTTTAAGTCTGGCAGTACAGAATTCCCACTCAATGATATATGTTTACCATCGGTTCAATAGATACCACTGATTGGAATTGCATCACAGATAGATTTTGACAACTTAGACAAATGGTTTCGATTTTTGATTTTAATCCATTACTATTTTTTGAGTGGGTGAAACATATACCATAATTGGCTTTGTACATTCAAACAGTATGGGCTCAACCATTGGTTGCCATTGGTTGCAGGAAAGAAACAATTGAAAAGCTGTCTTTCAAAGGTTCAACTCTATATAATGGCTCAAAACAACTGATCCGTAGAGACATAATTCAGATGTATGCAGTAAACACATACATGCCAACATTTGAAAATCAGAAATCTGTACAAATTATGCTATTTTCAAAAAAAAGAGGAACAATCCTAACTCTCCTATTCAATACTACAGACAAATTTGTACAGGAAGAGGAACACCTGCATTAAAATGATAATTATCTTCTCCCAAAAAGAGGAATGTTCCTCTTTAATCTGAACAGTTGGCATGTATGCAAACATCATAAGCAGAGGAAAATCACTAAACTTGATTTACCTTCTTCTTCTTCTTCTTGGTGATCTACTTGTTGATCTCTGATGAGTTGATGATACCTGTGAATGCTTCTCTGTGGATCCTATTATACAAGGAAGAAACAGCATCATGTTGTGCAAGTCAAGCTACAGCAGGTTAAATGCAGTGAAAAAAATACATGGGGGCTCGGGCGAATTAGCCCCCCGAAATGCTCAAAAGAGCCCCCGAAAAACATAAAAGAGCCCCAAATTTTGTTCATAGAGTTCAATGCAAAACAAATTAAAGAGTGTTATTTTGATGCAAGCAAGCTTGAAAAGTAGCCCCCAAAATTGTTTAAGTATTTTTTTCCCTGGAGGGGGGGGGGGGGGGGGGGGGGGGGGGGGGGGGTAACCAACAGGTCTCCAGAATGACCTCAGCTCTCTGTATGGCCCACAGTAATACAAACATCAGTAGGGTCACACAAGGCCAGCCATGACCCATCTGATTATGACAATTTCTATAAACTCTATAGAGATTTATAGAGTAAATAGTCTTTTACTGGTAATTTCATGAATAATTCATCTTGACTAAGCAAAGGGAAAGAAATTCCTGGAGTAGCTAGGCAGAAGAAAGGGGGATTGAGATTGCTTGACAATTGTATTCCCCTTTCCAACAATATCTACAGAATGAAGACCTAAAGACCGCAATGAATACAACAAGAGCACGAATAGAATCAATGACTAGAGTCATCTTCACCTTTACTCTTGGTTTTACTGGTATCCTTTGAAGGCTTAGCTGCTGTATTCGATACACCATCTCCAGAGCTGGTCTTGACTGCCCTGGAACCAGGTTGAGCTCCTGATTTACCAAACGCTAGTTCCTCAATGTTTACATCAACCTCCACGGGAACACCATCAATATCCTCCGCCTTGCTCTCCATGCCAACTTTCTAGGATTAATCAGTGTGGAACATATTTATCATTATTCTCAATGTTTGTGGTTCAGGCAGAGAATCTGGTTAAGGTTACTCCATGCAAGTTACATGATAATTGTTAACTGTAGGGTAGAACTTGCTGCTTAAAGCCACTTTGTCCTATTTGTAGCTACTTGCTCCCTCTATATAGATAACAATGCTGAATCGGTGACTATTGATCCCCCATGATACTCTTTTTCTTATGTTAATTGAGAACTGAGTTGATGAGATAACCACCTGTCCAGGGACCTTGCAGAGTGGTATAATTCCTCCTATAAACTTGTACACATAAGCTTTAAAGCAGAGCAACGTTTAAACTTTTTTTGTGCCACTAAGTTCTTTTACCATTGTCATAATATTAATCTTTTTTTCATAATAATATTTTAGTTCACTCCAAATTTTATTAAACCGAAAATGGAAATTCTTTTTGCCCAATTGATCGTGAGCCCGGCAGCCACTGAGCAGCGCCAGATCGACGTTGCTCTATCCCCTTATTGTTGAACGCCAAACAAGGTAGCAGCAACCCCCGTCTTTTAACGTCTCTTGGTATGACGTGGCCGGGGTTCGAACCCACGACCTCCAGGTTGTGAGGCGGACGCTCTACTGACTGAGCCAACACACCGGTATGAATCATGAATCATCTTTCAAAATTAAGAAGTTTTATCCATAATGGCTTCTTTCATTGAAAAAACGAATGTATGAAATATCTTCAATGTATATAAACTTTACAACATGATTTCGTTCAGGATGAAAAAAAATGACACCAAACACATTATTCACCACAGGAACCATTGCACAGAAGCACTTTGATATGCTGGGGATATTGTCACAACATTAATACACATTTAGCGTAATCAATCAGTTTCATTCTGTGAAGTTGTCTGACTAAAGTAAACACCTACCTGTGAATCAGGATGAGTGTTTGTGAGAGGCACGATGGTGCTATCCACACATGTCTCCATCTCTGCACCATCTTTCTTCTCTCCTTCCGTATTCACAGTAACATCTGCTTGTACTGAGGTGGTCGTCATAGTGACGGCTCCTACTTCATCCTCTGGAGCCGATTCATCGGAATCTGATGAAGACAGCATCTCTGTTCCTATTGGCAGTAATAATAATCAATAATAATATGTCTTGTTTACCCAGGGCAGCCAGATCAGTGATAAAATCAGTATCATCCCTAAAACCAAACGATCATTGGGAGATCGAGCATTTGCCTCAGCAGCTCCCCGATTGTGGAACAGTCTCCCAAACACGTGACTGTAAATCAATAGATCATTTCAAGGTCAGTCTGAAAACTTATCTAATGGCCAACTTTATCTAATGGCCAACTTTAAAGATAATCTGAAAGTTTGAGTGAAAACAGACCATCATAATTGATACAAATTGGGAGAAACTGGTCAATTCATGAATTCTCCAAACTATATTATTATAATTTTGTTTAATTTAAGGTAAATGTAAATTGTCACAAACCAATGAATTAGCTCTATATACCATTCCAAAAAAGTGTTGAAAGATTTTTTTTTTAAAGCCTGTTCTATGTCTTATTTTCATGGAAAAATGGTTGGAAATTCAAAAATTGGTTGGGAGAATTTACCGTTAGAGGGTGTCGCATAGTGATGCCTTCAAAGAAAACCATAAATATCTTTGTGGTTTGAGAATTTTTTCAGGATTTTGTGCATGTTTAGAGGGTTAGTACGGTAGAAGAAATATAAGTAACATTTCATACAAAAATTACAGTTTTTTCATCAACCTTCAACAATTTTACTGAGCCACTTTAACAAGAAGGTAATCACCTTTCTAGTTTGTTGTTGGAGGGGGGGGGGGGCTAGGGTAGTAGTTATCCAAAAGTGAATCCACTACCCTCCTCATTAGTTTGTTTCTATACTCAATAATATAACAATTGTAATACTTTTTGAAAATAATATATTTTCCTATGTACTCTGTTTATGGACATTATAAATTGTTTAAGTTACTATCGGCAATTCAGTCACTGGGCCAATTTTCTTCCCCCGAAATTCAAATAAACCAGTCACTCGAATTCAAATGTTTCTCCTAGACACACAAATCGTATTGAATGTTATTACCTTGAATGATATGCCTGATCCTCTTTCTTGACAATCCTTCTAACTGGTTCAGACATAGTCGCTTCAGCTCATCCAATGGAACATACTGAAAATACAAACAAAAACTGGTAAATGAGTGGCAAGAAAATAAACCCACTGTCATTTACTCATTATAAGCATCATGCCTTGGGTAGGATTTCAAGGATGAGCTGATCTCTTGGCATAAGTTTATTCATAACCTTGAAGCCCTAGGCAAAATATTCTGCTTTTGTCTTTCTCTATGACTTACACACATTCAAGATTAATAATAATAATAATAGTGGGTTCTTGTATAGCGCTCATGTCTGTCAGACTTGACACTCCTGGCGCTCCCGATTATTACCCTGGCTTTAACGCGGCTACCATTACGGCGCTCTAGCATTTGAAGGAATTAATTCCTGCCAGGTACCCATTTACATCACCTGGGTTGAGTGTGGCAAATGTAGATCAATGTCTTGCCAAAGGACATTAGTGCCGTGGCGGGACTCGAACCGCGGACCTTGTGATCGACAGTCCGGTGACATATCCACTCGACCACGACACCTCTACAATTGATTAAGTCTTTACCTTGAGTATATCAGGTACCATGTTGGTAAGCTGAAGTCCTGTGACTGCTATGAATGCTTCATTGATCAATTCTTCTCTATCATGGAGATAAAACTCAAGAGGTTGTTTCTCTTTGCTCAAATCCAAGTCCGAATCAACATCACTTCCAGGGCTGCTCTTCGTCTTCCTTTTACCTGTGATCTTTGACTGGATGAAAAAATAACAAGCAGACATTTATTAAAAGGGATCCGGTAACTTTAAAAGGGATCCGGTAACTTTGTCTCAGATTCTGAAACAAAATTCTGGAATTAGCTCAAGCTGCAATGATAATTATAAACCTTTAGGTCAGTCAGGAACCCATGACTTTTGCAAGCTGATCCCCTGTCTGATTATCAAGATATTTATGATTGGAAATCGAAATCAAATTTTGCGTTTGCCAAACGGTTTTCATAACACTACAGTCTATTGGGGAAACAAGTACCGGTATGGTAAAACCGGTCACTGAAAGATTTTTACTTCTTAAGACACTTCTTGTTCATTTTGAAGCGCATTTTTTTTAGGGCTTCAATATTACACAATATCACAGACACGTAGGGCCGTGCATCTCAGATTTAACATTGTTAAACGATGCCTTTAAGAAAGTTCATACAAGGAATAATAATATGGTCATTTTCAGCCAGGGTAGTAGCCTCGTCAGCAGGATAGTCTATAATGGGTTAAACACATAACAGTAACAGGTTTGAGTTTTGAGTGTACAGGTTTGAAAATTAGCAATTGGTTAATATTCATTCTCAACCGTATCAGACATCTGAGCAGTGGTTTTACAAAATCATATTACACTTGTTTATAATGCTAAGAGGGCTAAGCGGTCAATACGAGACTCTCTTACCCTCTCATGAAAATTCCTATGGGCTTTACATATTAAAAAGCAGTCAATATTGCAGTCTCATATTGATCGCTGTCTAACATCCGGGAACTTGGCAATCTACATGTACATGTAGGTGTGCAAACATTTTTCTTCGCAAGAAAAACTCGCAAACGAGTGCCATTTCCCATAGGTTCACACAATGAGCAGAGGATTGTTTCTTTTGTGGAAGTGCGCCAAGCTGATGGAACTTACTACAAGACAACTTCATTACAGAGCATTCGTGCAGGTATCAATACACATATGAAATTAGTACATTCAGAAATTATTGATATTATCACGGATGTAGAATTCACTAATGCTAATGTAGCATGTAAGGCGGCAACAATAGAACTAAAGAAAATATTTTGGAAATTGGGAGTTCGTCATGGATCCTGTCGAATAATGAAGCCCTACCACTACCCAGGTAAGTTTAATAACTTCCTTTTATATCAAGTTTTAAAATAGTGGGTATGAACATGTAAATGTATGGGCTGCTCTTAAAATTGTGAATAAGATTTCATTGCTTGCTCTAGACGTCTGGTGTGGATAATAATAAAAATATTTACTTGCTCTTACTTTCGGGAGATACAACATATATTGCCCTCACTAGACCCATATATGTTATATCCCCCTCATGGCCAGTCAATATTATATTAATATTAGTCATAAAACGTGTTTGAAAATGTTTCAAAATAATGTTCAGATTGCACTGGTCAGAGTTTATCTTAGAATCTTAGAGCTCTTAAAGAAGCCCTGAAGCCGTGCCACAACGGACTTCGTGCTTCACATAATTCAGTTCATGTTTTATATGTTTTAAATATTTCATATGTTTTATATGTTTTATATTTTTGTTTGTGGACTGCCCTTCCTTCGTATGAGGTCGTAGTATCACATATCAGGTTATTTCTTGAAGCTGGGTAAGTAAGTTGACTTGTGCATCATTTGGGCTTGACAGATCAGTCATCCCGTCAGGGGGTTTGAGAACAGGGCAGTTGTAGATGACATGGTCTGCCGTTGGCTCATCTGCACCACAAATGCATGCTGGTGATTGCCAAAGTCCCCAACGGTACAAATAAGTGTTGAATCTTCCTACCCCAGTTCGTAGTCTATTGAGTGTTACCCAATTCCTCCGAGGTAGCTCAGAGCCAGCCAGAGCTTTGATGTCAGGGGGAACAGTGAACTGCTGTGGGCGAACCGTCCCTTCCAAGCTCTTTTCCCACTATTGGATTAGGTTGAAGTCTGATCTGCTGAGGGCGGCTGCAGGTCGATGCGATCGAAGGCGTTGGCGACCTAAATCTTGGAATTCTGTCGGTATTTTGTTTAGGGAGTGATCGTCATCAGCAAGGGATGTTTGTCAGCTCTGCCCTGCTTATCAGTATGAAGAAAGATCATGCCGAGGGTCCCAAATTGTTTTTTAAGTATTGCGAGTTACCTATACAATTGGTTCACAACAAACAACATGGAAAAGGAATATGGTGTATGACATTGATTTTGCATATATTATGTAGATTTAAAAACAACTTCTTTTTCTGTTATATGTTGTTTATAACAGTGCCATTTGAATTGTGTAATCAATTCTTTTTTTTCTTTTTGATAATTGTTAAATGTTACACATGACAGTCGTACCTTTCTCTTTGCAACCTTTTTCTTCTTCTTTCCATCCTTAGATCCTTTTCTCTTAGTTCCTTTCTTCTGATCTGGAGTTTCTCCTTGTGTAGAGTCAGGTAACATATCTGCAATAATAATAATAATAATAATAATATTTTAAAGTCCACTCCAAATTTTATTAAACCGAAACTGGAAATTCTTTTTGCCCAATTGATCGTGAGCCCGGCAGCCACTGAGCAGCGCCAGATCGAGGTTGCTCTATCCCTTATTGTTGAACGCCAAACAAGGTAGCAGCAACTCCCATCTTTTAACGTCTTTTGGTACGACGCGGCCGGGGTTCGAACCCACCACCTCCTGGTTGTGAGGCGGACGCTCTACTGACTGAGCCAACACACCGGTATAAGGTATAAAGCCATAATTCAAAATTTAAAAATACTTTGTCCTTTATCTTTTATGCATTCACCTCCTAAGAATGCTTTAGGAAGTGTGAGGAGTCACACCTTGTTTTCATTTAAGTTTAGTCTACTTTTATGTAAAAAAAATATGTCTACATGTAAGTGTTTGATTTGAAACAACTTTTTAATATTTATATCAGTTATTAGTAAGAGCTGACTGCAATTCAGCTCAGTAATGTTTGTTTATAACAACCTGGTGGAATTCATGTACTAAAGTGAGTGATTAACCCCCAAATTATTGAAATTAACATATATTAGCAAAACGACTATAAACTTTCAACTTTACAAAGAAAAACAGACTGCTTTATAGGGATATATATCTCAATCTAAGATGAACAATTCTGTGATTACATTTTGCTTGTAAATTTTCCCTCCATTAATATGTCATTGTATAATGCAAATAGTATTATTACACTCTATATTTGGGCTGCGATGCTATTGGTTGCTTAATATCATTTCTGGAATTAATTTTTGTTCTTTGAACATAACTTGCTAATAATTCATTCTTTCTCTTATGACCATCTGGTTTATTGAATAAATATTGATATAAAATTTCAAAGGGATGGATTGGGGAGAGTCTATGACTCCTATTATCAGGCATATTTCCCAAACATATACCCATCACTGTTTAAAAAAAGGAATTATTTTCCAATTAAATACATATAATATTCTTGTGCTGAATTTCTACGAGCGCATCACAGTAAGAGGTACTGAAGAAAAACACACAAACCTTGTTTAACATCAGCCATACTGCTACCATTACTTCCTGCATAACAAATACAAAGAACAAAACAAAGCAAAGAAAAGCCAAGGTAACAAAGATAAATAAAATAGACTCTCTAATGACATTCCTACAATCTTCCATCAGTAAGATCCAGTCTAGACTCTAATTCATTAAATAAATCTAAGAAGACCTAGACTGAATACAATAGTCTTGGACTTTGGAGAAGTTTACATGCAATATTATTATTTTTAGAAATCGTTCAAGTTTTATGTTAGACATTGTTATAAATATAAACGCAATTGAAATGTTCATGTGCTTACTTTTTTTAAATCCAAAGTCAAAAGTAACAGTTTTATTTTTGTTATGCGTCCAGAGACTCCAGATGACGATTCCAGAACATTGCAGTACACAATACTTACAGTATATATGCTAGATTTTTCTGATCTTTTCTGATCGTTTCCACAACGTTTCTTTCACAATGCAATCGCATGACCATAACTGGTCTTTATCTTTAAACGCATCATACAGTCAATCTGGTACGTGGAACCGATGTATAATTATATTAACCTTGGATATTTAGTGTATTTAATTGGAAAATAATTCCTTTTTTTAAACAGTGATGGGTATATGTTTGGAAAATCAAGTTAGCAACATGCGGAATACCGCCCTGCTGACTCCAAATTCAGAAGATTAGCCTGTGCCTAAATTTTGAGAATAAATGCATCGGATATGAATCTGCTAAATTAAGTATTTTGGGCAAAGTTTGGTGGCTTGATTGAGCCATCAAAGTTTGCACAGCAGACCCTACGTCTATGCTACTGCTAGTACTCATCAAATGGTCGGCTTCTGTCTCTCAAAAGAGAAGACGATCCTACCTAAATACAAGGCTTACAAACAAAAGAGACAGAAATTTTCGGTATAGAGTCAGTAGAGTAACGACTACGGGGGTACGAGTAGACAACGTGAATCCATTTCATTTCAAATTCAGACCAAAAAATATATCACACTTAGATCTACTTAGTCGTTGGCACTAGGCCCCTACAAGTACAAGTTTAACTTTCAAAGTTTCAGTTTTAAGGAATACGCTCAGCCCATATAAACAAATAATATGTGACTAGATTACAGGCAAACTAAATCATGCACAAAATTGCCTTCACACACATAGTCCATGCAACGCGATCACGACAGCAGCTGAAACTTTGCCATCACAATTGAGATACGATCGCCGCCAGATGCGCCGGGGTGGTCAGCTCCAGCCGACCGATGGATTCATTTATTATTCCAGAGCTCGAGAATACTAACTCCAGGGAGCTAGAGCTCCGTCGCATACGTGAAATTATGTTGATTGACTTTGGAAATATATTCATAAGTATGACAGCTTGAGCAGAACTTTTTTTCTCCAAGGTTGGCTTACCTATAATCTGCAAAAGTACTTGAAACCTAAACAAGACCGGTTGACTATTGATATTGTAATGTGATCCCTTGGTTTTAGCTCATATGGTATCTTCAAATGACAAAAGTTATGAAAAGTCATAATAACATAATGTATTAAGAAAATAAAATAAGAAAAAGTAACAATGATAAAAGGTATAAGATTACTGAATATAGAGGCTTGTGTAGGTGCTATCTTATATACATATTTATGTATGGTGTGTATGTGATATAACAAATAATCTGCAAGTACTGTTAAAAAACACTCACAAAGCCCATGAATGTTTTGCTTACGATATTATTTTACGATACTATCTTAAAAGATAGATAAATATAAAACGAAATAAATTTATTTTTTTTAAAATCCAAAATTGAGAGATATAACACGTGCCGTAAAGTATTTTGGCGACAATAGTCAAATCACTGACTAATCGCCAATAACTCAAAACACAACAACAACATCGGCAAGCTAGCCTAATATGCGTCGGGTTTCTGTTCTTGTCTGGCAATATACCGAAAATGTCGGTCTCTCGTTAGCCTCTGATTTGGGTAGGATCGGTAGCACTGGCGTACCTATGGGGGGGGGGGCAGGGGGGCAGGGGAAAAAATGAAAAAGGGGAAAGAAAAGAAAAGAAAAGAAAGGAAAAGAAAGAAAAAGAAAAAAGGAAAAGGGAAGAAAAAAAGGAAACTAAGAGAAAAAAGGAAAAAAGGAAAAGGAAAGAAAAAGGGAAGAAGAGAAAAGGAAGAAAAAGGGAAAAGAAAAGGAAAGGAAAAAATGGGGAAATTAAGAGAAAAAGGCCATGGTCGTACGCACCAGGGGGGGGGGGGGGGGGCAGTTGACCCCAGATATTTTGAAAACATACAGTTTTTTCCTGAAAATGTAGTGTAGGCCTCAGGCGCGTACGCAGGGGGGGGGGGGGGGGGGGGGGGGGGGGGGGGGGGGGGGGTTGGGGTTAACCCCCCTTAAGTTTTTTTTTATGCTTTTTGGGAAAACCCCCCCCCCCCCCCTTCCTTCTTTTTTTTTTTTCATAAAAAAAAAAAAAAAAAAAAAAATATGCCAATGGCTGTGACCTTACCCCCCCCCCCCCCCGAACGGAACATGAAGTCAAATTTTCAAATTTCGAGACCAAAAAAAAAAAAAAAAACTGTCTGCTTACCCCCCCCCCCCCCCCCCCCCCCCCCCCTTGCTTGCTCGCTATGCTCGCTCACCAAAATGGAATTGACACAGCTAACGTGCCGGGGGGGGGGGGCAGTTGACCCCAGATATTTTGAAAACATAGTTTTTTCCTGAAAATGTAGTGTAGGCCTCAGGCGCGTACGCAGGGGGGGGGGGGTTGGGGTTAAACCCCCCCCTTAAGTTTTTTTTTATGCTTTTTGGGAAAACCCCCCCTCCTTCCTTCTTTTTTTTTTCATAAAAAAAAAAAAAAAAAAAAATATGCCAATGGCTGTGACCTTACCCCCCCCCCCCCCCCCCCCCAACAGAACATGAAGTCAAATTTTCAAATTTCGAGACCAAAAAAAAAAAAAAAAGTGTCTGCTTACCCCCCCCCCCCCCCCCCTCCCTTGCTTGCTCGCTATGCTCGCTCACCAAAATGGAATTGACACCGCTAACGTGCCCGCCCCAACCTGCAATAACCAGTTAATAATTATGTACCAAATGTTATTCAAAGAAGTTTTGGTGTGCTCGTGCTCGCCAAACGAAATTAACATCACCTTAGACATGATTGTGTAAGCCCTGCCTGCAACAAAAAAATCTGAAATTTATGAACCAATTATCATTACAAAAATTTTGCTCGCTCGCTACGCTCGCTCGCCAAAATAGAAATAACACCGCTTTTAATTATCACATCCCTGACATGGAACAATGAACCCAACTTTTATGTACCATATTTTCCCTATAAAAGAGAAGTGATTTTTTTCGCTCGCTAGCTCATGGAATTATGTGCCCACCACTAACCTGCTACAACATCATTAAAAAGAGATATGTAGGGGGTTGCCTGCCCGCCAAAATGGGATTGACATTGCCTTAAACACGATTGTGCCCGCCCCCGACCTGCAACAATGAAACAAATTTTATGTAGCAATTCATTGAGAGAAAGATGTATTTTCGCTCGCTAGCTAAAATGGGTATAAAATCACCCTAAACACAATATTGTTCCCGCGCCCTGCATGGGACAATTGAACCAAGTTTAAGATGTTAGCTTCAATATCCGTCTCACATTCTCAACAAACATAAATCCGCACGAATCAACTTTTCACCTGGTTAAAAAAATTTACAAACTACAAATTATAGTTCATATATGCATGTTTTTATGTATTTTTCCAAAGATCTCACATTCTTGTCAAGCCACATTGACAAATTTTATATCAATAATGATCTAATAATTCTAGCATTGACAATAATGGTAATGATAATGAGGATACTACTACTGCTAACATATCTCTTAGGAATGCTCCTAATTGGTAAACTTTTGGGGGACATTATTCACTCTTATTTTGTTCTGTCTTTAAAGCCCCTCTAAAGTGCTGGTAGCCTTAAATTCGTCAAATATTTGATGGCAAAATTCCATTTAATTGTATCATAATGTGAAAGAGGATGTCATTTAAGATGGACCTTCTGCAAAGATCCCCCACCCCCCTCAAAAAAAAATGTGTTTGAAGACCAATATTGATAAAAGAATACATAATTTGGGTTTTCTGTTGTACTCAAAAAACCTAAATTGTGTATTCTTTCATCAATATTTGACTACAAACACATTTGTTTTGAAAATCTTTACAGAAATGTGTCTTTATAAATGACATCCTCTTTTACATTATGATACAATTGAAGTGAAATTTTGCCATCAAATTTTCGGGGCTCCCAACACTTTAGAGGAGCTTTAACACTAGAATGATCATTAATTCATTATTCCACATCACTGAACATTTTGACATGAACATTACAATTTATACAGTCACATTTACTTGATCAGTCCACATATTGTCTACAAAGGAATAATCATCAAACCACACTTTTCTGGTAAAGAAATTTTGGCTTTAACCCAGATAACAAATATCAAGTATGCAATATCTACTTACTGGGTGTGAGCTGACATTTCTTTGCAAATTGAAATAACTCCCAATACAATCAATACACTTTCCTTAGTATGATTTATAGACGTGCTTAACAAAATAATCGATGCTTTTTTGAGAAGAAGAAATTAATTCTAGAGAACAAAGAGCTTTTGTGGCATTAAAGTGACTCGGTAACATTGCCTCAGATTCTGAAACAAAATCCTGGATATAGCTCATGCTGCAATCATAATTATAAACCTTTAGGTCTGTCAGGAATCCCATGACTTTTACGAGCCGATCGCCTGTCTGATTATCAAGATATCTATGATTGGAAATCAAAATTTCAATTTTCATTTTCCTAACGGTTTTTATTACAATACAGTCTATTGAGGAAAATGAGTATGGTAAAACCTGTCACTCAAAGATTTTTACTTTTTTGAGTCACTTCACACTCATTTTGAAGCGCAATTTTTTCAGGGCTTCAATATTACACCATATCACAGACACTGATAACACGTAGGGCCATGCATCTCAGATTTAACATTGCTTTTAAGAATATTTTAATGATTTGATTTTAAAAAAAACTTCATTTGCATTTAGCGCCTTGAGCATTTAATCAAAATGGATAATGGCGCTATATAAATCTCATGTATTATTATTATTATTATATTATTATGCTGTAAATGAATAACACTGCTCTACCACACATGATTATTATAATTTCAATATGTTTGTATTTTATCATTACACTTTTGTGACTTCCGGAAGGAAGCATCAAAGCAGAATAAAAGGTCTACCAAATACATACAATCAATTCCATCATCTTAGTAACAAGCTCTCTATAAAGGCCATCTGTGTACAGTGCATGGCCATGTAGTGTGTCTCCCTCCAGACAGAATACATGTATGTGTTGTAGAACCTGTCTAGAGAGGCCATCTGTGTACAGTGCATGGCCATGTAGTGTGTCTCCCTCCAGACAGAATACATGTATGTGTTGTAGAACCTGTCTAGAGAGGCCACCTGTGTACAGTGCATGGCCATGTAGTGTGTCTCCCTCCAGACAGAATACATATATGTGTTGTAGAACCTGTCTAGAGAGGCCACCTGTGTACAGTGCATGGCCATGTAGTGTGTCTCCCTCCAGACAGAAATACATGTATGTGTTGTAGAATCTGTCTAGAGAGGCCACTTGCTTTACAGTGACCACTTTTCTGTTTGCCTTGGTTGACCTTCAACAGGGGGGTGTTTCATAAAGCTGTGCGTAAAGTTACGCTTGAATTTATGAATGACTTGACTATGAAGGGCTAAATGGGATTCTCAAATCCTTTTAATTGCATAAGCTAAAGTTGAAATATGCTGATGGCGGTTAACTTTATCATTATTAACAACAATTTTTAATGCAAATTGTATTTTTGGCTACAATTTAATTGAAATTATGGGAAATACAGTTGCTCTTTGTGAAAATGTCAGGAAAAACTTGGGCATCCCATTTGGCTCTTCATATTCAAATCATTTGTAAAGTCATTCATAACTTTACGTACAGCTTTATGAAACACCCCCAGGTTTGACTGAACTTTAAGATACATTCTGCTCTGGAAAATAAGGGGTTCATGCTAGCCTAGTATAATAAATAAATCACAATATCATCTCGAAGTATTACTCGGCAAAGAATTACATTTATGGTAAGTTTACATAAACACTGAATACATTTAATATAGGTAAAACCTAATTTTGAAACTCATGATTTGAAGTATCAATGACCATTTTTGTCGCTTCATTATCTTTTGCATGTATTTGTTCCTTACTTCATCTATTTCTTGTAATTATATATTTTCTTGAATATTACTGTAACGCCAGTGGAAACCAAATTTCTATGTAACTTGTTTGCAAAAATCAAATAGAATATCTTGTATCTTGTATCTTGTAAGACTTAGATGACATGCATGCATACACACAGAAGTAAAATAAAATGCAATTCCATTCAAGTCTTGATATGACTATATATTTTGAAACCTTACTTTACCAATACTGGGCCAAATTTATTATGATTTTGATGACTCCAGAACCTTGCAGTACACACCAATACTAAAATGCTACATGATCAACTTTTTCTGATCCATTTCTTTCACAATGCAATCGATGACCATAACTCAACTGTACCTTAAAAATAAGCCATCACATTAAAATTAAGTCTTTGAGAATACATCAGATATAAAATGATCGTCTTTGACATCATCATGCAGGGTTGGCATTCCTGGAATGAAAGACACCGGGTCATGTGACTTGAGGGATGATCTGCCAACCTGGGTCCCGTTTCACAAAACTTGTCATCAGTGGCAAATGACAATTTTCGTTATAAGCTACTGAAATCCTTGCTTCTGATTGGTTATCAGCAGATTTGTCACTAATATTTGTCATTTGTGATTGAAAAAAGGCTTTGTGAAACACCCTTCAGGTAACATTAGAGTTGTCATCATATCTATGAGCAACAATGCCTACAGGAAAGATCTGTGATGTCAAGAGGCGCGATAGCCCAGTCGGTAGAGCAGTGGTCTCGTAATCTGGTGACTCGGGTTCGAAACCAAGACGATGCGCTAGTGCCCTTTGGTAAGGCATTAATCCTCATTACCAGGTCCCTTGGAGAAGACCTAATGCTGTCGGTGTTCTGGCATTTATTGCTTTCTTAGCTGTCAGGTAAAATAATCACCACTATCATACAGCCTTGCAGGCATCCATTGCAACGATGAAAGACACTGGGGCATGCGACCTCAAGGATGATTGTCCAACCTTGGCATGGTTTCAGGACAATCTGTGAGGACACGTCACACGAGGAATAATGGTCTTCAATGTCCGTATCATGTTAACACATCTCCAGTCAAGACTCAAATGATCCAGGGAATGTACTCTCTTGTTACTACGACAACCATCAACATCCTTGGAAAGCATCTCACCAAATTGCATAAGGGCCCTTGATGAAAAGGGAGAAAGACTGTTTGAAACAAAATAGAAAGAAAACAGACGAAAGATTATACCAGGGAGAATGACCATTTTGTTGTACTCAGTTATGAATATTTATTATTATTATTATTAGAGCTGAGAGCCATTTACCATAACCAGTACAATAATTTTTGAAGTTTGTGAAGTTTTAGTTATTCCACATTTTACATAAAAAAACAGCATATATTCTTTTTTAATTTTTTTTTATACAGGCTTATATTATTATAAGAGTAGATTTCACACAAGAAAAAATTAAAAAATTAAAGATTTCAAATCAAATATCATGTACGGAAAATAAGTACGAAATTTCAAAATATGTAGATATTACGGGCAAGGTAGAACAATGTAAAATGTGGGGAGCCTAAATAAAAAGCGTAGCTTGTATGTGAATAGGCTCCCCTACTGAGTAACACAATACAGTAGGTCTGAATTTAAAAGGTGTTAAAAATGGTACGACACAAAGTTTTAGTTTAGAACTACTCTTCCAAAAACATTATTGCACATTCCGGCTAGTGATATTTAACAAGATATGAAAAACTGTTCAAGACATTGAACTGAAGGCAAGGATGTACTGTAAGAAGACTTTAGACTTCGAACGTTCAAGAAGTTATTAGCAGAGATGGGTATTTGATGATAGTCCTCTTACCAGATATTAAGGCAGTATCCAGGCTGTTGCTTTGAGCGCTTTGAGACAGCAAATGCTCTGCTTAGAATAGCCAGATCTTCATCATCTACAGAACAAAGTTAAACAAGAATCATTACATGGCTTTAATACACGCTTCAAAGAAAAAGAGCATGAACCTGCTTGTCTTGCAAGGCCATGTTCTGAAAATTTGGGCATTTTTACGAAGGAATGGAAGAGGAGTTGATAAAACAAACCTGAAACACACACTCAAAACAACAACAATCATAGCTGTTCTAAGTTTTTGAGCGTCATGTAACGCCTGGCTGGAATGCTCCCCAGGGAGTGGAGATTGTGCACACATTGTGTGCGGGCAAGCACTGAATCCAATGACCGGGGTAATAGTATATTTGTAAAGCGCTTAAAGACATTTGTATTAAGCGCTATATAAAATTAAATATTATTATTATTATTATTTAAAAACCTAACATGGGTTCCCCAACTTCATCATGATGGCCTGTTTGTTGTTGAGACTGTACAGTGCGTCCCAGAAAAAACGAAACCGAGAATTATTGATGTTTTATCATAACTTAATCACAATTATAATTAATAAATGACACATATTTTTAAAGCTTAGATCCTCCTCTTTCAGTTGATGCAACTCATATGATGCATATTTCATGCATGAGTGATTGAAAACAATTTGAAGAAAGGGTACCAAAAAGTCATTTTTAGGGCGGTATCCTACCAACTTCAAATATTACTTTATTATGTAGAGAGATAAATGGCAAGTTAATGCAACCTGATGAATCCCACGCAAGCCTTTATGTAAACTCATTTTGCTTTTATGCTCTTTAAACAGACAACTGGGCTCTTTCCAATATTAGAAGATGAAACAAGATCTCAGCTCAGGGGGTTGTTTCATAAAGCTGTTCGTAAAGTTACGCATGACTTTACGAACGACTTGTATAAGAAGTGTCAGATAGGATGCCCAAAATTTGTCCTGATGTTTAAACAAAGAGTGACTATATTTCCAATAACCTCAATTAAATAATGGCAAAAAATATACTTTGCATTAAAAATGTTTGTTATATGTTAATCTACATCTGCACAGTTCAACTTTAGTTGATGCAGTTAATAATGATTGAGCATCCCATTTGGCTTTTCATATTTAAGACGTTTGTTAAGTAATGCGTAACTTTACAAACAGCTTTATGAAACACCCCCCAGGAATGACGGACAATTGTTAGAATTTTTAGAATTAATCATAATCAATTTTAAAGTATTTTATGTACATTTTAGAGGTGATGTTTGAACTAAATAAAAAAAATTACTTGGGGTGATTTGTTTCTGGTGATATTAGAGTTGAATTGTAATGTATGGATGAGAAACGGCTAACATGTACATGTAATACTGACCTAGTATACGATCTGAGAGATTAAGGTGTTGAAGACTACAGTTGTTAATCAGTGCATTCACTAGACCATCATGAAATTCTGTATCACACTCTGCAAAGAAAAGAGAAATTATCAAGATATGCAAAGATATACATTTAGTAAGAGGCTTTTAATAGTTCCGATGAAGAGATTACAAAACAGACATACAGAAAATACCAGGAAAATACACATAGAGTGAAACTGGTGTTAATGGCCATCTGTCTTTAAAGGCCACTTGAGTCTAGTAGTCACCAATATTGTTTCCCTCTATAAAGAGATGTTTGTCGTAGAAACTGTCTAGAAAGGCCACCTGACGACCATAGTGGTCAGATTTCCTGCTTTCCTTGGGTGGCCTTTATAGACAGGTTTGACTGTACACATTTTCAATTTAACAATAAGAGCCATAATGATTTGATCTTTGTTGCTGAGTAGGGGGAAAGCCACACTTTAAGTATGATGATTGAACTCAATGCTTAATGATGGTAAATGCAACTATCCAAAAACAGATGAAGTTATGACTTTAAAGATAAACTTGACTTCAGGTAAATATACTAGAAAATTAATTCTCACAGAATCCAACAAAACTTACACTGAATGTTCAAGAGTACAAATAAATGACATGTGGCAAACAATTTTGGTAGAAAAAGGATAGTGGCTGAGTAATGGGCATAGAAAGATAAGTAAATCCATGTAAGTAGGCCCGACACCATGTGCTTAATAACACAGGTCACTATGTGCAAATGGGATTTGTGGTTTTTATCAAAGATGTTGCCCAGTATTCAAGTTTTTGTGTGTTTGTTTTTATTTCACTGGTTCAAACAACCAATCTACTGTAGGATAAACAATCCAGGATATATCATAGCAATTTTCTCTCAAAATACAATTCCCAAACCAGAGCCCAAGATTAGCTTTAAGTTGATTCTTTTGTATTATCAATTTACATCACAGTAAAGAAACGAAACAAGTGGAGTTTTGTACAGGTTGATAACCTTCTTTACCTTTAATTGAGAACTTGCATTGACATAAATCAAGAGAGCGTATCCCCGAGTGTTGAAGTAAGGCTAGGAGGCCCTTCGGCTGAGATGTGGAATACCTGTTCCTCCTCACGCTTAACCTCTTCAGCATAGGAGAGTCTAAACAAAGTAAAGAACGGACAAACATATTATCATTTATTTACATAGGAGAGTCTAAACAAAGATCAGGCCAACATGTAATTCTCCAACAGAACATTTTCCCTAGAAAGTGAAACAACTGCTTTAAATTTAATTCCCAACTGTTTACTATTGTCTAGTGTAAATAGTTTGTATAAATTGAACTCACAACTAATGACAAAAAGAAGTCAAAAGAAAATGTAAATAAATTTGTAGATGAATACTACTTTAGATTAAAAATGCAACTAACCAAATCTTTAGTAAGAAAATGCAAATCAGAAATAAACACACACACATAGTGGCATGATGATTCCCGGAAGAAAATTCTTACTGAACACAATCGTCTTTTTAGAATTAATTCTTCAACTTATTGTATCATTAGCAATAAGATTGTACCCTTAAGCGCTCTCAATGCGACCCGTCACTTTCATAACATTTAAAAGTATCTACAACAACCCTGTGGGAAGATTGGTACTACTCCAAATATCCTGAGGGAAACTGACTGACATAGAATACAGAGATTGCATCTATAAATTCAAATTTTAAATTCAAACTTTATTGATTTCAATCCAAACAGATAGGATCATTCTCAATCTGTGTGTACATTGGATAACAAATCTCTATATAGATGCTGCTTGTAAGTGTCTGCTTGCATGGTGATGTAGATATACAGTAAGCTTGCGGGTGCACCATGTGAGAGAGAGAGGGAGGATTGAGGAGTCCTTACTCCTCACTCCTCAATCCTCCCTCTCTCTCTCACATGGTGCACCCGCAAGCCTACTGTATAAATCTCTATATGTCATTATGTCATGCAGTTATAATCACATTGCCTTGATGGATTCTTTTTTTCTACAGGGGGGGGGGGGGGGGGGGGGGGGGGGGAGTGAGGGGGGAGGGGAGTAATTTTAATTCCAGCTTACTTGCTGCAGCAGCTAACAGAGTATCCACCTCCACGGTGTCAAGTGAGGAGTTCTCCAGTAGGAGGTCAGTGAGGGCTGAATCCCTGCTTTGAATGGCACAGGCAAGGTCTGCAGGCGAGACTAACTGGTGGAGAGGATGAGAGTTGGAGTGGTCCAAGGTCAAAGGTCGACCCCAGCAGTTCAGTGTCAGGCAAGATGTGCTGGGAAGGTACTTGGGGAGATATGCTGGAAAACATACACATATATTCATGTATTAAGGTAAACCCAATATCGAGCTAACAAATTAAGAGATGAACATATAATGTAAAAGAGAAAGAAGAAAAGAAAAAACCCATACACAAAACCATAATTTGTTTATTTAATGAAAAAAAAGGAGGAAAATTTAAAGTATAGAAGTACATGTACATGATGGGACTGTACTCTACAGATACATTACTATCTTAACAAATAATGCAAGACAAGCACTGACCCTATATCAAGAAACCTGACAGCATGTTGTTCATTTTGTGCATTTTAGGAAGGGGAAAGTACCCTTAATGATAATAATAATAATATTCTGGGTTTATTTAGCGCTGAATACATCTATGATGTCTTTTCAGATATTTTATTACCCTGCTCATCGGTTTCAGGCATGCAAGAAAACAATGAATGCACATTCTCCATTCCCTACAGAGCATTCCAGCCAGCACCTTCAACCCAATAACTATTGAGTTATACCTTTTTAATGAACTTTCTAACACATCCCATTCACAAACTAGATGGATCTTTGACTGCGAAAGCATGATTATGTCTCAGGCTACTTTGTTGCGGATGCCTAAAACCATAATTCATGGGTTACTGGTAACTACAATTGAAGACCATTAATTATATATTAAAAAGGTTTTCACCTGTCATGGTCCATCCTATATTTACTTACAGTTTTCAGCAGCTTGGCATTTATGGCTTAGAAGGAGCTCCAACTTCAGACTCTTCATCTTGTGATTTCGTCTGTGAACAACAACAAAATATTTTGTGAGAAAATGAGGTTGCTTTTAAACGTGATGTTCACAATTTAGCAATTATCATGCTAGACCAGTTTCCAAGAATGTCTTATCAGAAGTCCATAGTGGTTTAGACCAAGATATATATCACAGATTGAATTTAACCTCCTTAATGAATCCTGACCATGGTATTACAAAAGACACAAATCATGACAGTTGGAAGACAAGAGGGCATTCTTACATGTGATAAGCCTCCAGCATCTCATTGAGTTTGTGTGCGCAGTACTGGCCAAACATAGACTTGGGTGTGGTTCTGTAAGTTTGGCTAAATGTTAGAGCCAGTTCTTGAAGTACTAGTCCCTTCTGTGCCCTCAAGGCAAGCCCAGACATGACCTCACACCAACCACAGGCTGGCATCACTGTCAAGAAGGAACAGAGAAAAAAGGGTGAAGTTAGCAAATCTTCCAAATACAGTCAAACCTGTCTACAGCAACCGTCCAAGGGAAACACAAAAGTGGTCTTTGTAGACAGGTTCCTTTAGTACATGTTTCAATGAGAACCCATTTTCAAGGGAAACAACAATGTGGTCCTTGTAGACAGGTGGTCACTAAAGCAGGTTTGACTGTACATGTATCTATGAGATAAAGAGATGCATTGTGGCATAATGTTGGATTACATATCATACAAGTTTATTGAGTACAATTGATTTGAATTAAACTTTTATTTTTTTCTTGTACGACATAGAGTGCAATAAGATTCATATTTCTGTATCTTATAACCTAGAGGTCAGTGAATAAGCGTAAGAAATTTGTTGTGCGTAGCTACCATACATTTACTGTACACATAAAAAATAAACGTGGCCTTTGTCATTGTCGCGGTTCTGAATGATCCTTTAGATATACCATGAAACTAAGTAATGTCCTGCCAATGTAAACTAACATTCACTCTGAACAATAAAGTAACACCAAAGAACAAGTGACTATTTGAAACATAGAGCTATCCATAGAACAGATGAACACACATGCAAAAATCAAAGGTTCAGAGTAGACCTACCTACCACACTGTATCAAAGCCAATGACTGTAAGGATGTGGATCTGACTACACAGTCAGCCAGAGCAGTACAGCTCTCAGCATTCAGTCTAACATAGACCAGGGCTAGGTTGGAGATGGAGTGGCCTAATGAAGGTCCAGGATCAGGTACATTCAAGATGTGCTGGAAATATGTGATTTCTACACAAAAAGTCAAGGAACAAATGCTAGATGAGAAGTGGTCCTATATCCTAAAAACCACAATATTTTATTCTACTTGAATGCAAGACAAATGCAGTTCTTTAACCTTTTCCTCCAGAGTTTCTGACAATTCACTTGTCCAATTTATGAGCTCTGTCTGCTATTAAAGGCATACATGATAAATGTATGCTACTGCAAGATCATAGATGAAACAGAATCAAATGAATGGGAAAGGATTTTTACATCTTTCTTTACTGCACTCGTTTGGCAAGGAGGGATTAGACCTCCCTGCAAGGTCACTGGCAGGTGGTTATCTCATCAAATCGGCTCTCAATTAATATAAGAAAAAGGGCATCATGGGAGATCAACGGGTACCGCTTAGGCTTATAAGTAGTGCAGTGGGGCTTTAAGAAATGTAACCACTTTGACTCAAAGGTCCTATTCAATAGATTACAGGAAAAATATATTTGGAACAGGATCCCAACACACCAAACTATCACTATATCATCAAACGATTAACTGAACCAACCTGGATCCACATAGTGACAGCACTCATCCCTCCAGAGGTCTTCAGGCATGGCATTGGATGTCATCACGCAGTTCATGCTTTCCTCTCCTGCTGCCCCTTCCTCACAGAACATATCATAAACATTCCCTGCCACTGGGATACATGCTTGGGCAGAGTCAGCGTCAGGGTCTGCATCAGTGTCCTCCATTGCACTGTAGAAGTCCGTCTTCACTGGTTCCTTGAAGCAGAAGTCGTACAGGTCTTCACTGAAATCATCGGTTCTCTGCGGACTGTTGGTTAGAGCGGTCTCTTGACTTTCTAATGAGTTTTCTTCTTCAAGCATACCAACAGTCTGCTCTGTGTTCACATCGTTCTCTCTGTCATCTTTCGCTCTTCCCAGCAGCAGCATGGCCAGCAAGCAAGCATAGTCTACAGATTCACCACGCATGATCTGCTGTTCCTTGAGATACATGGTCTCCAGATTCCCCCTGGCAAGTAGAGCTCTCAAGAACCTCTCCAAGGCTGACGTAGCAAGTTCCCTGTACTTGGTGGGGATTTGAACCCTGCACATGAGGGTATGTAGATGGTGCGCCAGTAGGCTAAGTGCACTGGGGGATCTGGTTAAAGCTATCACTGTCTTGATGTTCAGGAGTAGCTGATGGGGCTTGTATTGAATGATGTCTTCAGAATCCCTCCAGAAGGGATACTTCAAGATGGCCTTAGTTTCTATCACACAATGAAAGACAGATTAGCAAAGATTAATTGTATGTACAGGTACTTTGAGGAATGGCAAAATAATATTGGACTTATTAAAAGCAGTTCAAGTTCTAAAAAGAAATGGAAAAGAGCAAAAGAAATGTTAGGAATTTCCCAATGTCATAGATTAATTTTTTTACAATTCTTCAGTAATGAGTATGATTACCCTTTTCTATCTCCACCCTGGCTCTTTTTCACAGTAATTTACAAATCAAATACATACATGTAGATGCATTTAGTTGAAATGACAATAAATTCAATGTAACAGGAGAGATTATTCATTCAGCAACTAAACTAAACTTGTACAGTAGGCTTGCGGGTGCACCATGTGAGAGAGAGAGAGAGAGAGAGAGAGGATTGAGGAGTCCTGAAAAGGACTCTCGGTAATCTCCTCAATCCATCCTCTCTCTCTCTCTCTCACATGGTGCAACCACAAGCCTACTGTATATCTACATCACCATGCAAGCCGACACTTACAAGCAGCATCTGAACTAAAGTTCACAGAAATAAAATCTCTCTTTATTCATGAAGACTTTACCTTCATCTACGCTTGTTCTTGGGATTTCCCTGCCTTGCTCGATTGTCTCTGTGCGTATTTTTTCTAAATTCTCTTCACAAATCTTATCCATATATGTCTGATACCAGTCAACGTCCTGCGAATGAGGGTCATTGAGGGTTGTAGATAAACACGCATGACACTGCCAAAATGAATCATGGAGGTTTGACTTGAATTTGTGACGGTAGAACCAAAGAAATCGAGCTCTGCATCGATCCCGCCACATTGTTTGGATGTCAAGACCTACAAGAAACAATGAAATGTTCACAGGAAAGAGAAATAGAGAAGATAAAATATTATGAGATGATCAAATGTTTGAAACAAGAAACTATAAAGTATTATGAATTCAACATAATTCAGTATTGGATGGGGGAGAAAAAAAAATAAACAAAAAGAATATATGACAACATGTCACATGCTGGCTCAAAACTACCAACGATGGCAGGAATTAATTTATTGTCTTATTCATTTATGGATGTGTACTGTTATTACTTGTAGTAGTTTACATCAGAAGAGAGCCTACATTTATATTTCAGGGACAGTTATTTTTCCCCAATGAGCTTGAAAAAGAGGCCTAAACATGTTTGACGCAAAGCATTCTGAACTACATGTAGATGGATCTTCGACTGCTCGCAGGCGAAAGTGATGCCTCTGCCACAGAGCAATTATACAAACCAAAACAGAAACAATTTTTAAGATTCAAGCTTGATTGTAATCCATTAACAGGTTCTCAGAATATCGTGATTACAAGCTATTTTTCATATACATGGCTCTGCAAGATACATACATGTCCTGAGTTTGATAGTAATCCATCTGTCGGTTCTAATGATAATGCGATTACAAGCATTTACATTTTTGAATGCATAATCAGCCCCATGACCTTTGACCTAATGATTTTGATTGATTTATTCACAATTTGGACTACCGGTATGCACTATTATCAGAAGTTTTATCTCTGACATGTACAGTGTGGGTTTTTTTTCAGCTTGTAGATGCAATGAAGTAGAGAGTAATTTAGCTTCCAAAACCTCCAAGCAGCTTGAAACACTAAACACAAACAGATGCCACTTGGCCAGGGAAATCACAACTTTTTGACAAACATGTAAGAAGATGTCTAATGGATGATAGATATGTTGTTTGATGTTACCTTTATTGACTGCTATGTTATGGAGGAGAGCAAGCCTATAGTCATCACATAGAGGAAGCAGACATTTAAACAGGGCGTGAGACAGACCTATGGAGTAAAAAGGGTGAAACAAGTATAAGAACAACAACATAATGAAGATACAGGTCATTCCATCAAGCTGGGGACAGGATATAAGACATCGAAGTAGCAACAAAACATACATGTACTACAGTGTAAATTCATACATGACAATGATCTGATACAAATGCACTTATATATAATTATAGAAATATTTTGGTATTATTAATTATTAAATAGAAGAAAAGGTGTATTTTTCTAGTCTTTAAACCCACATTGAATTTTTATATCATATATATTTTCAATAAAAAAATGTTGAAAGGACATATAATTTCTAGATTCTCATGAATAAATTTCAATATTTGTTTCTAGCCTTCATAATTATATGGCCACATTACTCTCAAATAGGGAATTGCATCTGTCCATGGATGCACCAAAGAGGTTAGAAACAATCTTTGAGTAGGTTCATCTGAGAAGCTGAAAGTCTCAGTCACAAGTAAAACAACCTTTTTGATTGTGAAACAATAAAATTTAATTGAGGCGAGAAACAAGATCAATGTTACACTTCATATCAAACAACAACCAATGGAGCTGGGCATGTGTGAAAAGAGAAACTAGGAATAATCACTATGAACATGACGGAAAAAGAAAGAGGACAAAATACACAGTACCTCATTTTACCCTCAACAAGTGCTGTGGTAGACATAGGAATATCCCTTCACTGCTATTCTGTAAAATAAGTAGAACAGGTGAATATGCATGTGATACCTGTTCTACACATTTGTACATACCGGTAATAGCAGTGAAGGGATGTTCCTTTGTCTACCACAGCAATTGTTGAGGGTAAAATGAGGAACTGTATATTTTGTCCTCTTTCTTTGTCCGTCAACTCATGTTCATAGTGAATATTAGCTGGAGTACTAGACCATGCACAGAAGAAGAGATATATTTACCTTGTAATTCATTCCCAAGGATAGGAATAAAATGTACAACCTGATCAAGGCACAGATCCTCTAAGGATGCTAATCTCGCCTCGTCCATGATTTCCATGATGTTCTCATACTGTGAAATGATCAAAAATTCCCACAAAAACATGATAATCATGCAAGGAGAGAGAGACAGAGAGAGAGAGAGAGAGAGAGAGGGAGAGAGAGAGAGAGAGAGACAGAGAGAGAGAGAGAGAGAGAGAAAGAAAGAGAGTGAGAAAAAGAAAGAGAGAGATGGAGAGAGAGAGGGAGAGAGAGAAATTGAGTTTGAGTTTGAGTTTGAGTTTTATTATCCAAACAAAAAGTACATCAATATAACAATTAAATGTGAATGTTTAACATTGAAGGATAAATGGGACCACAAAATAGCATTAAATGCTAATCATGTCTGGTACCACTAACACACAAAAGTATCACACCAATGAATGATGTAGACAGCCTAGCTGCAAAGATTTTTGATGTTATTATTTTATATTGTAAAATGTGTTGGTCTAGGTTTTTTATTATTATATAAACAATTAGATCTAGATCTAGATCTAGACCATATATAATTTCAGATGTATAATTAGGAATTTATGGATCACCCCGCTGGGTCTACTCTAGATAAACAAAAAATGAGGACATATTTTTTGCAAGATTCCTGCAAAAATTGCTAGTTAGTTCGCCCTGCGCACACCACAAGACTTACCGTCTGTGTATGGGGAAGGTTGACATACATGTATGTCGGGTTTAATAAATAATCCCCCATTTGCCACCCATTCCAATGGTGGTATGGGTGGCAAATGTGAGACCTTGTATAGTCTATAGAGAGTGATTATTTAATGAAATTTAAATGCCTATAATAGTAATAGCTTTGATCACTCTCAATCATGATGTTTTTCAGGCTACTCCAGCTCCAGGGTCGTTTCATGAAACTTGTTATCAATGATGACGGTTGGTTATCCAGACACATGATGATGATCTGCATGACAAACATAAACCTTCTCTTTTTCCTTTAAATTGAACAAACGATAGTCATCAAATAGTACTAGATGATAGATCTAAAGAAGAATGGAACACTTCATTGTAACCTGCGTCATTCTGTAAAGGACATTTATAAACTCACATTTTCATACAACAATCAGGTTCGTAGGGTATAAATATGAAGACGGTTATCGTCTGCTACAAGTTCAGATGGGAGCCTCCATACAATTGGATACCGTACCGACAGTGGGGTGCGGGCGCGCGCATGTGTTAAGTTAGCGACTGTTATCTAAGCAATTTGTCATTTTACGGTCGCACCCCACTGTCGGTACGCTACGGAGTACGGTATGCAATTGCAATGTGCAGCAGTTTTAATTGCCGTTAATCCTGTGAGAAAGTGTATATTATATTTATAAGTCTTCGTTTTTAGGAAAAATATTCCAAAAAAGATAAGCAAATTGACACGAAAAACATAAGAAACATAGTCTAACAACTTTTAAATCATGACCATCACCCTATTTGAACAATTAGTGAAGATTTAGTCGATTTTCATATCTCCACGTTACGGGTCAAAGTCTGGATAGACTTCTGAACTTTTGCTGTTGCATCTTCTTCTTCTTCTTCCATTTTGAGTATAGTACAGACCCAGTGGCGTACCTGGGGTACTCCGTCAGGGGGGGCAAGCGACCGAAACAAACAAAAAAGGCGATGCTAATTTTCACTTCTGGTGAGCGAGCGAGCAAAAAAAATCTTTAAGTAACGTTTGGTATATAAACTGGTATTGTTGCAAGTTGGGGGTGGGAACATTCACTTGTTAGCGACGTTAATTTATTTTTTTTGCAAACGAGTGTAGCGAGCAAGAAAAAAAATCACTTCTTTTTAATAATTGCCACTTAAACTTGGTTCAATTGTCTCATGCAGGGCGCGGGAACAATATTGTGTTTAGGGTGATTTTATACCTATTTTAGCTATATAAAATTAGTTTCATTGTTGCAGGTAGGGGGCGGGCACAATCGTGTTTAAGGCAATGTCAATCCCATTTTGGCGGGCAGGCAACCCCCTACATTTCTCTTTTTAATGATATTGTAGCAGGTTAGTGGTGGGCACATAATTCCACGAGCGAGCGAAAAAAAAAATCACTTTTCTTTTATAGGAAAAATATGGTACATAAAACTTGGGTTCATTGTTCCATGTCAGGGACGTGATTATTAAAAGCGCTGTTATTTCCATTTTGGCGAGCGAGCGAGCAAAAATATCACTTCTCTTTTATAGGAAAAATATGATATATAAACTTGGGTTCATTGTTCCATGTCAGGGACGTGATTATTAAAAGCGCTGTTATTTCTATTTTGGCGAGCGAGCGTAGCGAGTGAGCAAAATTTTTGTGATGATAATTGGTTCATAAATTTCAGATTTTTTTGTTGCAGGGCAGGGCTTACACAATCATGTCTAAGGTGATGTTAATTCCGTTTTGGCGAGCACGAGCACACCAAAACTTCTTTGAATAACGTTTGGTACATAATTATTAACTGATTGTTGCAGGTTGGGGCGGGCACATCAGCGGTGTCAATTCCATTTTGGCGAGCGAGCATAGCGAGCAAGCAAAAAAATAAATTCTCTTTTAATAGAAATTAATAAATAAACTTGTTTTTATTGGTGCAGGTCAGGATGGATGCAATCGCGTTTAACGCGATTCAATTCCTTTTTGGCGAGAGGGCGAAAAAACTCTTCCATTTTTAATGATATTGTTGCAGGTCAAGGGTGGGCACAATTGTTACCAAAGCAATGTCTATTCATTTTATTCGCGAGTGAGTGTAGTGAGCGAAAAATGAATTAGTCTCTTTTAGTAACATTTGGTACATATATTGTGTGTTATTGTTGCCATGGTTGCAGGTCGGGGCCCGTCGGGGCAGGCACAATTGTATTCTAGGCAATACTAATCCTTTTCTTTTTCAGGGGACGAGCAAGTGAAAACATTTAATACAAATAGGCTAGCAAGCAGTTCGCGCCAGCGAAGAGTTTCAAATTTGTTATATCACTTATATTTTCCTATTTTCATTTGTTTTAATTTTTCAGGGCCGTATGCGGAATATTTTTCTGGTGGGGAGGGGGAAAGATGCGTTAAAAGTTTTCGAAGAATCTCAAAAGCAAAAGGAGTGAAGGGAGTTCGAGCGACCGAACTGGTCATGAGGGTACTTTTGCATTTTCAAAAGTAGAATTGAAGGATTTGGTATAGGCCTAGGCCTACACTACATTTTCAGGAAAAAAACTGTACGTTTTCAAAATATCTGGGGTCAACTGCCCCCCCCCCCCTGGTGCGTACGGCCATGGTCATTTTTTAAAAAAATTTCCCCATTTTTATTCCTTTCCTTTTCTTTTCCCTTTTTCTTCCTTTTCTCTTCTTCTTCCTTTATTCTTTCCTTTTTTCCCTTTTTTCTCTTTCTTTCCTTTTTTCTTCCCTTTTCCTTTTTTCTTTTTCTTTCCTTTTCCTTTCTTTTCTTTTCTTTCCCCTTTTTCTTTTTTTCCCCTGGAGCCCGTCAGGGGGGCACTCTGCCCCCCTGCCCCCCCCCATAGGTACGCCAGTGTACAGACCTCTTTACAGAGTATTATCGGGGTGTGTGCAGGTGGACCACTACACCGGGGTTCCCCCTACTCTCATACAATTAGTGCAGTGGGTTCTTAACAGGGCCTCCATTTAACGTCCTGTCCGAGGGACGGAGTGTTTTCCACTTAACATAGCATAGCCTGCGTCTATGTATGAACATGATGAACAGGGGAGGGGCACGTAACACAACGCAGGCTTCAGTCATCCGCCTGGGTGGCATCAAATGAAAGAGGAGGGTCTAAGCTTTACAAATATGAGTGATTAAGTTATAATAAAAACATCCAAAATTCTCGGCTTCGTTTTTTCTGCACTGTATACACCTGCACATGCGCCACAGCACCTACATCAGTACGAGAATACCCCCACACGACGTGACGGGCGCGGTGGCCTGTAACTGTATAGGGTCTAACAGTTAGGCTACAGGGGCCCGTTTCTAGCGTCATAAGTCTAACTTCTTGACTATCCCATTGAAACGCGTGTTAATTCTATAACACACGTTTCAATGTGACACTGATAGTCAAGAAGTTAGACTTATGACGGTTTCTAGGAACGGGCCCCAGGCCACCGCGCAGCTGTACTTTTTTATAGCGAAGAAGAAGAAGAAGGAGAGTGGTCAAGAAAACATGACATGTGATATAATCATGAACATACTCACGCAGAATAGACAGAAACACGATCCGAAACAAACGGAGAATAGCTAAAATAGACAGCAGTTATGCAAAAAGCAATTCCCAGGACCAGCGATATGAGATGCAGAAAGGAGGGGAGGTGTTCGAGTATGGAAAGCAAAATGTAAAACAATCAAGATTCAAGTGGAAAGTAAATATCAACAAGCGCTACAAAATATATCTGTTACCGAAAGCACTGATGGGGGGGGGGGGGGGGGGGGGGGGGGGGGGGAAAATAAATTTCAAACGTGGTACATTTCTAATTCGATTCCATGATTTACCCCAAAAATATTGCTGAAATGAATGATATGATTTTCCGTTTTGTTTTCCTCTCTCGTTTGCCCATTATGCCAGAGGTGGCACTCGGTGCATTGGGGGGGGGGGGGGGGGGGGAGGGGAGTGGAGGGGGAGGGGGAGGGGGCGGGGGGGGGGGGTGTTACTAGCGCTAGCTAGCTAGCCGTGCCCCCGAATTTTTCAGGTACGCCCCAAAAGCCACTTTTCTTGTCTAATATCCTTTTCCTCTCTTTTCATCTCTGGTAACGTACGTCTTATGTGTCACCTCTGATATTTTTGCCCATTTTTTAAATAAATTTGACTCGATCATTTAGCACACAATCTCCTCGCTCCACAAATACAGTATACCATGGAAGAATCCTGGATCGGTGACTGGCTTAGATCTACAACATTGTGTATTACAGTAAAGTAAAGTAATTAAAATGCCCCTTTTCCTTTTTAATTAAGTGTACTTTTTCCTTATCAATAAGAACCCCCTTTCTAGCTTTCTCTTAAATGCCACTTTTCACTTCAGATAATTGTTTGTTCATCTTTATTCAAGAAAGTATATGTAACATAATAATAAAGATGTGACATAAAACCCAGGACAGAGATTTGTATTACATTAAATGCATCTCATGCAGGGTTGAACAATTACAATACACAAAAACAAAACGGAAAAGAGAACATTATAACGTCAGTGTTTTAAATGAAAACATTAATAAAATTCATTCTCACGAGCAGGGGCTGATCCAGTCGGCGGCAAGAGGGGGGGGGGGGGGGCAATTTTTTGCGCCGACTCAACCGGCCGGTGAATAAGCGGGGGGGGGGGGGTGCTGGAGAGGAGGACCACTTTTGTTTTTAGGGGGCAGCTCGGGCAGGTGATGTGACATTTCTCCAACTTCTGTCTAACTTCTTTACTATCCCATTGAAACGTGTGTTTAATCTATGACACACGTTTCAATGGGATAGTCAAGAAGTTAGACTTTTGACGGTTTCTAGGAACGGGCCCCTGATAACCCTAAGTTTTTTGTTGCTGCTTTCTATGTAGTTAATACTGCATGATTAAAATAAATAAAGAGAGAGAGAGAGAGAGAGAAAGAACCCCCATCATTATGCAATGTTTCAAGGTCTGTGTAAAGTACATTTGAAACCATTTCTTAGCATCTCAACCCCCCCCCCCCAAAAAAAAAATAGCGGACCTATTTTTGAGGAAAGCATCATACTGAATAAAGAATAATAACTTTATATTGGCTCATACTAATACTGATACGGGCTAAAGGCAATGTGGTATCGGCACAGTAAGATCGGGTATTTTTATGGAGGTAGGCCCTATTCCAAAATGACATTTTGATAAGCGACATTTTGTTCTGTATTCATATGTATATACGCATATAAATACAACTGATCTTTATGATTTCTTAACGTGACATAGCTTCTTCTTCCCCCGAAAAAAAGAAGTTTTTTAATAAAAGGATCATGCGTAAAAATGATCATTGTTATTTAAAGGTACTATGTCCCATTTGCAGGCCAAAAAAATGAAAAGTTAAATTCCAACTGCATTTGAAAGATAATACTAATTTAGAACTTCCCTAAAAAAATTGGTGCTTGAAAATGTCTTCAAGTGGGAAAATAACGACTATTAGTTGTCAAATCGACTTTAGGCTATAGAGCCCAAAAGTAATAGTCTTGATTTTCAGACAATTGTACCGAATGGTCATACGTTTTATGCTGCACAAAGATTCAATCAGTTTAATCTTGGCCATCACAAGAAGTGGGTTATTGATGTAGACAAATGCTCATGTACCCTTTACAACTCTTTTCATGTATGTTATTACCAAAGAAGAAAAAAAGCCAGTCAGACACTAAAATGTCTGACATGAAGTCTAGCAATTAAACGGGTTTGCATAATTTGAATATAAGGACACTGCTAAATTTAAATTTCACAGATAGGACATACATGACATATTCATAACTCCTGCAAAGTTCTACAGCATTTGAGGTTGGCTGCAAAAGGGACATAGTACCTTTAAATTGATGCAAAGATTTTTTTTTGAATAAGCAATGCTTTTCACCAGAATCTTCTTTGTAAAACGCTTTTACTCTCAGCCATGAATTCTGCCTGTGCTGTAATGTAATGTAATAATGTATTGCCCAAAACCCCTGAGCTTCCGGGGGCTTCGCCCCCTGGACCCCACGTCAATTCGTGACCTGCCAGTGTCACAGATAAGGTATCAAAATATGGTCATCTGATGGTAATTTAATGTAAAAAAAAAAACCCTGAGCTTCTGGGGGCTCCACCCCCTGGACCCCACACCAATTTTGTGTCCTGCCAGTGTCACAAATACTGAGATATCAAAATATGCTCATCTCACAGTAATTCAATGGCTATACCGGTACCTCCTGAGCTTCTGGGGGCTCCACCCCTTGACCTCACCGAGAAAACGTTCAGCGGGGCCTGCATGTAAGAGTGGGGGATGGGGATTTTTTTTGTCTACCTCCCCCCTCAAACGTTTTTGCCACTGCCGGTATCACCATTTTGTACCAATATTTGTCTCGCATAATTTCAAATTTGGCCCCCCCCCAAGAGAAATCCTGGATCCGCGCCTTGACACATCTATCCAATCTGTCCATATAGTGTAACTGAGTAACAACCCATTATGTGAGTCACAAGTGCCTTTTTCATTTCTGTTGAGTGTTCCCTTTTCAGGTGCAAGAAATGCCATTTTCACCTCTGATAATTGCCCTTTTTTTTTCTTTGCTAATAACTGTCCCTTTCCCTTCTGATAAGGGCCTACCTTTTCCTTTCTTCGTAACATGCACCTCTAATTCAAGGCGATTTAGAGCCCCTTATTCTAATTTTCCCAATAGAGCTTGCTCGCATTTATATGTTACCTTTTAGGTCCTTCTTCCTTAGATTTGTGTTTAATACTCATCAGGGTTTGATTTTTGTCTACTTTATATGATGTAATTTTTCGCACTGGGAACTCACAAATATTAAAATTAATATTCAGACCAGTATATTGCTTAATAATTAAGCAGCATCTTGTACCGGCATTTAAGGAAAGAACAAATATTTATATTATCTCTGGTAGACTACCAAGTACGGATCGCAATCATGACGCTGTAAGGGTGTCAGGCGCGGGTCCACAATGGGGGCCCGACCAACGAATTTCGAGGCGTCGGCCCGACGGACCCGCCCCCCTAGCCCCCAAAACAGTTAAACATTTAAATGTTAACAGTAATTTTACCTTTTCTTACCAAACAACTAAAGCGCCCCCACTTTTTTGCCTGCTGACTGAGTCGCCGCTCTATATTTCCTCACAAATTAGACCCCCCCCCAAAAAAAGAGAGTGCTCTTACCCCTACCCGGTTCGATGCTAAATATTTCCTCACAAATTGGACAAAAAAGTGCTCTTACCCCCCCCCCCCCCTTATTCACGGGCTGGCCGGTTCGACGCTAAATATTTTCTCACGAATTGCCCCCCCCCCCTCTTGTCGCTGGTTAGATCCGCCCTAATTGAGGGGTGTATATACCAGTGGCGGATCCAGGGGGGGGGGGGGACGGGGGGCCCGGCCCCCCCCCCCTTGAGAAAAAATCATGTAAAATCACGTGATTTTTAACCCTTTTTGGGGGTTGGGCCCCCCCCCCCTGGCGCTCAAGGGAGGGGGGTGCAAATTGAATTTTTTTTTGAGGATCAAAAAAAAAAAAAAATGTGCTCACTACCCCCCCCCCCCCCCCCCCCCCCCCCCACTGAGCGAATTTTTAGCCGGCGCGTTTTTCAAATTTACGTGAGCAAAAAAAAAAAAGTTGGGGCCCCCTCCCCTAAGAAATCCTGGATCCGCGCGCCTGGTATATACCAATGTCTAAAATTGGTGTATGTTTTTCTTCACGTTTCCCTTTGTAGGTGCCCTTTTTTTTCCCAAAAAGTGCCATTTTTTGTTGTTGCCCCCCCCCCCCCCCCATTTTGGAAGACGCTGCGTCGGCTCGCCCCTGAATTATACATTCTTGGTGGTGGTGATGCGGATTTTATTCTGACCCCCCCCCCCCCCCCCCAAATGTTCCCTCATTAAAACGCTACTGTCTGAAAGGGTATTGAATTTCCTACAAATTTTGTAAAAAACATTTTATTAAGTCATGGTTAAAGAAGTGTAAACATATGATAAGAAAGCATTTTTTCATGCTTTGGTAAAACTTTGGAACAAGCTAAACCCCTTGGCCAAGTAAATCAAATTATTAAAATAATTTTAGTGAAATCTACCAACAACAGTTTTTTTCCAATGTGATACGTCATCTCAAGAATACCGTACAGTGGATCTTTCGATCGTAATTTGATGCGATGCACAGCTCCGCGACCTCGCCGAGCCACGCCCCACGTGCGTGCAGCCTGCGCCCGATCAACCGACGCCCCTCGATTGTAGCGCAAGCCAGTGCATCTAGCTAGCTCTTACAGTCGTCTACGGTAACGGTCTAGCCATGTCAGGTAGATGAGTCAGTTTAAGCTCAGCTCAGTCGACCGGTACGGTACGGTGACAACCCTCATCAGGCCAGACATCGCTACGTCTGGTTGTTTGAACCTGAACATTTTCATGCTTTGAAAGTTTGATTGTAATATCTGTAGATCTAGAGGCTCTACCATGGATACCGAACTCAGTTTTAACGTTCTTATGTCAGGTTTAGCCGCCTTACCCGTGATAAGTGTACTTTTTCTCATTCAATTCAAGGGAATTGAATATGTGATTGTGAAACAAAGGTGGATCTTCGTGTGTTTGTTTTTGCTCCCACTCTCAGCTGTTTATGATGTTTACTATTTCATGCGCAACTGGGTTGTTTTCAGGATGAGCAGTGCTCCCAAGTTACATGCAGAACGGGTCCAAGATATTCAATCGCAGGTAAGCATGGAAAAGGGAGTGTTACTCATGTTAGAGATTAAGTCTAGATCAGCAGGCTTGATAGACAAGCTAGACTAGACTAGTTTTATTTAAAAATGACCCAGGCCATACCAGAGTCCAGACGTTATTTCTGTGCCTGGGCCTAGATTATAATAATTGTTTTCACAGACTAATACAATTACAAGTGTCATTATTAGATTACTGTAGAATTAAGGAGAAGATAGTCTGAAACAAAATTGAGCAACGTTTGAGTCGTGCCTGGCTTTCCAATAATCATATTGTACACAGATTCTAGACCAAATAGGATTAGGAGGCGAGTTGATTCAGTCGGTAAAGGCTAAGCATCACGCGTCTGCCTGCATGTCGAACTAAAGATCCCGGCTTTGAATCTCACCGACTTTACTTTACTTTACTTTAATACATGTTGTAGGTCTAACTCTAAGCCTGTTCATCGATTCAGGATTCTTCCATGGTTAGGCGGATGACTGAAACCTGCATTGTGTGTTAACGTGCCTCTCCATTGTTCATAGACACAGTCACAGGCTATAAGTTGAAAACACTTCGTCCCTAGGATAGGATGTTAAATGGAAGCCCCGTGTAGAGAAGAGTAACTACATATGCACGTTAAGAACCCACTCACTGCACTATTCGTATACGAGTAGGGGAAACCCCGGTGTACTAGTGGTCCACCTGCACACATCCCAGTATAGTCCCCCCCCCCCCCACTCTGTGATCGGAGGGATACCATGCGTGTTACCAAAATTTCTGGTAAAGGGGTACATTTCACGCACTAAAATCCGGCTCGTAGTACACAAAAGCCCGTTTTACACGCCGGACTTAGGGGGTGTTTTCAAAAGGAGGCAACTCTAAATAACACTGAGACCCTGAGTGAGGGGACCGGGAGTATAGTATGATAATACTCTGTCAACAGGTAGATCTACAATGTTTGTACTCAAATTGGAAGAAGAAGAAGAAGGCAAATGACATCCATCTTTTCGGACCTTAAGACAATAAAGGGATCTATAGCTTTCATAGAAATCACATCTGGACAGTCATAGAACCCTGCCTTAGTTGATACATCCTCAAAGTAGAATGATCATCAATCTTAAAAGGAGCTTTCATGAACCACATGTTTTTTAGAAATTAAATTTCATCTTTTTTTCTTCAGGTAAAGAAATGGAAGTCAGATAAGAGCCAGCAGCTGATGTGCACCGGTCGTCCTGGATGGCAAACAATCAGCCTTAGGGTTGGCAAGTACAAACTGACTCATCGCAAGATCTTCATTAACCTGGTGGATATTCTAGATATAGATACTGAGCGTCAGACAATGAAGGTTGAACCTCTAGCCACCATGGGTCAGATCACGGCCATGCTTAACCCTCTCGGCTGGACGCTCCCTGTCCTTCCAGAGCTCGATGATCTCACAGTTGGTAGGTTTTCTTGGGTATACTTCGGTGTAGAGACTGGAAGCTAAGCTTATTTGTCCCCCTTTACTGAGTTACTGTTGCGTCCCATCTCAAGTATGGTTCGAACTTAATTGGATTGTTTCTCCAATACCTTTCTAGGGATGACTTGAATTGGTTAATGGTGTTAGCATTGACTACTTCCTTAGGCAGGGCATTCCAATTATTTACACTCCTTATTAATAATAATAATAATACATAGGATTTATAAGGCGCCAAATCCACTTGACAGTCAAATGCTCAAGGCGCAGCTTGTGCAAAAGATGAAATACATACATGATACATTTATACAAAGTGCGATAAGTAAGGTACAGACATGAAAGGTAATGGTAATGGTAATTATTGAGAAATGATAAACTCTACTGCCTAAGTCTTACATGTATGTTGAAACATTGTTTGACAATCTTGAAGTCATGGCCTCTTGTTGTTGACCCAGTGGCTAGTTGGAATGATAAGATATCATTACATCTATTAAAAAAGTAGATCCTTGTCAGTTGGGGATTGGAGGATTGTTGGCCAATGATATTCAATAAATGATGTATTGAACGATTACATGTACGTCATTGAGCGTGCATTTGGGGTTATATACTACCTGTATTGTTATATAAAACAAATAATGAATGTTTTTCATTTGTTAAATAGTGCGAATATTTTCATTCGTTGAAATATTACCGCTCTATTCAACTGATGAAAATATTCGCACTATTGAACTCATGAACATTCATTGTTTGTATTTAATTAGGACATTAATTAGTCAAAAAATTAGTTTTTATTTTTTTTCTTCTTTTTTTCTTCTCTTTTTCTTCTCATGTTTATTCGCCTGTACTTGAAAAAAAACGTACAAAATATAACCACCAGCTCCATATTACACTCTTAAGTTGACCTCATACAATCTTATTACAATGTAGGCAATTTTTTTTAAACATTACCGAACAAAAACAAAAACAGTAGTTTTTAAAAATTGGTGTATGATCGGCTTGACAAATCAAAACTAAAACTTGGTGCATTAATACCATTCAATGAATCTAGGTACCCATTATTTCACCTGAGTAGGGAGTGGCGAATCTCAAAATGATTTTGACATCAGAGGCTGATAATTTTTCATTTTATTGAATGCACATTCCATACTGTGTAAATAGATTTTTTTTTCTAGGCTGACAGTTGTGTGATATCTTAAACATGCAAATACTTCAATGCTATCATTTAAGTAGCAAATACTCTTATCTCTAAAATCCCTCATTGACACTTGGTACACTCTTTTGCATCAAATCACCATACCTGTTTTGTAAAAAATAGTTCATAGAGGTCAATGAACATTGTGTGAACTTTTATCATCTTGAATGTCAATCAAAGTAGGCCCCCACGTCCCTATAAGTCATGACAAGACTTGATTTTAGAAGAACTGTCATAATTAGGATGAGGTACAATATATTTCAAACATGAATTCATCTTGACTGAAGTCCTGGATTGTTCTATTGAGGAAGGAAGGGGGAAAAGATAATGAATAGAGAGAGAGAGAGAGAGAGAGAGAGTCAGAGAGAGAGAGAGAGACAGACAGACAGAGAAGTGAGGGGGGGGGGGGGGGGGGGTTCCTTGTGAAGATAAACTTTTCTTTGTAATTTATACAACAACATGATCATAACCATAATCATGTAGATCCTAAGTCGACAGTGCTAACAATAGGGATACGTGTCATGGGCTAATCTTTTTTTAGAGCATTATGGAAGAGCAATGGACCCTGTAAAACGCTTTTCAGAGTTTTCTTTCTTTGCACGCTACAGCCTGCTGTAAACTGTAAAGTTTTAAAAGTTTGAAGGAAACTTTACTACCTTATCTGACTGGTTTATATTTAGTAAATTTATGCCACGTTTTTATTGACTTAAACAAAAACCTGTATACAGGTCACAAATATTGTATACATGCAAAATTCTGAAGGACATAATGATGAAGGTGATTATTTTGACAAAAGCTAAATTTGTGACATTTTATGTGCAAAAGAAAACATACAGATTTGTACATAATATGATAAAAGTAGTCCTTTGATGATACATGCTCCTGTGTAGAGAGCTTGTGAGTTGTGAAAGCTTAAAGGACAAGTCCACTCGAAAAATAACTTACTTTCAATAAAAGCAGGAAAATCAGACAAACCAATCAAAAAAAGTTTTGAGCAAAATGGGATACCTAACTAATAAGAAAGTTGTGAATTTTTGAAAAAGTATGTAAAACTATGGAACAATGAGAATCACAACACAAATTGCCAAGATGGTTATCAGTTTGTGACGTCATGTCCTCACCATTTATCAATTGCTCTATATGGTTTAATCCCATTAACTTCCCTTTTTATTCCCCAAAACTTGATTTCCCCATGCCTTTGCCCAGGTTATAAAATTTTTATCATATCGCGTGCATGACATTTCACAAAATCTTTTATGAACTTTAAAGAATTTATACTATTTTCTGAATATTGCATAATAATAATTATTGATTTTTATGTAAATAGTTTATCAAAATTCACATTTTCCATGATTTAACTGGAAAAAATTACTCTATATTAGTGCATCCACACAAAAAACATATTACTATTAATCTAACTTTGATGCTGGTGTGAAGAAATAAGATTCTTAAGGAGAAAAAAAGGAAATTTATATCATCAATATAAAGAAAATAATTAGTGGATAGTGAGGTCATGATGTCACAGACTCATGAGTGAGTTGCCAATTTGTCTAGTGATTTTTAAAGTTTTTAATGTCATTAAAAATTCATAACTTTCTTATTAGTTATCCGATTTTGCTCAGACTTTTTTTGATTGGTTAGTCTGATTTTCTGCTTCTATTGAAAGTAAGTTATTTTCGAAGTGGACTTGGGCTTTAAATCCTTTTGAATGAAATATTTTTTCAGTTTCATCAATGTGATATCTTAATTCTTTTCTTATTTATCTTTGCAGGTGGATTAATCATGGGTGTTGGTATAGAGAGCTCATCTCACAAGTATGGTCTCTTTCAACATGTCTGTGTTAGCTTTGAACTGGTTTTGGCTGATGGTAGCGTGGCTCAGTGCTCAAAGGTAGGCCAAACTTTCTTCCTCTCGGTTCTTGTTATCATTCTTGTGCGGTATATTCATTACATTTGTAAGTGCATAGAGACACTCCTGAATGCTATATACCTACATGTACAGTGCTCTGCAATTCATCCTGTGCATGTAAATATTTTTCTGCTGAAAGGCAAAGCCAAATGAGTGTAATTAACTTGTATAATTTTCCATACTAAGTTAACACCCTTTGGACTCTCAGCGGATAACACATACTACTTTGAGAGTAATTGACTTTCCTCGTATTAGTTAGTCTGTTGTTTTCGATTAACTTAGTACATTGCAAAGGGTAACTCTATTGTAGCATAAATTTTGAAGATATGTCTAGGATTACAAATACATCTACTTAAAATATCAACTAAATAATCAGTTATTTCATGACATCTATTAATTTGCAAAGCACATTGAGAATTGATCGGTTGAAAATTGCAGAATTTGCTAAACTGGTTGATTGGTTATATATAAATAAACTTGTAATCAATATTAAAAAAACACACTTCATGATTTTTACCAAAAAAAACATTGATGTTACCCAAATAAAGGTTAAAGTTAAGGAATCAGTTATTGAATACGTTACACATTTAACTTTTTTAGGAGTCACAATTGATGATTTTTAAATTGGAAGGAACACACTGGTGTCGTCTGCAATAGATTGGCTAAACATGTTGGTATATTTTATAAATTGAAATTTTTACCTACAGAAATATTGATAATTTTGTATAATACATTAATATTACCCCACTTAAATTATTGTATTCTTGTATGGGCATGCTCTAGTATGCAAAATACAAATAGGCTTTTAATTTTACAAAAGAAAATTATAAGAATTATATCGCACAGCCAATACCTTGCTCATACTTTACCTCTTTTTTACAACCTACATTTTTTAAAAGTAAACGATATTTATGTTTATCAATGTGCAATTTTTATGTATCTATGCTTTAAAAAACTTTTACCAAATACTATTTTACAATATTTTCAACTTAATAAGAATATTCATGGCCACCAGACCAGGATTTTAAATAATTTTCATATTCCAGGAGTAAGGACACTAGTTTCCCTAAATACAATTTTTTTCAGGGGTCCAAAAATTTGGAATGACATACCCATAGATATTCGACTGAGTCCATCACTAAATAGTTTTAAAAGAAAATTTAAACTGTACCTGTTAGACAATACTCAATAGTGCAATAACCTATATTCTTAATGTTCATCAGACAGAAAAGTGTGTGTTGGTGTGTATGGGAGAGAGTGTATGTGTGAATGCAATTTCCCCCCTTTTTTTTCCTTCCTTTTTATAACAAATAAAAAATTTAAATAATGTATTTAGTTTTTTATACAATTACTGGAGACAGACTTTTACATAAGGCCCGGCCTTCCTGTCTAGTCTCCAAATACTTTCATTAATGTACATGTTTAAAAATGTTTTTTCCCTTGTCCATCATGTCTTCTCCACTTGTGTTATCCTCATGTTATATATTGATACATGTATTTTATTCTAACTTTTATATGTTTGCTTTCCTTGTATATTTTTAATGAAAGTATTGAATAAAGTGAACTTGAACTTGAACTTGAAATAGACAGTGTACTATGAATATAACGGGCAGTATAATTCTGATTATGTTATTTAATGGCGTACGTGGTATGCACTGCTAGTATTGTAAAGCTATATTGAAGCATTGATTTTGATATTCTTTGGTGTTTTAGGATGAGAACCCTGAGCTGTTCTACTCCGTTCCCTGGTCGTATGGAACTCTTGGTTTCCTCGTATCAGCTGAGATCAAGATCGTACCCGCTAAGCAGTATGTTCGTCTGGAATACAAGCCAGTGCATTGCTTTGATGACGTCTCTAACGTGTTTGCCAAATGTTCTAAGGAGGCCCAAGAGAATGAGTTTGTTGAAGGATTGATGTATTCTAAGGATAAAGCTGTTATCATGACAGGACAGTTGACAGACCAAGCTGAACCAGCCAAGGTGATTTAGTAGTAAACATTTCTGATCCAAACATTCTCTCCAGCCAGAGTCTACATGTAACCCAGGGCTTCTCAAAGTCCGGACTGTGGTCCGCATCCGGACCGCAGACCATACCAATCCGGACCGCCCAGGAGAGAGTCTCCAATTGCCTTATTTTTTAATAAGAAAAATACAGAATTTTGAAAGTGTCAAGGAATTTTAAAGAAAAATTTAAAACATCAAGAGGAATGTAAGAAATTCTGAAAAGTGAACATTTTCACTATTTCATCATTTTATTTGTTTAGCTTTAGAAACAGAGAGAAGGGGGAAAAAAGAAATATACTAATAAAATAAAAATTGCTACTCTAAGTAACGGGTCTGTAATGTATTAGATAGCATGGAAACCAAATGCCATCAACTTTTTTCTTCATACTGTTTTTTCCGCAGTTTTCCTAGGCTCATGTCGAGCCAACTCGTTCGAAAATGTAATCTGTATGTGTAAATTTAAGTTTTGCGTTCTGCATTTCTCTCTCTCTCTCTCCACCTCTATCTTCTCCTCTTTTACATTCTTTTCTTGTTTTTCTTCTGTCTCTCTTTTTCCATTTTTGGAAGGCCGCCTAAAAAGGGAGGAGGGCCGCAATCGATTCTTGAACTATATGTATCATGCAAGCCATGGGAAATTCACTCAGTGATATATATATCTTCATTGATTTTCTAATATACATGCAAAGTATGACTGATTTGTGAAATATTTTTACAACAGATCAATGCCATCGGGAACTTCTGGAAGCCCTGGTTCTTCAAGCATGTTGAGTCATTTCTGAAGACAGGTCCTGCTGTAGAATACATCCCTCTGAGGCATTATTATCATCGTCACTCTAGGAGTATCTTCTGGGAAATTCAGGTATGCACTCATCTGATGATATATATCAGCGTTAGTTCAACACCTAGAGAGTTGATGAGAAAGATATTTAAAGGGAGAGAGACTGTACTTATAGACAGGTGTAGATAATGAAGGGCGCCGGTTTCCTGGGTACAGAGCCATTCTGCCTAGTTTTTTCTTCTTTTTTCTTAACAAGAAATTCTAGTCTCATCTTAGCTTCAAAATTTCACAAACTCAGCTTTATATGAACCTTATTTGATAGTTTTTGCTATTGGTTTTCTTTCCAAACTTTTGAGTTTGTGAGCAAACTGTAATTCTCATTTTTGGCACCCCAAATTACTGGAAACTATTATCACCTAAGCATACAATCAGCTGTTTTGTAATGAACAGTCCTTTCTAAAAAGAAAAACAAAGAGGATATTAAATCCCAACTTCACATTATCTTGCCGAACTGACAATCAATCATCATCATTGTAACCATGAATTGAAAGAGTAAGAATACATAATCACTACTACCGGTACATACATGTAGCTAGGATGTAAGAATGACTGTATAGAATGTATGACTAGCTGTTATATACGTTGTAATTGACTATTTCCATTACCGGTACCTGTTATGTCGAGGGGTCAGTGACACAAAGACGTAACTCCATTTTGGCCATTTTGAGAAAAAGGGATTTATGTGTCACTGAGCACTTGGGCCTTACGGAGTTGAGTCTATGTTTCACTAGCCATTGACTTCAATGGGATGTTGGGTGGAATTACAAACGTAAGTCTTTGTGTTTCCTGGAAAGCCCACATTTTTCTGAATATTTTGATATCAAATACTTATTTTTGCAAAATATGGAGTTACGTCTTTGTGTCACTTAAAGATAAAGTTGAGTATTAGTCATGCGATTGCATTGTGAAAGAAACTGTGTGGAGTCGATCAACAAAGGTTGATCATCTAGCAAATAAGTATTGTTGTGTACTGCAAGCTTATGGAATTATCAAAATTATAAGAAATTTTGATCAGTCTTGGTAAAGATACAAGCACTGTACACAGAAAGAGGTATATGGGACTACACAAACATGTGGCATAAAAATCCGTCCCAATTTGTATGCTGTTACATGTACATGCCATATTTATAATATTAAGGCATTTGAAGAGCCATGCTTTTCAGGGAACATTTTTAATCTGATCTTCTTCCACACTTGCATAATAACAATGATGACGCTCACAAATTCTTTTTCACCTCTTCCCAGAACTCAATTTTCTCTTTAACCCTTGATGTGTTTCATACAGGACATCGTGCCCTTTGGCAACCATCCAATCTTCCGGTACCTTCTTGGCTGGTTGACCCCTCCTAAGGTGTCTCTACTGAAGCTCACTCAGGGGGAGATTATTAGAGAGCTCTATGAGAAGAAACATGTGGTACAGGACATGCTGGTACCACTCAAAGATATGAAGAGCTCCCTCATGTGCTTCCATGATGAAATGGAGGTAAGTTGTTTTTAATCACCATGCAGGGGGGGGGGGGGGGGGGGGTGTTTCACAAAGACTAAGATCAAATTTAATTTGGACTCTATTTTCTCTCATCATTTACTGGCATTGGTTTCTCAAGGGACGTTCAAATCATGGTCACTCTTTACAGAATTTACATTTTTTGATAGTTCATTATTAAAGGAAAAAATATTATCTAAAGATCATAATTGAGAGACCAATGGTGAGAGCAACCAGTGGCATGAAAGGCCTGCCATAGTTAAGTCCAACATATAGGCGATCTTAGTCTTTGTGAAACACTCCCAGGACTGTTTACCATGTTGTGTTTAACTATAATACAGATCTTAAACTGTGCAATCGGATGAATCTTCATATGCAATTATATGCGCAGCGGTGCATTTTAAATTTTCAAGACAAAATTGAGAAATGACATGTGAGAAAATACTGTGCATTCATTTCTTTCAAAAAGTTTACATATAAAAAGAAGGGTGTTTAAAATAGAGGTTGCACTTACAGGGTAAGAGTTTAAAGTTTATAGATGTAACATGATAAATGAATGGTTTCTTGAAATGAGAGAAGATGTTTAAATTTGTTTAGGGTGCCGTGCATTATTGAGGAGGGAGATCTTTACGAAGTTCAGGTGCAGAACTAACAAAATCATGATCTAATAAAATAATCATGTATTAGTTAATTATTTCTCTCAACAGCGAGTTACTTCATGTATTATACAAGTATGCCCAATTTTCAAATACCCATTTAAAGTCTATGGATTTTAATTGTGTATTAATGCCTTTTTTATCACAATGTAGATTGTCAGTGTCAGTTTTGGTATTTGTTGCATTTAATTGCATTTTTAATTTTTTTTATGGTTAAGCGCTTAGAGATAGTTGTGTCTATTGTCCACTTTATTGTGGAGGTGTCATGGTATAGTGGTTTAATCACTTGACTCTAAATCCAAGGGATGAGGGTTCATGTCCCAACCTGTGGACATTAATCCACATTTGCCATCATCTACCCTGATGTAAATGGGTACCTGGCAACTGCTGGGGTAGTAATAATTGCAGGGTCCCATCTTCCAATTGAGTTGCGATTTAATATCAGCTCTTTATAAGATTGGGCAGGACTCATGACTACTCGAGTGGTTGCCCAGGGTAAAGAAAGCCCAGTTATTATTAATAATTATTATAGGATGATGACGTGGATCCTAATCAAATGATTGGTTGAGAGCGTACACGTGACCAGGCATTCATTTTGCCTAACACGTAATTTTCATAATGACCGGTCATTATCAAATGCTACTGACAGGTCATTAGTAAAATCATGTTATAAAACATCATTTTATAAAACAAATAATACACATCATTTTGTTCAGGCATTATTAAGAATTACCCTCACAAGGTACCTTTGGAACAGTCTAACAGTAACATGCCTGAGGCGATAGCCAAGGGTGTTTGGACTGTTTTGAAGGTACCAAGTGTGGGTAATTCTTACTAATGCCCTCACTGCTGTGTATTATTTGTTGATTACTTTTATTATCTTTGGCAATGGGTATCTAAGAAGCTTTGTTACCTGTGTCACTTCACTCCTTAGATGTACCCTCTGTGGCTGTGTCCCTTTGTTCTACCAGCCTTGCCTGGGATGGTCCATCCTCTAGGCAACCAAGAAGAACTCTTTGTGGACATCGGAGCCTATGGCAACCCAAAGAATCCTAACTTTCATTTCAGAGATTCCACACGCAAGGTGGAGGAGCATGTCCGCAAGGTTAATGGGTAAGTGGTCTCCTGCCTGCCTGGGAGAGGAGGGTGATAAAGGTATAGACCGGTTCTGGGGGGTGTTTCACAAAGATCTTAAGTTGAACTTATCTCTTAGTTGGACTTAAAAATTATGAAAATATTTTGTAAAAGTTATTTTGAAAGGCATAAAATGTTGATTCAAATCATTCATATCTTCTATCATCAAGGAGATTTAATATTCTGGATGTGGAATTTATAAAAAGTCTATAATACTTGAATTTCTGCTTTTGAATATATTTCATTTTAAGGCTCCAATGGCTGTCCATAATTTTTAAGTCCAACTTAGTGTTAAGTTCTACTTAAGATCTTTGTGAAACATCCCCCTGGTCATACAATTGCATTGTGAAATAAACACTGTGGAATCGATCAAAAAAGGTTGATCTACTGCAAGGTTCTGGAATCATCAAAATGATAAGAAATTTGGCCCAGTCTTGGTAAAGTTACAAGCACTGTACACAGAAAGATGTATATGGGACTACCCTGTATCTATCCAGTTATTAACCCATTGACTACTGAATTCTCATATTCCCCATGGGGTTTATACAGATTAATGGATTAATGGCAATGGATTAATGTACAACTAACATTTCACCTCTCTGTGCAGTTTCCTACGCATGCAAGTTTGCACAAAACAATGGGCACCAATTGACGGAAGGATTGCTTTGTGGAAAACAATGGCTTTGCAAAGTTATCCATTCCTTGTCTTCATTAGTTCTTTTCACACCTGTATAGATTAATGTTGCACTGAAAACTATTAGATAATCTATAAGCCTAGGGTATATCTATCCCATGATAAAAACAGTGTGGCACAGGAAGATTCTATTTATTTATTTATTATTATCTGTACCAAGGCTTAATACTCAACTATTCAAAAAATGAAATATTTGGAGGCATCTTTCCATCTTTTACCAATTGCAGCTGGTGTCCACCAGTTTATTATTTAAAGTTTGTGGGTTTGTGTATATTGGATCATCACTATTTAGTGTGATTTTCAATCCTCTTTCTGTCATTACTACATGTTTTCAACATCATCCCCATTAAAGAAATTATGTTTATTCCTTCTTTATTTTCTCTTTTGCCTCACCATCCAGGTTCCAGATGCTGTATGCTGACAGCTACATGACCCGGGAGGAGTTCAGGGAGATGTTTGATCACTCTCTCTATGACAAGCTACGCAAGAATCTCAAGTGTGAAGGGGCTTTCCCAGAAGTGTATGACAAGATCAACAAGTCAGCCCGCCACTGATACCGCTCTGATCAGAGCCCTCACCAGAGAGCCCTCACCACAGAGCCCTCACCTGTATAAAGCCCAATCTCAGTTCTGGAGAGTGTTTCACAAAGATCCTAAGTCGAACTTAATAATTATGGATAGCCGTTAGCATCTATGAAAATATTATGTAAAAGTTATTTTAAAAGGCATAACATTTTGATTTCAACTCATTCATATTTTCCATTATCAAGGAGATTTCATGTTCTTGATGTGGAATTTATAAAAAGTCTAAAATACTTGAATTTTGCTTTTGAATATATTTTATTTTATTTTAAGGCTGCAAATGGCTCTCCATAATTTGTAAGTCCAACTTAGAGTTAAGTTTGATCTTTGTGAAACACCTCCCTGGTATTAAAGGGAACTTCTTCCAGAGGAAAAAAACAGCTCAAAGTAATTCTGTTTTCTTGATCATGTAGTATATAAGATATCTTGAACAGCATTAATGCAAACAAACTGACAAATACCTTGAGAAATCCAATCATACACTGAAAGCATATTATTAGTCTGCATGTTATACAGTATTATAGAGGATAGTCACCAGGGGGGCCTTTCACAGAACTTGTCATCAGTGACAAGCTGTTATAAGCTACTGAAATCCTTGGTTCTGATTGGTTATCAACAGATTTGTCACTGATTTTGTAATTTGTCATTGAAAAAAGGCTTTGTGAAACAGGTCCCAGGTACGCTACTGGTTTGATTATGATTCTTCCTTTGCTCATGATATCTCAGTCACACCAACCACCGAATGGACGGACGGACGGACGGACTCCACCGTGTCTCCCTCCAAACCGCCTGATTCTTTGTCATTCAGGGTAATGTAATATGTGTAATAATAATAATAATGATATTTAGCTTTTATATAGCGCCTAATACAAATGTCTCTAAGCGCTTTACACATATACTATTACTGCACTGTCTGTTGTTTGTCTTGCATGGGTCTCTTTGGTGTGATGGGTATATGACTGAGCCATTACACATTTTCTCTTCAAACATTGGCAAAAAATAACTTATTTGTATTCTTGGTTTCGTGTGTGAGTTTCACTTATTTATATGATTCTCTATATTATGGTATTCTCTATTTACTCGGCAAACTGTCTTTAATTGGTTCTTCCTTTTCTCAATGGTAAGCATGTAGTATAGCTCAAGGCAGCTCCCTACTCTGTTAGTTGGCTGCGGGATTTTGGTTGATGCTATACAGGGCCATGATATGCACTTTTTGGTTATTCAATAGTCACTTTCATTTTCTATCCAAAACATACGAGCTTTTACTTTCATTGGTGTCAGTAAATTGGTATATTCAGCATGCACCATAATCATTCATTATATTCAGGCGATAAACTAAAGTAAGACATACTAATGTGTATTCTTTTTGGCTCTACCCTAATGTTAGAATCGTAGTACAATATAAGTCATTCGTGAGATGATTTCATAGTAAGATTATGCAATAGTGTTCTTTTGCAACAGTGTGTATTGCCATTCTAATATTGTATGTAATACATTATAAAAAGTTGTCAATTCTTCTTGATGAGAATTTCTCACCACTTCCCTCAAATATATCTGTATTTAAGTAACTGGTAGAATATTTCTTTGTAGTAATAGAATTACTCAAAGTTTTGCAGTCGGGTACAAGTCCCAATCTCAGCATTAATCACGGAAGTGAAATCAACAGTTTACGCAATATTTGCATGTCCAAAGATGATTTGTCTTTCCCTTAAGCCTACCGTTGTATTATTTAAGCTAATATACATGTATATATTAATCAGTATTCTGAATGTTCTTTTGATGATTCATTAACGTATAAAAGAGATAGAGTTAAAAAAGAAAAGTTCGACCTTTTCTACAACTTACCCTTGATTACCTTGATTCCCTTGTTTATAATGTTTCTTGTCTTTGCTGCTACAGTTATTCAAATTAATTTCAGGTATACAAGAAAAAGCCTGAAGATATTTCAGATTCAATTTTGTCTCGCCTGCATAGCAAAAAAGTGAGACATAGGCGCCGCTTTTCCGGTGACGGCGGCGTTAACATCAAAAACTTAACGTAAGGTTAAGTTTAAGAAAGAAACAAAAGTGCAGTTTGCATTTCAGATGACTTGTGTTATCTGTACCATCATATTTAGCTATGCTACCTAAGCAAAGTAGAGAAAAAAGAGCTAGACTTTCCCTTAACACTTTTAGTGTTTGCAGTAGATATTTTAAACATTGATTATGTTTGAATAGTTGGCTACATTCTTTATTTTTGCGCTTCCCAAACTACCTCCTGGAGATATAAATATGCAAGTATCTATGATATGGTTCAATGTGCTAATCTCAAAATATCTCGCACGATGTAGCAATGGAGATTTATTTAACAGCTATTTCATACGTTATATATTATGCCTAGTTTTCAAATAGTATTATTTGGTATGCAAATTTACGGCACACATTGCTGTAAGTGCTATTGTTTTTTTTTACATTTTCCATACCAGTAATTCTTTTTTGTTTGTAATCAATTGCACAGGTTTTGTCAGTCTAGGTGAGACTTGGACTTGATTGATTTAAAAACCTTGGTTTTTTATTTCATCTCTTATATAAGTATGTATTATCAAATCAAGAAACATCAACGCTACGTTATATATATCTAGAAGGGTCCTAGGGGTGTAATTTCAGCAGTGTCTTTGTAGACAACAAATGTGATAAACTTGTTAAAGGGAGGTTGTAGCATTGGAGGACTCAGCTTTAAAAGCTTTAAAATGGTGATTACTGTAATTATTAGCATTATTCCTTGTCATACTTTCCTTTTGATTAATCCAAATCTGCTTTAATCAAGCTAACTTTATTTCCAGTATGATTCCACTGTATTTTGTACATTTTTTATGTTCGTGTTCACTTTTAGTGTGGTTGGTAAAAGTGAGGTGTGATAATGAAACTGGATTAGAGTTCATGGGCTTATGATACTATGTCAGCTAATAGCTAACTATAGTGAGGCTGCTGAAGAGATAACCCAGTGGAAGTCACATTCATGAGTAACTCAAGTTTGTGAACATTTATGTTAAGCAAAGCTTGTAAAACTTTCTATATATTGCATGTTATCATATTATTTAGATTTGTCTTGCTATTCGCGGTATGTTCAATCATTGTATCGGAAATTTAAAACTTATTATTCACATTTGACGAGTATGAAACCAGTGAAACACTCTGAATACATGTATATATATATATGTTTTGTGGCTGTATGTATACACCATTATCTGGTTGATCAAGGCTCTAACTATAGAAGTGTGCTCTGACTATCTTCTTTGGGAAATACTGTATTCTTGAGGGGGAAAATCAATGTGCTCCATATATGAAGATAGTGGGATCCAGTAATGAAGTAGTAAGTAGTGCCATAATTTTAGTCGGGTAGAGTGGTCTTAAATAGACATTTGTAATGAACGTTTTATTTTGAAATCATGTGGATTTCTTGTATGTGTAAACATTAAAGCTGTTACAGCCTTATTTTTGTGTTAAATTGTTGAGAAATAAGCCAGAGATCTTTGCTTCCAAACGGATTTAAAACACATGAAATAGAATATGTCTTCAATGGGTTATAATTCACCATTTTACCAGTAATTTTATATTTTATCTCTCAACATTTTATATTTGGTCATCAGTATTATATATAATCAGGCTGCTCAACTTGTAAATAATCTTAGGCTGATTTCAACTATAACTAGTGCCCTCTCCCAACTACATGAAATGGGTTTTATCTGAGGAAGTTTCTATTATTTGCTGGATTGAAACGAGTAGTCTGTCCTGACATCAAAGCAGACAAATCTAGAAACAGAACATTTGAAAAGTACAGTTTTAATTGCTATATTGTCAAGTTTGATGAATCTGTAGGGTCAGAGAGGAATTATCTCTCTGTAAATGAGATGTTCTTCTGCATGGCTCCAAACAGATGATAAGATGATCTAAGAGGCTTTCGATTTGATTACCGTACCAGTATGTTATCTCACATTTTCCCAATGTGCGTGACTGCATGTATAATTTTTTTTTTACCACCCCCCCCCCCCCTTCCACCCCCACCGATTAAGAAATATGAAATGGGCATTTGGAGGGGGATTACTCATACATGTCTATACATGAGTATTCTCGCAATGTAGCAATGAAATACCTTACAAAATGTAAGCTCTGTTTCACTCTCTTTCATTTATAATGTGTTGCATGCTTAAGTTCTGTATTATATGTTTTATTTTTCACTTTCTGAATCGGTGCATTTTTGTTGAAATAGGGGTAGAAGTCATGAAGTAATGTTAACAATGGTCTGTTTTATGCCTTGAAGGTCATAACTGTGGAGTACACACTGTACTGTGAAGCAGGACTATGTATGGTCATAATAAAAGTGTTTCTCTGCTTCAAGACTGCAATATGAGTGGATTATTCCTGATAAATAAGAGAAAAAGAGAGAATGAATGAGAGAGAGAGAGAGAGAGAGAGAGAGAGAGAGAGAGAGAGAGAGAGAGGAGAAGAAGAAAGAAAGAAGATATGGAGAGGGGAGAGAGGGAGAGAGGGAGAAATGACGAGTGAGAAAGGGTAGGATATGATATGATAGAGTATGCATTTTGTTGCCAGTGCTTTTGATATCAAAACATGACATGACATATTTTGTTCAAATCAGGAGACCGGCAGTCGACGAGATGGGGGCTCGATCTAGAGGGCTGTATTGCCACAACAAAAAGGCCCAAAACGACGCTCATAGTTGTGCATTTAGAAATTGTTGAAAGATATTTGATACAATCTAGGCCAATTCTCTCAAACTTATTACATTATGATACTATAACAGTTGAAACTTTTATGTGACAAAGAGGCAGGCACATGCCTATTTTTTCATGAATGACTGAACTATTTCAATGGTTATTTCTTACCCCCCCCCCCACCTTCCCCACTCTCTCTCTCTCTCTCTCTCTCTCTCTCTCTCTCTCTCTCTCCCTCTCTCTCTCCCCCTCTCTCTCTCCTGCTAGTATAGGCATATATAAAGTTTAGCAAAGGTAACAATACAATGCACTGCCATTGATGATGCACTTGTCATATCCACAATACATTTTCACAGATAAGTACTGAAAATTCTTTTTACCTAAGGATCTTTTTAAAAATAAATAATACTTATTCAGGAGTAGTAAAAACTTATATATAACTACCAAGAATTAAACATACCATACATCATATAAATGTATGCATTCATGAATGCATATAAAAGTCACTTAAGAAATCAAGCATTTATTTTTTTTATCTGTAAAGTAATTGTACAAATATATTTTCCATTTAATAAAATAAACAAATTATTGTAATTTAAAAAAACAAACAGATTCCTTGTGTATAATGTAGATCAATATAAAAATAGAATGCATAATTTTATACTAAGCAAATTTAGCTTTCATTGCGGAAAATGTAGTGCATACCAACACAATCTCACAAACCACATTTACCTGTTCACATGTTTTTTCTTTCACTCTTTTTATTGTACTATTAGATAAACTAATTCTGACCACTTTGTTCTATTCGAATTTGAAAATATTTAGAGTATCAATTACTTTGGATGATATCTTGCATTTGAATTTATCTGTATGTTATGATGTTCTGATATATCTGTGTGTGCGCGAATGTGTGTGTTAATTCTTCTTCATCTTTTCTTCTTTTTTTCTTTATTAAGAATTCTTTTTACGAATAATCAGAAAAGAGGAGCAATATGTAATAAAGTGATAAACGTTTACAATAATAATTACATTTGAAGAAACAACTATGCATTAGGCCTAAAAGAAGAAAGTTGTATTGGATTTTTTTACCGTTTTTTAGGAAAGAAAATGTTTAATGAGTAAAAAAAAAAATATCTATCAAAGCATTCAAAATTGAGAAATATCAGCCCAAAGAGTGAGGAAAGAAGAAAAAAAGATTTCCGACCGACCGATTGACCCAGGCATGTTTTTTTTTTTTTTTTTTTTTTTTTTTTTTTTTTACCTTAAGGGCAATACAACATCTTTTGTAATTACAACTATTTGAATATTGCACTTTAATAAAATCACGTTTCATTAATGTAGCTTGCTAATGAAGGTCAAGGATCCCTGGAATTTCGGGTTCTGTACACTCATCAAATTGGCAATATTCCACACTTTGAAATGGCTACGGCTTCAGTCTCGCATGAGAGTGTGAAAATAGCTTCACCTGGGATTTCGTCACAGAACTGGAAACTGTGGATTTCGTCCAATGCGATAATTTTTATGGTAACTGTAAAAGGATAAATTTCAGCTTTATAAAAACCAAGAACAAGTAACAGGCTTGTATGGCTATACCCGACGTGCGTCTATGCCGTTACGGTATCTCTTCCAAAGACTGGGTTCTGATTGGTTGAAAGTTGAGCTGCAGAGACGTCGCTACGGGGTAATGACGCGTAACCCATAAATATGTTCGGTGTTCGTGCTTTTCGTTGTTGATGTTTTGTTTTGTTTTGTTTCGGGTTTTTGTTTGGTAGACCTAGTTTGTTTGTGGGCGGTTGATGGAATAGAATGAAATAGGAAACTTGGTAAGTTGGTAGGGACTTGGTAACATGATTCAGATGAGAGTAAATTGTGCTAAGGCAGTGACTTCTAGCCTTCAATGCCGAATGTGCAATTAAAGATTATCTGAAATTCTGAGTGAAAACATAACATTATTAATGATAAAATTTGTGGAAAACTGATCTGATCGATTCCTTAAAGATCGTAACAATGGCTCTATATATACAATTCCAAACATTTAAGTGTTGATATATTTTTGAAAGCCTGTTTTATATGTCTTATTTTCATGGAAAAAAACGGTTGAGTAGACTATTGGTTGGGAGAATTTAGTGTTAGAGGGTGTCGCACATGTAGTGACACCTTTCGGAGAAATGTTTTCTGGATTTTTTGCATGTAAGAGGGTTAGTAGGAATATAATTAGTAAAATTTCATACAAAAATTACACAGTTTCTTAACCTTCTACAATGTTACCGGTTCACGTTTAATTCACGAATAGGCCAATTATGAATTAAGCTGGAAAATCTTTTGAGTTGGAAATGGGGGCGCCCCCTTCTCGCACCCGAAGTCGCTGTTTTCCATGTATCCACGTATACGTATGCGGTACGTATTTGTATTTTTCAAGACACATAATCCGAGATTATTAGGGGGCGTGCCCATGCTTAAACTAGACGAGCTCAGAACAAGTCTACAGTCTCACCTCCCTGGTCAAAGTAAGTCAACTATCCGTCACGTTTTTATTTAATGTTCACTTTTCTTGGGCAAGTGGCTCAATTTATACGATATGTTGTGTTTAGACTTTACAAATCACAACTTCACTTGGTCTCCTAAACTGCAACTGGGTAGTTAATTTTGCTAGCAAACATCCAGCGGAGAATCGGCAACAGGTATGCCTGGTCTGTCGGCGCAGGGGACGATCATGACGATCATGACGATAGATGTAGGTCCTAGGGATCTACATCCCGGCTGTTAATGTTTCTATGTTTTGTTGTTGCCTTGTGTGTGTGTTTGTTTGTTGTTTTTGTATGATTTTACTGTAGCCCCCACAAGACCTGATTATAACCTTACTCTAGGCAATTAAGCCCTTCAGACATATTGACATGTCTAGTTGGCCTAATTAAGGTCACCTGTCTACAAAAGAAGAAGACATTCTACTAATTACGTACTAGTACTAGTACTATTATAAGTACTGTGGCTACTATTAGTTTTAGTGTTTGACTATGACTGTACAATCCAATGACGTTTTTGATAGTGATGATGACAGTGACGGAAATTATGATGATGGTGGACAATTCTGATGATGATGATCGACAAAGTATAATGATAACGGTGATGTTAATTCCATGATGATGATAATGACGATTTCTGATGATGATGGTGATGAACATGGTGATATGATGATGATGATGATGATGGTGATGATAATGGTGATTATGATAACAATGATGACAATTTTATATAATGATGTAATGGTGATGAAGACAGTGATGAAGATTAAGCTATGATTATGGTGATATAATGGTGATGATTATGATGACAAAGATGATGATGTTCACTCCTATTCTCTATGATTCCTTAGTCCCTATATAGCTTGCAGAGATCCTTAGACCATGGACATGTCAGTGACACTCCCTAGTGGCCATGCCATGCCTCTGGTTGGTTTAGGAACCTGGAAGCTGAAAGCTGATGAGGTTGCCGGAGCGATAGGAGCAGCAGTAGATGCAGGATACAGACACTTTGATTGTGCGCTCATCTACGGCAATGAGAAGGAGGTGGGCGTCGCCTTGCGGGAGGCAATGCAAAGACTGGTAAGATGTCATTCTGTTGAAGGATATAACTTCATCGGTTTAGAGCCAGAATCAAAAATCAAAATAAGTCATAAGTGTCATACTCTGAAAGGACTATAGTATATCAATGTATTAATAGATAATGATATAATTGTGGGTTTATATCGATAGAGCTTAATGTATGCAGGCGCGTACACAGGGGGGGGGGGGGGGATTTGGGGGGTTAAACCCCCCTCCCCCCCCCCCCCTTTGGTAATTTTTTGTGTGTTAACCCCCCCCTAAATTGGATTTTATTTTTTTTATTTATTTTTTTTTATTAAAAAAAAATAATAAATAAATAAATATATATTCCCATGGTTGACCTAAAAAAGCTGACCTTACCCCCCCCCCCAACGGAGCAAAATGTCAAATTTTCAAATTTCGAGACAAAAAAAAAAAAAAAAAATATCCCCCCCCCCCCCCCCCCCCCCCCGCTTATTCAGCGGTTGGCTGAGTCGTTGCGAAATTTTCGGCCCGCTTTATAAATGTTAAAACCCCCCCCTTGAAAAAATCCTGCGTACGCGCCTGAATGTATGCATCAATGATATCTCTATTAAAGTGTTCACAAATATGCTACTACCCTGGTCATCAAAAGCAAATTGTCCAAAAATATTGTATCTGGTAGGAATTCAATTCATTTACCAATTACGATATTAGTTTTCAATGTTATCTCATTTTATCTACAGTGGAGGTTTTTTTTTTTTTTTTGGGGGGGGGGGGAGGGGGGGACAGCAAAAGTGGAAGTGACTTGTGCAATCCACCTCCCCTTGGAATTAGAGGGAGTGAATCTGCCCCCCCCCCCCCATTTACTTGGCCTGGTATGATTTGATAATTTTTGCATTGCATCTATAGGAAGATGAAGGTAATGAACTACATTTTCACACTGAGCCTATTTTTAGGTATCTCTATATTTGAATGGCACATACAGCTGTTTCTGCAATCGTTATGTTGTATTTGTACAGTTGTACAGTCTGCCTGTCTGCATACAAACTGTCTAGGTTTATAAAGTCAATAATTGCCTTTCATTCTTACATTAAATGTTAGACCTCATCAGTCAGAAGTATAGATTACTTTGTATTAAAAAGGGTTTCTATCCTTTGCCTGCACAGCAGCTACTACTTACTAGGCCCCTATCATTATGTAGAGCCTTACTTTATTAAATAGGCTCTTAACTTCCTCTTAACTATGATTATTTCTTGACTTTGTTTGTTTCAGGGTTTGAAGAGGGAGGATGTCTTTATAACAACCAAAGTGTGGAACACATTTCATGCCAAGGAAGACGTCGCAGAGTGTTTTAATCGATCATTGACTGATCTACAGCTAGACTACATTGATCTCTACATCATGCACTGGCCGTTAGGATTTCAGTATGTAAAGTCTAAACACTTTTAACCCTTTAACTATTGGAACAGAGTAATGCTTGTAGTAAGCCTATGGTGATGAGAGAATTCAGGGACCCGTTTCACAAATTCTTTTTTCAAAGACAAATGACAAAAATCAGTGACAAAGCAAGGATTTCAGTAGCTTATAACAAAAACTGTCATTTGTCACTGATGACAAGTTTTATGAAATGGGGCCGAGGAGTCAAAAGGTTAAATGAAAAAGCTCAAGTTCTGGTGTGTATAGGTGAAAAAGCTTTGTACTGAATCATTTTGGACTTTTATGGAAGACCTTGGTAGTAATAATGTGATAAACTTTGAACCTCTTAAAATGATTCATTATTTGTTTAAACTTTGGACCAAATGTCGATGCCTTATGTGTGAACCTTATGTGTATCATCACACCATTTCTGTGTATTTTATTTTCCCCTGTATGTGATATCATAACAAGAGAGATAAAATAAATCAATTTTGACTTTCCAAACTTTTTTTTTTTTTTTTTTTTTGGGGGGGGGGGGGGTATTTGCCTTGTACAGGTTACAGGTGCATGGATAATGCAATCATTATAATGCATGCAGTGAGACATTAATTTTCTCAAACTTGCTACTGGTTGATAATCCCATTCAAAAGCTAACATTGTAAATCTATAAACTAATTCTCCTATGTATTGATTGCAGAAACCTTGGTCCAACGGTCATGTTTCCTCGCACAGAGACTGGTGACATAGTTTACTCCGATGTGCACTACCTAGAGACATGGTCAGCCATGGAAGACCTGGTCAAGACTGGTAAATGCAAATCTTTGGGACTGTCAAACTTCAACAGCAAGCAGTTAGATGATGTACTCCAGCATTCCACCGTTCCACCATCTGTCCTGCAGGTACGCATTGAGTAATGCAGTCAAATCTGCTTTAGTGACCACCTGTCTACAAAGACCACCTGTCTACAAAGGCCACATTTGTTGTTTCCCTTGAAAATAGTTTCTCATTGAATCATGTTCTGAAGGAACCTGTCTACAAAGACCACCTGTCTACAAAGGCCACTTTTTGTGTTTCCTTTAGGTGGTCGCTATAGACAGGTTTGACTGTAATTATTATGATAGTATTAATAATCACATTAAATTTGTATAGCACCTATTATTTACGATTTAATTCTCTATGCGCTTTACATTCTAAACTTGGAGAACATAGAAATATTAAATGCTGAAAAATATAAAAGTGCTGCGAGAAAAGATAGATCTGAATTAAGGGCTTTCGTAGAGGAGATGTATTCATAATTGTTACGGGTAGAGAATTTCACAGAGCAGCTAGAGCTGATGCTGTGAAGGTCAGTTTCCATATGTTTACAGAGTGTACACATAATTGATAGGCAAACCTCCAAGGCCATTTTGACATATTGTGGTAAACCAACTTTAATTAATTTTTTTTTAAAGTCTTGGAAAAAACATACCATATACGATTGAATGGCAAATCTGGGACCTATCATATATCATCCCACGCCACCTTCAACTCACTGTGCGTAGTGATGAAGAGCTCAACAAGCTTTTGGGTGGGGTGACGAATCTAAGATCAAAGAGCTGTAATTAATTTGTACCACGGTGCTTTAAGGTTAAGATTTGAATCTTTCCCCTCATACTTCACAGGTGGAGAGTCACCCGTTCCTACCGCAGGTGGAGCTGCTAAACTTCTGTCGAGAGCGATCAGTGGTGGTATCAGCTTACAGTCCTCTTGGCTGTGGAGACAGGGCTTGGAAGCTGTCTGGTGAACCTAGTATATTTGATGATCCAGGGTTACTGAAAATAGCTCAGAGACTCCGCAAAAGCATTGCCCAAGTTGCTATCAGGTAAGGGCATTTAGTGTAAGACACATAGTTCTGAAACGAGTGCTCAACGGTCAATTACCTACACCAAATTGTGTAACTTCAATCCTGGACCTATCGCTGTACCTCATCCAAACCCTAATATTATCATTTCCACTGCTTTTTTTGCCTCTCGATCTGCACAGTAGTTTGTTTGCCTTATGGGCAATTTTGCACAAAACAGTAGGAATCAATTTATAGAAGGGTTGTTTCATGCACTACAATGGCTTTTTAAAATCATCCATTTCCTTTTTGTATGACATTTAAAGAATTAAAGACTTCTATATTTATTTGGTTGATTGATTTTAGGTATCAGGTGCAGAGGGGTATCCCTGTGATACCGAAGAGTGCTACTCCATCTCACATCCAGGAGAACATCAATGTCTTTGATTTTGAGTTATCGGAGGATGACATGGCGCTCTTATCAAGCCTGCCCAGGCGACGCATACTTGTACCACCCAAGAAGGTAATGTAATTGATGGAACGTTTCTTCTTTTGTTCTGGAAAAAGACAATAAATTATATATTCTATATTCTATTCTATCCTAAAGGCATTTGTCTGATTATAGTCCAAACGGCAGGTCTATGGCTAGGGGAAGGGGGGGGGGGGGGGTTGACATCCCTTCCTCCTTCAGAAACTTTTAGTTGACTAATTCATATATACACAAATTTAGAGTGTTAGAGAAATATTGTGTGAATATGTCAAGTGTATTGAAAAACTGTTTCTTAAACAAAAATTTCTTTTCTTCTTCAGTTTGATAAAAATACCCTGAAATTTATGCAATTAAAGTGGAGCTGAAATAAGTGACTTACCTTGAAGAATCTTGATTCAAGGAAATACTCAATACTCAACAAGTAATTATCTCTCTTCCTTCACCTCTTGCCCCTTGCTCCTATCTCACTCTATCCTTTTATTTTTTCTCTTTCGACCTCTCGTCCTCTTCCTCTGTTTGTCTTGCTTTTCCTATTTCTTGCTTGCTTGTTCTACATTTCTCTTTCTATCTGTCTGTATGCGTGTCTGTCTTTCTCTCTTTCTATCTGTCTGTATGCGTGTCTGTCTGTCTTTCTTTCTGTCTTTATCTCTTTCTATCTGTCTGTACGTGTGTCTGTCTGTCTGTCTGTCTTTCTCTCTATCTGTCTGTATGCGTGTCTGTCATTCTGTTTTTCTTTCTGTCATTCTCTCTTTCTATCTGTCTGTCTGTCTGTCTGTCCTTCTCTCTCTCTTTCTCTTTGTCTTTCTATATATCTGTTGTCTGTCTTTCTCTCTATCTCTCTCACCTACAGGACAAGGATAACAAACCAATGGTGGACAGCGACGGTCTAGTGATCCCTAGAGATGGATCACATCCCTATTATCCCTTCCATGAGCCTTTCTAGAAACACTGCCTTAGAGTCTTTGATTGTATGGACATGAAATAGAGCACAACTTAATGCGTGAAGGTCAATTTGAGTTCTGATTATTAAAAACAAATGAAGGAGCAAACATAAGGAACATATTCTTAGTTTTATTCCTATCATTGTAAGCACCATCCAGACTTTCCTTGATTTTGAGCAAGTAAATGATGAATCTTGCAACTGTTTGCTGAGCCAAGTCATGCAATTTTTGCCACATTCTATCTGGTGTGCAGTATGTGGGGGTAATAAATGCATATTCACACTTGAAATCAAACTGAGGCAAGTAAACTGTGGGCCAAAATTTCTGAAAACACAAATTTAATTTTCTTACCATTCTTAATCTTGAGACACAGAAAATATAATACATGCTTCAAATGCTCAGCTCTTTCATATGAAACCAAAATGTGGAAAAAATATTTAGCTTTGCTTTTGAAACCATTATCAGAACTCAACCTCCCCCTTTAATCCTGCTGTAGAAATTATCGAGTTCATAAAACAAATATGAGGCATGATTGGTCAACAGTACTATTGAAGTAGTAATAATTATTGATAACCAAAGGCAATGTAAATCATGATCAGACGTGATTGGGAACAGCTGTATGTGTTTGCTTTGTACTTACTCATCTAGTTATGATAGCTATGATCATAGATTTAATTCTTGCCATGGAAAGAATAATTTTCCTTAAGTCTTACTGAAAATTAACACATTTTTCTCCCATTTAAATGTTGATCATTTTTTCTTTGAAATGTCAGGAATCTATTACATTTTCAATCAAATTAATAAACATGATTTCAACTACATGTCAAACTGTTTAATACATAGTTCTCTAACAAACAAAAACAAAACATGGATTTTCATGGATATTGAAGGCTAACATTTGGAGTGGACTTTAAAAGATTATTATAATTATTATTATTATTCATTTGTTCTACTACTCGTCAGGACAGATTTGATAAAAACAGGTTTTCATGTGACGAAGATGGATGTTGTTCAGATGAGCATTCTAAGTATAATATGCTGTATGATATTTACTTGCAACAGGTGTATTATGATGGCTCTAGAAGATAAAACATATATCATGCCAGGGAGTGTTATTGGATATAATGTAAGTAGTGCCAAATACTGAATAGAGTATATTGTAATGTGCAATTATGATGTCAGTTTCTGACCATTTAAACTAAAAATTTGCTGCTCAGATTTCAACAATATCTATAGCTGTAATGATTTCAAGTGAGTTTTGTCTCTTTAAATGGTATCAAGGGATTTTTTTATATTTTGTTTTATTTTACAAAATGCTATTAACCTGCCCAAATTTTAGCAGCTGAAATATTTGTTGTTGGTACAATCTAAATGTTTCAATAGATGTATACTAATATTAGTGCAATCTCATATGATAGTCTTATTCAAGTACTTCAGTGTATGTGCTTTCATTTCTAAATTAGCACTAAGAGACTTATCTGAGTTGATGTTTTCAAGTCTCTTTGGATTGAATTTCGATCACTTGTAGGATCTGTTTGCGCGCCTTACAAATGTGCCACAATATATTTGTTTTTACTGTGATTATAATGTCTAAGGGAGACATTACTTTTCTTAAATATGTCATACATATCAATCAGATCACAGAAAAACTAAAAGTTACACAACTTTCAACAGAGAAGGAACTTTGAGCTGTGCATCTGTGCAATCCCATTCTCTTCAACTCAAAAATTGTTCAAAAGAAACTTGAAAAAAATGTATTTTCTTGTCAAAATCTTCCAGTTAATTTCTATATTTTTATCAATGTCATCCATTCCAGATTATATGTACTCACTTTGCCTTATGTAATTTTCTAAACTGTTTGTTGTTTAGGTGCTTTGAGTATTTCTTGGTATAGATATGAGCGTATGAGAAACGTTGCTAAACTTGCTTTTATTAATATTGCTAATCATGGAATGGAGAACTTATTAACTGGTGTTTGTTTTCACACAATAGCTTGTGTATTGAAGCATTAACAGTACTTTTCACTTTAGAATTATTTTATTTACATGAAGTTTCATATGAAATAGAATATTCAACATAGCAGTGTAGTTTCATAGAGATCACTCTGCTTTTTATAAATTAAGAAGCCTTGAGGTGTACCCATGGCCCTGTCAAGAAATCTAGTCATAAGTCGTTCCTAAGTTAATTGAAAGAGTATTTGAACTTGCAATATCTATTCATAGATAGAAGTAATATTTGAAGCTCATATATTTTGACAAAACTCTAGTGACATTGAAGACCTAACATACACAACTAAATGTTGTTTAACCATATTTGTGGCTTACACCCAGTGAATAAGATCGATTGATCAATCTGTAGTTGAAAACAAGTCAGAAAAAAAAATCTTACAACAGACAGGATTTGAACCTGCCATCTACTGCTTGCCGGGCAGCGACTCTACCACCAGGCCATCACTGTTCCATGGCACAGCATACATGCCAACTGTTCAGATTAAAGAGGAACATTCCTCTTTTTGGGAGAAGATAATTATCATTTTAATGCAGGTGTTCCTCTTCTTGTACAAATTTGTCTGTAGTATTGAATAGGAGAGTTAGGATTGTTCCTCTTTTTTTTTTAAATAGCATAATTTGTAGAGATTTCTGATTTTCAAATGTTGGCATGTATGGCACAGTCACGAACTAGAAACAAATACCCAAGCTCTCCTGATTCATTCTGAATTTTTAATATTCATTAGTCCACCATTGGGACAATAACTTTTTTTAATGTAAAGTGTAAGCCACAAATATGTTAAAACAATTTAAATTTCTCCCAGGAAGCATTACATTTATAAAAACATCTAAATGTATTAATTGGTACACCTTACATGGCACAGGAGAATGGTTTATTTTTGGTTACCCCATAAATATTTGATATAGTGAGCTAGATTAAGATGTCACTATCCATGAGACAGTATTTAGTATATATTTCCCTTTCTTTAACATACATTAGAATGTTATCAAATATTGACGATTTTAAAAATGTGAAATTTCTGCAATTTTTGACAATCATTCAGAGATACATTCCAGTATTATGACATGTATCATATTAAATATCCGTCAGTGATATCAGATGATAGAAGTGTATTAAAATGAACTAAATTCAAAACCATTGTCAAGATCTATTTTGTTGATATTTTTATTCGTTCATGAGATATTACATGATTTTGTTTATGATAAAGAATGTAACATTATTTTTTACTTAGCACAGGCTTAAATGTAATGCACTTTGTTGGCAAAGTTCCAAGAACCCCCTCCTCCCCCCCCCCCGACCTAACAAAAAGAATATCCATATTTTTAAGATACACATGTAGAATGTTTGAGAAATCAGATTTTAGGGTCTAATTATTTGATTGTCAGCATCAATTATAATGTGTTACATCAAACTTGATGAGGAGCATCCCTTGATGAAATTGATTCTTAGTCCAATCTTTAAACAAGACAGTGTTCAATACATGTAAATCTCAAATACAGAATATTTTGTGCAAATTTTGGAGTTTGAGAAATGATGCATTATATTGAATAGGGGGGGGGGCAAATTTGCCTTGTGGATCAGATAACTCTTGACAATGTTATTTAGAGGAATATAATTATATTTTGTCCTCAACTTAAAGCCATTGAAAACATATTTCACCCGATTCCATGTTGGTGTTGATCACACTGTCCATATAACTTACAATCTTCAAAGGAGAGGGGGAGGGGGGGGGGGGGGAAGAGAAAATAATAATTATGGGCTGATGAACGTAGCCAGAGTTTGATGTTTGGGAGAGCACCTACATGTAATCGTTCGAGGTAAAAAAAAAAGGGGTCTAAAAAGTTCAACCGATCAACCCCCCCGTGGCTACATGCCTCCCCCAGCAGAGAATCTTGGATCTACCACTAAAAAGAGGATCTTGATACATTAAGGAAGATCATCAAATCACTTAGAAAAAGACGAATCTGGGTTTACAGTACTGCCGTGGCGGGACTCGAACCGCGTACCATCTGATCCACAGTCCGAAGACGTGTCCACTAGATTACGACACGCTCCAAGGTTCGCGGATCGAGTCCCGCCACGGCACAAATGTCCTTTGACAAGACATTGAACTTTTTTTCCTTCTCCACACCGGTGCAAAATAGGTACCGGTATGAAGGAATTCCTTGAACGCCGTGAGCACCGAATTTGGTAGCCTTGCAGAGCAGGGGTATTGGGGTAATATTGGAACGCCGGTTGCGTGGTTAATTCATGTGAAAAAGTTTAAAAACTGGCACAGAAAATGATACAATACAACCAATGGCAGGTTCCGGTTTACGTTTGTTTGGCATTCCATTCAGATATTACTTTAATCTGAGAGAGATAACTGCAGACAAACGTTTCACAAAGTTTTTCAGAAATACTGCACGAATTTATTGAGTATACAAAAACAGCGGCCTATAATCTTTGGGTGGGATAATTTATTAAGAACTTTAATTTTCATAACAAAAAGTGTGTCGTTGTCAAGTCTTTATCTCTACCATCCGTTTAAACAACCAGTTTCTTATTTTCTTATAAAGTCTATCGTGACAGCACAACAAACAAAACAAAACAAAATTATGATAAAATTTAGCGAAATAATTAGCGAAATCATGTTGCTATGGATATATTCTCTCATCTCCCTAAAATCATTTCATTGCTCTTGGGTTTTCGAAATGCCCTATGAGATAAGTTTTATATAATTTATTTATGTACTTAGGCAATTTACAATCCAGGTCGGCCTAATATTAAAGCTTATCTGCCATAGTTTACAGGAGGGATTAGAGCGCCCTGCAAGGTCACTGGACAGGTGGTTATCTCATCAACTCAGCTCTCAGTTAACATAAGAAAAAGAGGATGATGGGGGACCAATGGTCACCGATTATGAATTGTTTGTTATATAGAGGGCGCAAGTAGCTACAAGTAGTGCAGTGGGCCTTTAAAGAAGTTTGCATTTGAATGATATAAGCATTGATAATAGTATCAACATTTTTTAAAATATAGATTCAGGCATGTAGGGCCTACACATAAATGATATAAATAATGGAGCTGAACGAAATATGATAATGGATATTATAACCTGAAAATAATACTTTATTCACAGTTAAGATTATGCAAAGCATTTAAACACAATTACAGCACAAACGAAAAATGAATGAAAATTCGACGTTTATATAAATAAATGAATGTATGACATTGCACCAACATAATCATAAAATTGTAATGAATACATACACAATATAATATACAACGGAACTGGAAAGGATCAATCTTGCTTTTAATATTTATGATATCATAACGTCTTAAAATTTGCATATAATGTGCTTTCCGTAATGATTGTCAAATGTGTTATGAATAAATCTAAAAAAATGCAAAGTTAATCCAATTTGATAACAAGCGTTAATCCTATAAACACAGATTCAAGGTTTGTAAAGCAGACATCGTACTGGTTTCAACCATAAAATAAATGATTTCACACTGTAAGCTTTTAAGGCCCCTCTAAAGTGCTGGGAACCCCAAATTCACCCAACACTTGATGGTAAAATTTCACTTTAATGGTATCATAATGTAAAAGAGGATGTCATAAGTTGTAGTCTTTCATCAATATTTGACTTCATATACACTTGTTTTAAAAATCCTTGCAGAATGACAATCTCTCTTTCACTTTATGATAGAATTTAAGTAAAATTTTTGCCATCAAATTGTTGGGGCTCCCAACACTTTAGAGGCGCTTTAAACATTACAAAGCCAAAACTTCTATTTCTTGCGGATTAGCTCTCATTTTATTCACGGCTAAAATTGATTCAACCTCCGAAAGACATATTCGTAATGCCTAATACATTCGTCAATAATCTAATTATTATAGTTATTTTGAAAACAAATCAGTAGCATATGATTGAGAATTGAATAAAAATGGTGAATAAGTAGCACATCACTTTGTAGACATAACCCAAACGATGAGAATATACAATTATGATAGGAGCTAATAGGATCGAAAGGTCTGCCGAAAATTTCCAAAGAACAGCTAGAAAGAGAAAAAATAAGCAAATGTATGTCCCGAGCAGATTTCAATTTGCTGTCAACTCATTCGAAACTACTTACGAAAATCAACCTTAGGCAATTTCAATGTCTTGTACGTCACATTTTGAGTGTGCGAACATTATAATTACGTAATCCGAATATGATTTCTAATTATTCAATGTTCAATATTTATATTTATATTTATTCATTACATTCTCATTTATTGCTATGATACTTTTGTGTGTTAGTGGTACCAGTCACGATTAGCATTAAATGCTATTTTCGTCCTTGTTTTCACGAAGTGACGGTAGTGAGGAAAATCGTAACGCAAAGTGAATGCAATTTTTTTCACTACCGTCACTTCGTGAAAACAGCGACGTTTTCTGGTCCCATTTATCCTTTGTTAAGCCATAGGAAAGAAATGAGCCTGCCGCATACTCCTGCGGCAGACTTGCCGCAGATCTGCAGCAGACCTGCCGCAGACAGTCATCTTTTTCACATGCAAATTAGTTTTGCCGCAGACTTGCCGCAGTCTTGCCGCATACTCTTTCAGTATGATGAAGAGTCTACGGCAGGTCTGCCGCAGACTTGCTGCAGACCTGCCGCATACTCTTTCAGTATGATGAAGAGTCTGCGGCAGGTCTGCCGCAGACTTGCTGCAGACCTGCCGCATACTCTTTCAGTATGATGAAGAGTCTGCGGCAGGTCTGCCGCAGACTTGCTGCAGACCTGCCGCATACTCTTTCAGTATGATGAAGAGTCTGCGGCAGGTCTGCCGCAGACTTGCTGCAGACTTGCCGCATACTCTTTCAGTATGATGAAGAGTCTGCGGCAGGTCTGCCGCAGACTTGCTGCAGACCTGCCGCAGACTCTTCGTCATGAATATTCATATCTCATATAGACCTGCTGCAGACCTGCCGCATACTCTTTCATATCCAGTACGTGGCAATAAAGTATGCATGTAGGAGAACCAGTGATAAACTGATTGATACTTCATAATCGATATTGGCAATATCGATATTACCAATTAGGTAATACCAATATATATCGATATTACCAATTAGGTATATTCTATTCTCAATTGTATTAACTTCATCACATTGATCATTTGAAGTGTATTCAAGAGTAACATTTTAAGTGACACAGGCTCGTACACATATATATACTAAATAGTTTCTTGGTTAGTAATCAATATATCTATTGCTTAAACGTGAATGTAATTGTAACATGATCAGACAAAATAATCTATTGGTTAATAATGGCAAAAGAAAAATAGAAATCACAAAAATGATGTGCATTGTCTTAATTTGCTTAACAAATCATGATAAATGTATTTTTCTGTCACACGTGTAAAGTAATAATGAATTTGTATGAGATGATTGGTTTCAATTGGCCCTATTAGACTTTAATGGGATTTCCTGTGGCAGACCTGCCGCAGACTGTTCCTGTGGCATACTAGTATGCGGCAAGTCTGCAGCAAAATTTCATCCTGCCGCAGATCTGCCGCAGACTGTTCCTGTGGCATACTAGTATGCGGCAAGTCTTGGAGCAAAGTTTCATCCTGCCGCAGATCTGCCGCAGACTGTTCCTGTGGCATACTAGTATGCGGCAAGTCTGCAGCAAAATTTCATCCTGCCGCAGATCTGCCGCAGACTGTTCCTGTGGCATACTGGTATGCGGCAAGTCTGCAGCAAAATTTCTTTCTGCCGCATACTTCGGCATACTCTTTGCCGCAGACTAAAAGTCTGTGGCAGGTCTGCGGCATACTTTTCACTTTCCTATGGGAACCATTCACATTTGATTGTTATTTTGATGTACTTTTTGTTTTTGGATAATAAACTTCAAATTCAAACTCAAACTCAATTTGTATAGATCTATGGGGTATTGAAATTCAGTGGCGTAATGAGCAAAAACGTTTAGGGGGGGGGGGGGGCTGACAAAAAAAAAATCCGAATCACCCCACTCTAACATGCAGTCCCCGCCGAATGTTTCTCAAAGTGGGGTCTAGGGGCAAAGCCCCGGCGGGGTCAAGGGGCAGAGCCCCCGAAGCTCAAGAGGTATGGGCATCAGTGGCGGATCCAGGAATTTCTTACCGGGGGGGGGGGGGGCACAACATGGCATGGGGTGAAATGTAAGTAAATGGTTGAAGCGACAGAACGAGGCTTTAACGGCGAGGGAGTGGAGCGACCAAGCAGGGGTTGTGTCTGGGAGGGGATTCTGGCCCCCTCCCAGAGTAAGAAGCATTTGCAATTTTAGAAACAAATTAGACGCATTATCAGGCACTTCCTGGAGTAATATGACGTAAATTGCTTTCTCCTACCCCTTCCAAGAGGCCTTCTTGAATTCAGACAAGATTAAAAGTAGAGAACGGTACAACGAATCGTCTTCTTTCTCTAATAATTTAATGAAACGGCAAAGCTTCCGCGCTTCGCGCGGGTGGGGATTCGTTAGAAGTTAGAGAAAAGTGATCTGTCACGTCGTGAGACGTTGTATAAATTATGCCTTGATGCCGCACAATGCACAAAGACGGTGGTCCGGTACTTCACCGTAGTACTTGCAAAAATTATCTCGAGTGTATAAAGTGTGTCGTTATCGGGGGCGCGGCTAGATCTTTTTCAGTGGGGGAGGGGGGGGGAGGGTGTAGAGGCCACCGATTACCGACAAAACGAGCCACCAATTACCAACAAATATAAAAATGCCAATGTCCAAATGCCTACAAATTTAACCCTATAAACCCGGGGCCAGATACTAATTCATTTTTTCAGTTCCCCCCCCCCTGGCCCCCAAGCCCCCCCCCCCCACCAGTACGCCAGTGTTGAAATTGTCTTTGAGTTGATTTCTCGAAAGTAGTTGCGATCGTGTTTTACATAGCCTATGAAATAAATCTGCCTATGAAATAACAAGAGCAGTGGCGTGGCATGAATCTCGTCAGCAGTGAGGGACTCTGCGATCATTGGGAGGGAAGGGGGTGGTACCAGAAATATTGATTGACGATATGCAAGAGAACAAGTCCAGAAAATGATGGGATGGTATGGAAGGGTCGTATCACTTTTTTTTCGCTCACGTCACCCTTCCCATCTTGCTCTATTTTCACCATTTGATAGGCGATGGTGGGGGAGGGGTTTGTGGGTGCCTTCCCCTTGCAGCCATGGCCCCATGACCCATGTAGCTATGCTACTATGAAGGATAATAAATACGGCTTATAATACAGAAGGGCCCGCAACACTGGACCTCCACTCTTATGCATAGGAAAATTGATTGAGTTGTTCAAACGTCCACTATTCTGTTACTATTTCACAAAGAGTTTGGTCCAAGGATTAGAAGTTCTCCTTTCTGAAGTCCATCTGATATTTCAAACATTTAGTTCGGATAATTTTTCCAAGAGCAGGAGAGCCACAGAAGAACACGGTGATTCTGCCTTTCTCTTGCCGTTTCAGATTCTGGAAAACCTGTATTTGGAATCAAATACAAATAAAAACATTGATCATAGATTACGTTTATGTTTTAAAAAAGCCAGGTCTTTGCAAGTCATCACTGGTGCAATATATGACATATTATTTGTTTTGCTTCTTGCCCTGTGCCTATGATGATTTCTTTCTCTAAAGTAAGGTAAATAGAAGCATGCTATAACAGTGGGTCAGTTTTCTGCTAATTTTTTGGTTTTTATTATCTCATACTTCAAAATAGTTGTGAGTAATACTGTTTTAATAATGAAAATGCAAACCTGAAACCAAAGCGGAGCAAGGAATTTAAAAAAAAAGGGTAAGGGCGGGGGGAGAAGAAAGAGAGAAAGAGAGAGAGAGAGAGAGAGAGAGAGAGCGATGGACATAGAGAAAGAGAGAGGAAAGAAAGAAAGAGAGAAAAAGAGACAGGGACAGAGAGAGAGAGAGTGAGAAAGAGAGAGCGAGTTTGTACGATCGTGAATTCGTACCCAGTTATTTAATCATGGCAAGTGTAATTAAAGAAAAGATTAAAACGTACTTCTTCCCAATTCGGCCTTCCCGGCTGGGTTCTCGTCATCAAACCCGTGATCGTATCTCGCTTATTCTTCTTATGGATGAGATCGAGAGCGACGTGGAGTCCGATGGCCTTCATGTCACTGGGTGAGAGAGCTGATGTCATGTAGAGATGGATGTCGAGAAAGCGACCTGCTACGGGTATCTCTGCTTGTTCCATTTCTATGGCGTTCAGAAGGCTGATAAACCACTCGAAAGACAGCTGCTGACGATTGATCCAGAAAAAGTCCACCTTGGAAAAAGAGTTATGACGAAAGAATATAACTAGAAGTATCATCATCATCATCACCATCATAATCATCATCATCATCATCATCATCGCCATCACCATCATCATCGCCATCATCATCATCATTATCACCATCACCATCATCATCATCATCACCACCACCAATATATTAGGAGGAGCAATGTGAGATGGCAAATATTGTATATATAATTAATTCATAATTAGGTTTGTCAAATAATGATATCGGCATAGGAAGAGTAAAGCATACTTCTGAGTATTACCTTCTTGGTTTTAAGTATAGTTGCTGCATCAGCCACCCAGGCATGATGACAGTTTGGACAGTGCTTCTTGGCTGCCTTATATCTCTCGTGGATGCTCTGCAGAATAGAGGCAAACGGTGTGATACCTATTCCTGCCCCGATGAGTACGGCATGTTCAGCCTCCATGATATGCTGCGCAGGTGCCCCATACGGACCATCTAATATAACCTGCAAGATATATCATTTATCATTAAAATCCTGACCAAAAGAGATACACGTTCAGATGATTTGATTCCTATTCATATTGTCTTTTAGGCCTTGAGGCCTTATATTTTCTAATAATATTTTAACAAATAAGAACGTAGCATCCATCTAAACACTGCTGCAAGTTAGGGATGCAGTACATATTTAGAAAATAACACTTGGAACATCATTCACCTTGGTACTTGGTAGGATTCCTCCAAAAGACGCCGTAAAGGTGTTTAAACTGGAGGTGTGTCGTTGTGTGCGGCCACCAACATAAGGTGCTGGTTTTAAGTTGGTTTTAAGCGCAGATTTCAAAGTATTTAAGGAAGGTTGGGCTACAATTATTTAGGGAGATCTTTTCCGGTTAACTCCATTTTGAAGGACGGACAAAACGTGAATTTGTCACGTAGATACACAGCATTATGTCTTGCTGAAGAATATTGTATTATCTGCTCGTGTAAACATACATATCTTTTTCAAAAGAGTTTAAGGGATCATCTTTTATAATCATGTTAATTGTAAAGTGAGTAATGTTCTTCTATGCATTGTCTATATTGTATACAGTATGAGTATCATGTATTGTACTTTGGAACGTAAATGATATCACACTAATGGACATTATGTATGTTTAAAATATGTATGTTTGATATTTGATATAGAAATCAATAAATCAAATCAAATCAAATCAAATCAAATCAAATCTGTAATACTTTACCTCCATTCCTGTATGCGGAGCACCACCTAGACTCCTAGCAACATCCAATGAGTGCAAGGTGTGATTCCTTCTTAGCTTCTTACGACTGTTCTTCTTGCTCAACGGTGGACCTGACTTCCTGCCCACATTGTCATTGAGTTTCTTAGTAAATAACCTCCTACTCAGACTAGAGTCCGTCCTTTTAATCATCACCGGTGGTACTTCAGTGGTGTCTCCTTGCGGTGGGTCTGATGCAGTCGTGTCTAACGCTGTTCCATGACCGTTTGATGCCGGTATAGAAGACCTCATGGCATCCTGGATGTCTATGCTCTCGAGTGAGTTCAAGTGCTTCAGTTGGAAGCCTTTGCCTTTGACGAATCTTGACTCGGTGGTTCTTTCATCCACCGCGGTGACATGGGACGGTGATCCTCCATCTCTGACGGGGGGTTCGTCAGTCTTAGATGTAGAATCACTGGTATTCACAATACCTGGTAACTTCACTCTCTGAAGAGACTCGCTCATTTGTTCCGATAAAACATCATCTTTCCTATGGCTATTACACGGAGTCCCATCCACAAGAGTCGTCTTCGTAGCTTCGGCATCGATCGGCGATTCGGGTTCGAATCCCGAGTTCATTTCACCACTGATGTTCCGCTTTCTACCACTCGCTTTCTGAGGAGAGCCTTGACCAGTCTTACGTAATGGCGAATCTAAGGGGGTATCCCTCTGGCGAGATGGTGACCCAGAGGGCGTGGTCTTGGTAGAACATACTTCAGCTACAACATCTAATGGTTTGTCCATGTTCCTGTGGTTTAGACATGTAGTGATGACGTCATTGTCGATGTCACAAGGATCAGGCTCTGATTCTCGCAGCTGAGCAAGTTCACGTTCTTTAAACACATCGTAGAGTCTCTTTGTCCAATGCCCCAGACATCGTATGTGCAGGGATAAGAACTCTGGGAGAGTCGCAAAAGAATTATAAAAGAGATAAGAATCAAATCACATTTATCATGATAAGTACAGACTCAGAGAAATTTCATGAGATTGTTACATTGCATACTTGCTTTTCGTATACCTTAAGACTTATTTAATTTCAGCATGCAGTTTCAAAACTTAATTTTATACACCTTGAATTATCTATAAGGCAGTTAAAGCAAGTCCCTAATGTCTGTTGCACATGATGCGTCAATTCTGTTCCAGTCATTTTGATGGCAATGGTTTCGAATCCCACCGCTGCCACCATGATGAGTTTGAGGGTCTTAGTAATGGAAGATAACTCAGGATAATTTAGAGTCGGCAGTCTGGTTTGTTATGGTAGACATGTTATTTATTCAACTACAACGGATACTGGATATTCGGATGTGTAATATCGTAACAAATTCCATTGCGCCATTACCTGCGCTAATCAAACCCGTCTGGGCAAGTTGGTTCATACTCCTGCGACCCATTTCACGAAGCCTTTTTTCAATGACAAATGACAAAAATCAGTGACAAATCTACTGATAACCAATCAGAAGCAACGATTTCACTAGCATATACCGGAAACTGTCATTTGTCACTGATGACAAATTTTGTAAAATGGGGCCCAGTAAAACAAAACAATCTTCACATTGTTCGTTTTGTATTTCCTCACATGACGCAACACAAGCCGCGCCACTCGCTGACGCAGCCCTACGTCAGACTAATAACGCCTCGTGTTCAACGGACAAAAGTTTGAATAAAATGAATGAGAAATGTTTTCCTACCTAGCTGTTCTGGCGCACTGCTGATAGTGAACGGATGCCACTCATGAGATGCTATGGAAGGGATATTGACATAGATGTACTCTCCAGCGTGAAACTTGAAATTCGCGGGACGCTGGATGACAAGATGAACAACCTGTGAAGGATTTATCAATTTGTTTTCTTTTAATTTACAGTAATCAATCATTTCAATCTACTTATGTTAGCAAAGGACACCAATAATCTATCAATTTTGATGTTGCCGTTGTAGTGTGGTACGGTATGTAACTGAAACAGCTCCCGCAGGACTTTTGTGCCCAAATATATATATATATATATATATATATATATATATATATATATATATATATACATGTATATATATATTTTTGCATTTTGGATTCATTGGGGTCCAAGCTATCACAAATTGATGGGGTTCAAATTTTCCCGAAGACACCAATATACAAATTTCCTTATAGCGCTTTATATAAGCCATTTTGGCGCCCAATATGGACCCCCAGGAAATGAAGGAGGGGTCTGAAAATTTGAACCCCATCATTTTTGGCCAATTCGGACCCTTTTGAAGCCAAAACAGCAACTACAAAAAAAATAAAAAATAAAAATAAAATAAAAACAAATGGATCAAACGAAATTGAATTTTGACGTCACAATAAACATAAAACATATTATTACTTACGTTAGCTGGTAGCACGTATCCCTCTTGGATATGGATGATGCCAAACCGAGCTCTTCTATACATGCGGAGACGTAAGAAACGTTCTGCTATGTAGATCATACCTGGGACAATGAACCACATCCAAAAGTACTTGGAATGTATGACGAGCAAACACCAGAAGATGATACACAGCTGATGGGTCCAATAAAATACCTGAGAGAAAGGGAAGAACACCAGTCAGGTAAAAGATATTTACACCATTCGCTATGGGTTATAGTCACTCTTTATACGGGAAATAAAACAAAATTTCTATTTAAAAAAAAAACAATAATACAAAAAAATAAAAAAAATAATTGTCTATATGTGAACTCTGCTTCGTGTAAAAGATATAACGGAGCTTTTAATGCATAATTTAGATATGAGATCATGGATCGATAAACATATCGCCAGTGTACCTGAAATAATAAAATCGGAAATAGCCCGATTTCAACGAAACCAAATACTACATCATATCTTTCATGGAGAGGGCATATTTCAACGTTATGAGCCAAAGTTCTAAATCATTATTATGCTTTCCAAGAACTGTTTATGTGACTATTTGAGAAGAAAAAAAACAGAAAGAAAAAAGACAAAGACAAAGACAATTGTATCAGATACCTTTAAACATTACGTCATTTAAAAAAATCTTAGTACGAGCACACTTGCATTTAAATTATTAATACATGACATTGATGGTAAAACATCAAAATAAATTTCATGAGCCACCAATCATGATTTCAGGTATGAATACAATGCATCATCTATGAATCATCTCTAGTATTCACTGTATGGAGCTCAACTGATCGGTGGATGAATATGATAGTAGTCATATTTGTAAATCGCTTAATATTATGTTTCCAAGCGCTCTATATCGTAATTATTATTATCCGGGTTATTAGATTTCATTGCTATAATCCGCACAATCTCCACTTTCTGGGGAGTATTCAGACCAGGCGCCATTTTACAAGCGCACACATGCCAATCCGACCACATTAACATTGGCATCCCACCTGGTACCCATGATCTTACTTTGAAATATCCGTTTCTCCTGATGAAAGGTAAGGAGCATAGTATCATGACGACGAGTACCACTACCAGCACCAGACCAGTGATGTTACAAGCGCTCTCTACCAGCCCAACACCAGGCACAGGACGGGTTATGATCTCCGTGAGCGTCGTTTCATTCAGCATCTCTGCATGGTAGATCAGTCCTGTCAATAAAAAAAACCCCTGGACCTGTAATATTCAAAGCAACTTACATCCAAGTGTAAACATATACACTATTCTTGCCGTATTTATTTGTATCTTCCAATGATTTCCTTCTGTTACCATGGTAACATGATACTAAGTTACTACTGCAGCACTGATTGTAAAGATACAAACTGGATTGCTCGCATTTACAACCCTGGATTGGAATACCTTTAGTGTTGTAAAAACTTTCAAACCCGTGACGGCGCCCCCTGACACTATCAGAGCTATCTTTAATCAAGAGTTTGGACAACTTAGTTTCAGACTTCGAGTCGGTCACTACATGGCGTACATTCTTTTATTTTTTGCTTGCCTAACATAGCAGTATTCGCTATATTCACCAACCTGAACTGGGATGGCCAAACTCTCATGACCAATGGGTCTGGACATTATTGATTCGTTTAGCCCCGTGAAATAGGTCAGGGGGGGGGGGGGGGACTGGGATTAGAGCAGGTTACGGGTCAACTCATCTTCATAATAAGTTATGATCTATTTTACTGTGTATTATTTGTCTATATCTAAGTTTTGTTGAAATGCTTTTTAAAACTGAGCTTGTAAAACTTGCAATGTAATTTAGCTTTCGGGCTACCATTTTGCAGTTGTTCTAATAAAACCATATACTACTACTAGTACTACTTATTGTTAACAAGTACTGTTTTGAGTTCCTTACCGATGTTGGTAAGATGACCGGCGACATGAATAATCGTCAAGATGAGGATGAGAACACCTACAACTTTGTGGATGGTGACATGCTGATCGAGAGGGAGCACCGACATCAGGAATGTATTACGTAATTGCGTCAGCAGCTTTCGAAGCATCAGAACCAGCACAAAACAACAATTGAAACTAAGACAGCGACCTGTGCAGTGATTAAAACAACATAATTTTATAGTCATTTACAAGCTTTTACTGTTTCTTCTTTTGTTTTCGTAAAACCAAGTGTATAAATGGCAATAAGATTATTGCTAAATATGATGAAAATAGTTTTGTTGCTTTAAAAAAATAATTTATCCGTGGAATGATGATAATTGATTTATAAAGATCTGCACCATAATACTTATGACTTATCTCAATGATGAAACATGCTACAATAAAAGCAACAAGAAATTGTAAAGAATATGGAGATATAGACAAGGGGGAAAGAGTGTGTGTTGTGTGGGATTTGTGTGTGTGGGTGTGGAGGGAAAGATAGAGAGAGAGCGTTTGAAGAGAGAAAGGAGAGAATGAGTAGGATAAGAAGAGGAGGAGGAAAAAGAGGTAGAAGAAGGAGAGGAGGAGGGAGAAGAAAAAAGTTAAAGAAGGATAGAAGAAGAAGAAAGGGAGGGGGGGGGGTGAAGAAGAAAAAAGGAAGAAAAAGAAGGAGGAGGTGGAGAGAAGAAGGATGAGGAGGACAAGACGAAGGAGGAAGAGGAGAAGTAGAAGAAGAAGAATAAGAAGAATAAGAAGGCAAAGAAGACACAGATCTTAACCCACCTGTACTTCTCGCGATACAGAGTGCCACTGGATGCCTCTCATCATCGATGCTTTGATATCCTTCATAGGCACCCCATGCTGCCAGCCCAGCGTTGATCATCACGAAGACGGCTGCGAAGGTAATGACCGAGAAGTGATTACGGAGTGTATGATAGCTGCAACATGTCGAGGTAGCTGATTCTGGTTGGTGTTTCTTCGTCGGGTCATCGTCGCTGGTTTGAGGGTTTAGCCACTCAGCAGCACTTATGATGAAGAAAAAAGAGATGAACAAATCGTACATTAGTCGACTTAGAATGGAAATAATAGGGAATAGAACAGAAAAACCTCAAGTTCAACTGATGCAAAATTAGCCTAGTATATGACCATTGCATAAGATTTAGTTCCTGATGATGATCGTAAATTCAGTTAAAACCCGAAAATGATTCTAATCGTATTTTTCTTGAACGGTGATATTTATAAGATGAATATGACGTTTTTATTTGGTTTGAGATTGATACCTAAACGTAGGCCTATCAGAACAATAGTTTCTTCAATATTTATGACTTTATAAGCCTTTCCCGGACTCTGACAGATTTCTAATCAGTCTCTAGATGACGTGGTTGTTTATTTATATGGGACTAACGGGGTATGATTTATATACGGGCAGTGATGAGAATCATTCCAAGTTTTCACACTAGACAAATAATATTGTAATAAGTGTTATTGTCCTCAATTATAGACGATCAGGAAAGTTCGTGATTCTGTATTTGCTTGGAATGGCATTTTGTAAAGGAAAATTGATCCAATTATGTTAACAAATTGGAGAACATCCCCTCCCCGCCCCAAATGTTTTCTATTTTCTATTGGAAGTTTAGCTGTTGTGTAGGACACACAAGATGAATCAAGAGTGATTGATTGAGGTTTTTCAAAAATTATGAAATGAATACTCCGAGGAAATGATGACCTTGTTTCAGAGCCCTGTGGAAATTAGAAACGGATTATCCTGATGTCTTTTGAAAAGAATCAATAAGACAATCCGAGGAATTATTTTGGGAATCGAAACTGAATTTAATCCGGTTTGATCGATGATCAGATCACTACATGACGTCTTCATCATAACATACAAAAGGTCAAAGGTCATGATTATTTTGAGAAGATGGTATTTGACAGCTACATGTACATGTAGTACGAGAATACTTTACGGGTCTATTACCATTGCTATGAACTACCTGTAAGATCAGTGAGTTATATGGTTATATCAAAGAGATACTGGTTATATTAATGTAAATCCATAATACATCAACAAGATGGCAATGTGAAGATGCTCTATATGATTTCCAAACCAGCTCAGTTGGAACCGAGGACCAATGCAAAGGCTTTTCTTTCAAACCTTACCAGCAAACGTTCGACACTCGGTATAACATTTCAGGCCTATGAATATCACACCATTATATCATGGACCTACTAGGTCCATGATACTGTCAAACTTCCTTTAGGATAGGAAGTTGATTTCTCACGAGAGTTACATACGATAGTATGTAGAAAGTCGCATTATGGGTTTTTAAAGAATGTTAAACTTTTAAATATAAAAATTAATTTCGTGACTTTGTCAATGCATTATTTTTTCCCAAACACTTTGGGCCGTCGAATTCATGTACATGTACTACGTATTGCATTATTTCTATGCTCATTTTAACATCACCCTTACACCCTATGTAGGACACCCTTAAAAGTTACTTCATCTTGAAAACCAGTAACATCATCACCATCACAGTCACTGGCATCGTCCTCTACATCATGTCATATATCATCATCCATATCACAAACGCCAATACTTCCATACCACACCAAACCATCATCACACCCATGCACCACCACTACCACCACCACCACCACCACCACCACCACCACCACCACCACCACCACACCCCACCACCACCACCACAGCCACCAATATCGCACCAATCACCATCTCAATCATGACTTCCAGCCAGCCATAGTGACTCCCATCACCCCTCCATCATTTCACACCCTTATACCATTATCACCACACCCACCTCCATTTAAATCATTACTCCAAGCCAGCCGACCACCTAGATCAAAGTCGCGCTCTTCCACCTGTTACCATCCAGGAGATTAAATCAACATCGTCGCAACCTACCTGTACATTGATTTACGTATCCTAGGGAGTCTTAGGGTCCACGGTGCCTCCCACATAGCATCATCACCAGTCGCGTTATCTAAAGATCTAATAAATAGGTCACGAGGACGATAGGTAACCAGGCGTAACCTCCATTCTAATAATGGTATAATAACAGGTGAATTGGAGTTGGGGGAAACTCCTTTGGTAGGTAGAAGAGTTAAGGGAAACCGCCACCAGCATGCAAGCGCTATGTAGTCCGCCTTGGTTTTTTGAATGACCATAACAAGTAACTGAAGTTTATGTAACACATAACCTCGATTTTTGTATGTTTGGCTGTTTGAAACAATTTTCCATAACCAGGATGTTATTACAAGGCACCGTTTCTTGACAGAATGCCAGCATACTGACCTTACAGGGTTCAGTAAATGAAACAGTAAAATCAAACGACTTAAAAAACAGCAACTTACGAAACTGTTTACGAGTGGGCATATGTTTTTCTTCAAGCATTAATGTAAAATTTCTTCTGACATGAATTCATGAATTAATGTAACGAGTAGATTTGAAGAAAACTTACAATGAAGACCGCTTATAGCCTAATGTTACCATGGATACAACTATCGTAACTACAATAAGTTTAGGAGTGTTTATGAATTGCCCAACGAAATTATTATTTTTCCTTTTAATTATATGAAGTCATGTTGTCTGGTGTCTATCCTTGGTTGACAGTGCAAAACATTAATTATCACATACATGGCGGCTAATCTCTTAATCATCAAAATAGACATCATATTTCGACTATAATCAACTCGCTTCATCACACTTTAATTAACCCCCGTTTTAAAGACATATACATGTACACGTGAAAATGCGACATTAATTACTTTTTGTTCTCTTTTTCTGTCAGACTTTAAATTCACTACTTGTTTTATCTTGCTATCATGTAGTTATGTATGTACGCGAAGTCATCGTTTTTAAAACTTCAAATCATGTATATAATGATTTAATCTTCTGTTTCGTGTTTTCTCGCAAATAAATTTCAATCTAAGATCATACACCGACAAGCATTTGTTTTCAGAAATCAAGCCCCTTTGGATTCACGTAATTAAAAGTACGCAGTAGTTTTATGTGAATGGACCAATCAGAGGGTTTACTTCGAATCATGGGGTCGTCGAGTTGGGTCGGGTGGTCGCGTTACCCTACCTTGTGTGGAAACATATCATGGGATCTGCCCCTTTATTCATAACATGTCTTGGTGATGTTTGTGAAATAAAACCCTCTCATCTACAAATTGTCTGGTCCAATTTATCCGACACTGAGTGAAAACCATACGGCAAATCTACGAAAGTTCGCGTCATCTTCCGGTTTCGTTTCACGGAAAGTCCTGTAACGCGACCACCCGTCGACCGAACGCGACGATCCGATGATTCGTGGTTAGCCTATCAGAGTATGTATAGGGAAAAAATGATATGGTATTAGGGGTTAAATTCCCTGTTATAATTTCTAGCAGATAAGCTTTTGCCATTGCATTAGTTATTCCCACCACCAAGCATAATGACAAACAAGGTACGTGCTCACTGCTCAGACTTGATTAGTCCTTCACTAACCACTCTACATTGCTCTCCACATTTCAAACAAGTGAATAAAAAATATATAACTTTCATTATACTGAAACAAAAACTAAATCAACTTGTTTGCAAACTTAATTAAATTGCATTTTTGACGCCCCTTGGAGGAAGGATTTACCAACGAGAGTATTTGATTTTTATTTCGGAACTTAACCTAAATTATGCGGAGTGACTAGTCAAATTTTGCTTAAAGCACATGACTTACAGAGATCAGTGAACGAGTGCGATTCAATATGACGTTTGCAATAATTAATATTTGTACAGTATGAAGGCCTAATTGAAAATTTGTGCACGCTCCAATTTGAAAACACCTGGATGTAATAAGTATTTACACCCAATATAGAAATGCTGTGTTCATTGAAAACTAATGTGGTTCTGGCTCATCTGCGTATTCATCGTTCAGTTGAATGATTTGCCAGACATCCATTATTTTCATTCCATTCACCTCCATATCCATCCATTCATCCACTAATCAATCCATCCATCCTTTCATCCACTGATCAATCCATCCATCCATCATTTATCAAAAAATTAACAACACAATATTACATGTATAGCCAGTCCAAATCACATGGATATACCATTTAGTGAGACGAGGACAGATGAGGGAAGGGGGAGTGAGAGGGAAAGCGAAAAAGAGGGTGAGGGGAGAATGAGAGACGGAAAGAGAAGTGAAAGAGAGAGAGAGAGAGAGAAAGAGAGAGAGAGAAAAGAAAGAGGTGAGAGAGAAGGAGGGAGAGAGAAAGAGAAACAGAGAAAAAAGAAGAGAGAGAGAGAGAGAGGGAAAGAGAAGAGAGAGAAACAGAGACAAAGAAGAGAAAGAGAGAAGGAGGGAGAGAGATTTAGAGAAGAGCGAGGGGAAGAGAGACAGAGAGACAGAGAGACAGAGAGAGAGATTTAGAGAAGAGCGAGGGGAAGAGAGACAGAGAGACAGAGAGACAGAGAGAGAGAGAGAGAGAGAGAGAGAGGGGGAGAGAGAGAGAATTGACACAGGGCGGGGTTATCTATTTTGGTTCCATTACATTTGAATTTGGCAAAGCTGCAGATACAGTAGAAAAGCATTATTGTCACAGGTCCCGACATATAAGCAAGAGTACGAAAAGGCAGGCACATCAGATTGATGAAAGTATACATGATACAAAATGCGGCAGGAAAGCATCTTTTAAAGGCAATGATATTTGAGGATGCATGAGGAAAGTCATAAAGATTGAATATATCGAAATCATTTAGAAGAAAAAATATGGTGCAGATGGGTTGGCGTAGCAATGTGAAGACCGCTTGTCTATAAAGCCGTCTTCTTTTCTCCGAAGATAACAATTACATGGCATTCTTAAATAAAGATGACAGTATTTTAATCGTTAATGACAAATTCAAAATATTCTCTTGTATATTCAAGAATAAAAGCGCATATTATTCAGGATATTATTGTGATGCAAAAAATGAAAATCATAAAAACATCAGTAGAGAAGTTATTTACTTTGAGTCAAGCTTCGATGGAACGTTTTAATGTTTTTCAACACCCAAATGTTGTTCTGCTGCGATGAGGAGTGTATTGGTAGTATGCGATGCAGTTCTCTAATTCACTAATCCAATATATCGCATGAATATTCATGCTGAATACGCAAAAAGGTGTTCTTGATGAAATTGAGTGGATTAACAATCATGCAATTAAATAAGTAAACATGTGGCATGATTTAATTGCGGTTCCTAAAATAGACTGCATGCGATGCAAATCTTCACGCTGTGGATGTTTATTACTGACCTCAAGGCCAAGCGGATTAAACTGATTACAATATTAAAAAACCGGGAAAAAGCAACACGTCAGCTTTTTAATAGCTTTAATGTTCTCTTTGAAGTTGACTTGTCATGTTGTTACATTATTACATTTTTTTAAATGAAACGTATCGAACATTTGCATGTATGAGACTCAAGCGGGAGCCTTATATTGACTTTTGGATGATAAGCGGCAATGTCAATGACAATTAGTTTGATATTAATTAATTAAACATAATTTTTATCAAAACCAATCAATGTATTGCTTTTTATATACACCATCTGAAACGTCAAGGTAACTTATTTTAGATTTATTTAATTGATTTTTAATGAACCATTCGGCATTCATTTTCTAGAATCGGATTCGATATATACGTTTCAAGGACAAGCAATTTGATGAATCAACATGTATTTGATCCATTATCTTTAAGGGTATTTTAGTTGATTTAGCAATTGCTTAATTTTCCATTGCATGGTTAAATATGATTGCATTTATTGATTTTAAGAGCTTAAACGATCACAACTTAGTATTTACATTACTTTTGCAACCACCGTCAACATGCAAGCGACATACATTTTTTAAAGCACCGATTTGTAACACAATGAAAGCAGATTCTATGTTAAGACTAACTTTATAGTAAACAAATCGAACCATAACCATATGAATCAATATATTGTTTTGATTAGAAAAATAAAAACATAGACTTTTCACAGTATATACATTCAGGCGCGTACACAGGGGGGGGGGGGGGGGGGGGTTTGGGGGGTTAAACCCCCCCCCCCTTTGGTATTTTTTTTTGTGTGTAAACCCCCCCCCCTAAAACCTCCCCCCTTTGGATTTTTTTTTATTAAAAAAAATAAAAAATTCCCATGGCTGACCTAAAATAGCTGACCGTACCCCCCCCCCCCCAACGGAGCAAAATGTCAAATTTTCAAATTTCGAGACCAAAAAAAATAAATGAATAAGTCTCCTCTTACCCCCCCCCCCCCCCCCCCCCGCTTATTCAGCGGTCGGCTGCGTCGTTGCGATTTTTTTGGGACCAAAAGAAAAAAAAAAGTGACCTCTTACCACCCCCCCCCCCCCCCCGCTTATTCAGCGGCTGGCTGAGTCGTTGCGAAATTTTTCGGCCCGATTTATAAATGTTAAAACCCCCCCTTGAAAAAATCCTGCGTACGCGCCTGTATACGTTTAAAAATGAGTCAGCAAAATATAATTTTACGAATACACGTTAAAAATTTCAGCTCATAATGACGATAATTTTACAATTGCAAACTTATCTTGGGGCCTTCATGACTTGGCAATGACTATGATAACATCTAGGAACTAAAACTGCTTAAAAACGTATCGTTATACGTATACACCTTTATTTTCTTTGATAACTCTAAGGCGGACAATAATAACGTAGTTTCCGTAGTATAACAGACACACAGTCCATTTTCTCTGTTCTCTAATACCTCAGAATAACTAATTGTGTTTTCTCTTTATAATGAATACAGGGGGATTGTATGCTATAGCCTATTTAAAGGAAACCAAAACCTTCATACTAAGTTACTTTTATTGTAAAGCTTAAGATATTTGAAAAATATCAGTGAAAATTTAAACAAAATCGGGGAAGGAATAAGGAATTAAGAGCTTTTTGAAATGACTAGTCACTAGAGGGCGGTATTCAATTTGATGACATCATCTGTGGACAACTCTCCATGCCTTTTGTACATCAAATTTCATGTTTTTCCTTCTTTCTTGTGATTGAGATAATATACTTCCCTGAAAGCAAGATATAGAATGCAAAATGATATTCTACTTCACATGTTATGAAGTCGGATCAAGAACACAAATAAATACGAAGAAAACAAAAAAATTGTGAAATTTTATGTACAAAAGGCATGGAGAGTTGTTCACAGATGATGTCATCAAATTGAATACCGCCCTCTAGTGACTAGTCATTTCAAAATGCTCTAACTTTCTTATTCCTTGCCCGATTTTGTTCAAATTTTCACTGATTTTATTCAAATCTTTTAATCTTTACAATAAAAGTAACTTAGTATGAAGGTTTTGGTTTCCTTTAATATGCATTCACCTGCTTTCGTTCAAAAATATATTTAACGACGTTTTCAATATATCAAGAGGGTCAGATATTCATCATAAAGCAGGCAAAAAGCTGTAAATTTTTCATTATGAATATCCTTGGATATTAGACTGACGTCATCGATAACTGAGGAGAGATCGACGTAATAGCCAGGAAACGTCTGAACAACGTAATATTTCATTTATATTTGGAAAAAACTCTCTAAACTTTCATATTCTTCTTAACATCTGCCATTGCCATCATTCGCGCAAGGATGGTTCAGTTTTCTTGTTTTCTTTCATCGTCTTTCAGTGATATTTCTTTGACTTTTTGTTATTCAATTCTTTTCTCCACAAACGTACCAAACGCGACAATATATGCTGGGTAGTGATGGTTTAAGATCGTGATCAAAATACAAAACAATAAAACAAGAGTATGAAAATAAATGCAATGTTTTGAATGCCACTTAGATCTTTAAATTTACTTTTGTTCTCATTAAAAAAAGTGTCATAGCTTAAGGTATTGGTAGATCATTGGCTAAATGAGCAGATGGCAATAGCAGTTGTTTATAGCTAGGCTCATTATTATCCAGGGAACATAATATCTAGGAACGAAAAAGATTGAATTCGGAATATTTTATAAAATAACGTCACCCTTCCCATTCTAACCTGATGCTGAGATTAGCAGTGATGCCAGGGTACCGCTGGAGCTGCTCAGAAAGCTCTTCAAAGCTGACCTCACCATCGCCATCGACATCGGCATCGTCGAAGAGAATTTCAGTGAGCTCCGTCAATGTTTCATCACTCAGGGTCAACGCACTTTCAGCCGTGCATGAGTGAAGTACTGTCTTGAGTTCATCGAAGTCAATGAATCCGCTCCCTGATAGGGTTACAAAATGATATGATTTGATTTTTGTAGGTTGTCTTTTTAGATGTCATTTTAAAATCATTCATAAGTAACAAGGTCACATAGTGCCATTCATTAAACACCTCTCTCTCTCTCTCTCTCTCTCTCTCTCTCTCTCTCTCTCCATCTCACGATCTCTTGCTCCTTGTAGCTATTACAACCCCCTCAATATCTCCATCTCTCTGCCCCCCCCCTCTCTCTATCTCAATATAGCTTTCTCCTACACCAATGTTAATTTGCCCTTCGACGTATTTATTTATGTCTATTATGAAATCTCTCAATCGGGCTCCTTGTCTGATAATGATTATAAACCCGTCACAAGATCTTCTTTTAATACTGAGTAAACCTACTGAGGGAGTGTGTTAGAAATGGCCCAGCATCATCTTCAGCTGAAGTGGGAAGGCGCTTATCTTCTGTATACACAAACCTTTTTGAAGTACGTCACATGAAGTTGTACTCTTGTATATTATGATCGGTCGGGTACCAAGGATGATGAAGATGGGTGGAATTCTTGGAATGGATAATTACTATTTCTAATGATGATGCACTGGTGAATAGCTTTAAAGGTCACCAATGTACATAGACAACTTCATATTGAAAGAAAATACAACCTTTTATAAAAATGTCTCAGAGAACATCTATTTTATATTGTAGTCGAAACAAATGAGGACCACGTTGAAGGCCCATGGCTCAGATACATTGTTTGAAATATCAATGTCGTAGCTATGGAAGGGCATGGGCACGGGGTCCCTAACTTAATCTCGAAGAAAAAAATGATAAGGGGGACACGGAGGAAAAGAGAGAAAGGAAAGATGAGGGAAAGGCAACGTGAAAATAAAATGATATTACCCCCTACCACATTCTATCACTTGACGGCACTATTCTTTTTGATCCACCTAGTAAGACTGGTGCCCTCAGAGCCCCGTCGATAACTAGGTCCATTCTATGCCCCTGTCAGACCAGGGCCCTCTTTCATAACAATTTCAAAAACAAATTCTAAATCTATATTACGAATTTGCTGTCAGCCAATCAAATATACGATTTCAGTAGCTTATAACAGTTTGTGTAACATGTTATTGATAACAAGTTTTGTGAAACAGGGTCCATTTATGTATTTTGCATGCATCGAGCTTACCATCTGCGTCATAAACCTGGAAGAGAAAGTGAAGTTTCTCTTGTTCTGTTCCATTGACAAGAAGCCGCAGAGCGCCTATCAGTTCCTTCAAGCTGATACTCCCTGACTGGTCCGTGTCAATTAGCTCAAAGAACCGCTCAGCAAAGAAGGACTAAATATAGGGGAAATTAAGGTGATCAAGTTTACTTGCACTATAGTTAATGTATTCTTTATTTCATTCTCTATAAAAAATAACATTGAAACATACAAACATGATATACAGATAAAAGATCGATTACAAGAATACAAACGGAAGGAGCTAACAACATTTTATGGGAATGTGGGGATAACAAAAAGGGCAATTAGCTTTATGAACGTCAACCCCTTAAAAAGTATACACTGTATTGTTAAGGGGGAAAGGGAAAAGAAAAGCAGTGAAAACCTGAACACCAGGCATTCAGAGTCGATATAAAATTTCATGCTAAAGGAAACAAAATCAAAATGTTTTGTAAAACAAATCTATCTACAAATCTAAATCATGAGTAAGATCGCACTGATTCTCTCAATGATCCTTCATTGGGCGATATGTAAAGGACTTAAAATAATTTGCTGATATATCCATGCTGTATTTTCATTCATTTATTCATTAGAACAAATATATATATTATTTTGATTCTACTATAATACGGTTGTTGTCTTTAGTCAATGAAAATAAAACAACATTTTAAAAAATTCCTGTGGAAAGTTGAAGAACAGAATGATACCAAATTTGCTGAGGTAATTCCGTCCAAGAATTCTTTTTACCTTGAAGCTTTTTGTAAAATATAAATATAAATAATATTTTTATCTTAATTTGACAAGCCAAAGCAAGAGCACAAAGTGATCTTGAAAACGTTATATATATATATATATATACACTGAACAAAATATATTCGCTTTCTTTTCATCATAAATACTAAACCTTCCACCTAACATGCCTCCATGCAGCTCAACCCTTTCCTACAAACGTACTTCGCTCTGTCACTCTCGACTTGACTTGGTCACAAAGTGAGTGAAATTAATCAAATCTCAATTTGAAACATTCAATTTGGAGGGATTGCTAATGGCTGCAAAATACGTCAAAATGATTTCCCCTGCACCGATATGAGGTTATTAAGCTCTCATCCGAAAGTCATTGAAAATACTGGTTAATATCAGCAAAAACATCCACAACATGTATGCCTAGCCGTATACAAGGCTAGGAAAGTCATACACTTTTCATTACAATGATTTTTATTATTAACAAAAGCACGGCGACATTTCAATTTCGATGTCGGTGCTAATAAGCAGTAAAATAAAATTACATTGTTGGTCACATTTTTATTCATATTATTGTCAGAATAGTTCACTCTTAAATTGAATAATAGACAATAAATGTTAAACCCCAAAAGCCGAAGTCAATTTCGCAAACATAGAACCAATTTCAACCAGAAACTATACACATTCTATAGGAAAAACGATTTTAAAAAAAATAAAAAAATACATGTATATGTTTACGTATACAAAATTTCGATAATGAGAGCGATGTTCTTTGGTATGGTGAGTGAGTTATAATTAATTTAAATTAAATACTTTAACTTTGTTCGGAAAGCGTAGCTGATGCTTTTGATGTAAAGCGTTTTCACTCTGAAGTTGATGACCTTTCTCCATGACAGGTTACTTAGGGTGCGTTTAAAGATAAACTTGAGTTCTGGTAAAAAAAGAAAATGAATTCTCACAGAATCTAACGAAACTTACACTGAATGTTCAAGATTACAAATAAATGTCATGTGCCAAACAATTTTGGAAGAAAATGTATACTGGCTGAGTAATGAGCATAGAAAGATAAGGAAATCAGGGTAGTCCTAGCCCCGACACCATGTGTGTTGTCCCCATATACATCTTTCTGTGTAAGTGATTGTTACTTTACCAAGACTCTGCCAAATTTATGATGATTTTGATGACTCCAGAACCTTGCATTACACACCATTACTAACATGCTATATGATCAACTTTTCTGATCCATTCCACACCTTTTCTTTCACAATGCAATCGCATTACCAGAACTCAAGTTTATCTTTAAGCTTAAATTTTGAAGGCAGAATGAGCGATTTGTAACGCTCATCGTAATCGCAGTTCCATGGTGTACTGTTTATGCTCACTTCTCTGGCTCCTCCAGGCAATTCTCCCTGGGTGGCCTTAATTGGCCTTGCAGCTAGATTCGCAACCTTGAAATGCGCATGCTATGTAGACCATGATCCATGCGTAGACCCACTAGAGGTCAGTGCGTTGACCCCATTTAAACGCGTTTACAAATTGTAAACGCATCTTTTTGTGAGTTTACGATCGGCGATCGTGATCGCCGATCGTAAAAAGTTAAGCATAAACACGCCCTTAGTAAAATAAACATGCAGTTATGAAATTCAAAGAGTAGCCACTTATGTTAGCAAACAATTATTGAAAGGATGACTTAAGAGAAGACAATGAGGTACGAAAGGAAGCCAACATGTAAGTGCACAAAGTATTACAAAAGATGATTGATGTAACCAATGGCTAATGGAATGTTGCTATGTTACTGTTGTATTCTTCAAGTCCATTAAATAATTAATGGATCGGAACAAAAAGATGACAAACATTACGTCTTGGTTACATGTATATGTCGAGGACTTTTATCAAAATATCTCAGGAGGCTGAAGACGGGGCAGAAAAACATTATTGTCGAGAATTTTATCTCAATTTTTTGAGAGATAGTGTGTTTATCCCAAACAGATCATGAGACACCCTGAGGTCGTAGCCTCTGAAATAACATTATCTTTATCTCACATCGTTTGTTGAAATTGTCAATCATCTATTTCAAGATGTGAGCGAGCCAGCTTGATAAACAACAACTATCAGGATTCGATGCCATGGTCTAATCTCTGTGTTAGTGGTGTTAAGATATGGATGCATTTACACGATAGGTGGAGCTCAAAGGCAGGGCCGACGGAGTTAAGCCAATCAATTATGATCTCGTCTAGTGGATTAATCAAGCGATAAGCATGACAGCACTCAACCATCATTCCTGAACCGTCTTATGGAGGTCATGAAAAGGTTCAGCAATTAGAAGACCTTCTTTCAATTGCTTTTTTAAAATAAAATGATAAACTAAACATTGTAAACATGACTATTAATTTAACCCATTGTCTACCAGAACCGAGGGGTTCTTCTTCTTCTTCCTCATCCTCACCTTCTTCTGGGTCTACTGTTTCTTCTCTTTACAAAAATGTATTCGTCAAATGTAGGCAAATAATTGTATTGGAATGAAGCACATCTCATCACTATAGGTCTGTACAGATACTCGATACTCGTACTGACATCATTAGAATCAACAACTTTCATCACATCTTTATCCCGCCAAAATCTTCGGAAGAAAAAAGGATGAAATGTTGTTTTTCGTCTTGGGACTGGGAGAACCAAAACACAATTTGTTTCTCAGGCAAAGGGTGTCAGAGAGCAACTTAGAATAGATGTTATGGGACGAGGATATGAAAGACTAGATGTTAAGGTTCACAATACATGGCTGAAAGTCAAGCCCGTCTATAGCTGAGTTATGCCTAAAGCGTTTCATATGAATTATAAACGCACTTAATAATTTGCCGGGTGTATTTTACAAGAAATAATACAAGTTGTATTAAAGGTTAAGTTTCCCCGTATTTTGCCTAGTACTACGTCACCAGACACGTGATCGATGACAGGAAGGCTACGTCATTGAATACGTCATTGTACTGATCCTTTGTACCTTATTAAATATTACATTATACTGAAACGATCATGAATCGGTTCAGGGTCGGTTTAAAGTCGGTTTCAGCGGTGTGACTGAGGAGGTATGGCATGTATTTCGGAACTTGTCCCTTTCGTAAGCACAGTTTTATTTTAACGAATTTCATTTGGGCCAGCTATTTATAAATAAAAACGAAAATAGGTCATTGTATGAGGGGGAAAGGGTTTTAATGCAGATGACGATATGACGACAGTGGGTTTAAATAAACCATCACATATTATATTCCACGTTCTTGTTTTCTATCCTTTAAGATGGATACGGGAGAGGATAGACCCGTTTTTCTATCAGTTTAATAATTATTACCTTCATTATCCCGATATAGTGTCTGGAAATGCGGGTTTCAATGTAAAGTGCAAATCGATTCGAAGCCCCCCTATGTTGACTGTCTGACTTTCATTGATCCAAGCCGCTAACACCTGTTATTAACGAATAAACGATATCTTTATGATATCACAATGCATTCATGCCAGAGGCAATTTTGATGCATTTTCTTTTACACAAAAGGTTCCGCTTTCATACGCCGTCTCATGCCACATCGAGAGAAAGTGCCCATAGCCCCATACCATTAATTTTTTTCTTTAATGGAGTGTATTGACTAATCTGCATTTGACAAACCAATCAATAATTTTACCGAGCTATTAAAGGTAGATTTTTGTAAAAATGAACCCGCAGAGAATGACAATAATAACATTAATAATAATAATAATAATAATAATTAAAAAAATAGTAATAATAACATAACAAAAATAATAATAATGAATTTGTTTACCCATGGAAGCCTCATCAGCTGTTAATGCTGTTCTTTCTGAGGGCCCGGCTGGGATTCGAACCCTCAAACCTTGGATTGAGAGTCATGTGAATTAACCATTCTACCACGACACTCCTCCACACCTCAATATTCACATCGATGCAATTTCTTTATCCTTCTTTCATCATCATATATTTGTTATATACATATGAAATAAATACAACAAACTTTTAATGCAAATGAAATAATATTTCTGAAATTTAATTGAATATATATTTCAATGTTTGTATGACTTTTATAGAACAAAAACATGTAAGGAGAGCCTCTACACCGAAATTATTTGACATTCCCCAGGTAGGCCTATATATTTCTTTCCGTTTTTGTTGTTTATGTACCATTATTGATATTATTTAATGTCATGTTCTTATACTATTCATAAACAAACGGAAAAGGGAATTTAATGTATTTTTATATTATTCATAAACAACCGTATATTGGTTTTCAATGTATGAATACGACATACCTTCTTAACGTTCAGTGCGCTTTTGAATTCTTCCAAGTCTATCTGATTATCATCGCCAGCTATAGCATTAAATCGCTTCTCCAATTTCGCCAGCCATTTCTCGTCTCTTTCTTGCCTAAATGGTGAATAGAAGAAGAAGGAGAAGATGAGGAGGAAGAAGAGGAAGAAGAAGATATCATACACACATTTAGATAGACAGATAGTTTATTGGTTTCCACGATATCTCATTTTACGAAGAGTAACCTATTGATACAACAATCATCAAATCCAAACGATTACTTAGAAAATATTATAATACATTTCAATGAGGAACATTTATATTCCATTGTTTTCTATTTGATATGCCGTGGTAACAGTCGGATACTTTTTAAATTTTACCGAAGAATGTAAAATTAGATTATTGTGTCCTTGAAAAAGATATCATAAAAGGGCAACTTCAATGTTATAAACAATGACGCTTATTATTTATCTCGGACTTAATCGGATAAGCATTTGGCTATTTTCATCATTCATTTCACTGCCAAGAAGAAAAAAAATCTTGGTAATAACTAATAAGTGGCAAACAACATAATTTATAAAAATCAAATATCTTTTTCCACGAATTGGAGAATATTATATTAGATCTTAATGATCCTCTTGTAATTATGTGTGGGGATTGGAACCTACTTCAAGATTTTGATTCGGACTCTTGTAATTACGTTAGATTAAATAATAAAAATACTCAGCGCAAAGTTTTGGAAATGAAGAACAGTTTTCATTTAATTGATCCATGGCGCTGTACCCATCCAGACATAAAACAGTTTACCTGGAGACAACCTAGTCCTTTAAAACAAGGGCGACTAGATTACTTTTTGATATCAAACCAGCTATTTTCTTTAGTATCAGATTGTAAAATTAATAATAGCTATAGATCTGATCATGCAGGGATTAGTTTGGATCTTATGTTCGGTACTGGTCTAAAGAGACACAAATATTGGAAGTTTGACAATTCTCTCTTAAAGGAAGAGCAATATGTACAAACTGTAAAGGATAAAATAAAAGAAACTACTTTAGATTATATTGAAAAAAATGAACAAGATTATACAAGGTTTGAGGATATTGACAAAAACAGTTGTAAATTTATTCTCAATGAACAAGTTTTTTTTGAAATTCTTTTGATGGAATTGAGAGCATGTACTATTATATATAGAGTAAATAAGAAAAAAGAAATTGATAAAATAGAAAAACAATTAGAGGACAAGATCGAACAGTTGGAATTGAAGTTGAATTTGGGCATTAGTGATAAAGATAGCATATTAGAACAAATGATATCCCTCAAAGAAGATTTGGAGACAAATACCATACCCCCTCCCGCTCTGTCCTCTCTTTCTTTCGCAAACAACTTACTTTCGTCCTCACTTCCCCCTCTCTCTTTTTCTCTCTGTACTAATTTTCTGTACTAAATCAATTTACACATACAATAATAACCTCTAAACCAATTTTCTTCAATCTATTGTTCATGTGACGTCATTCAGTAGAACGATGTGAATTTAAGTGAACAATTGTTTCACAATCCACCTCAAATTTACACTTCTCTGATGAGTTTATTCACTCGATCTCGTACGTAAGTGATTGTAAGCAACTGATATGACCAGCGTCCAAGCTGTGTGTCTTGTATTGATCCTTCCCACCTGCGCTTAGTGTGTTATTGGATAGGGAGACAGGTGCATGGAATCTGATAGATGGTGTTAATCGGTGCAACAAGCTCCTCACCCTTTGGCGATACATTTGAACTTTGAATCGCTATGTTCTGAAGCTAATGACTTATGTATAAGAGGTCAATGATCCTAGGTGAAACGATTTTTCTCCTTTTAAACGTTTCGATTTATCTAGCATTGCATCGATCCTCGTGAGCGTTGATCTCATATATTCTATACCTGCCGAACTATCATCAAATGTCCATTCAAAGTGTTTTGGACATTAACTTGAATTGTACCGCCGAACGTATTGTTTACGTATCTTGTATTTTTTTAAAAATAAAATAATGAATATATCCCTAACCCTATGGCGATAAAATCTAAAACTAGGTGAAATAATGCAATCTTCTAAAATAATGTTAAGAGATAAACTCAACATCCATAAATAGCATTTATAAAACACAAAAGAAAAACAAAGGGAAAAAATTGATAAATTCTCTTTCTATTAAAAAATATTCATATTTTGACCTGCAACTTTCCAGTAAGCATTTTCAAGTAGTTCAGACAGACTGATGTATACGCCAAATCTATTGTCGTTTTTTAATCAAAATGTTAATTAAAACCTTAAATGAAGTACGTTAATTCAAGAATGCATAAATGTGGAACATGTATACAATGATGGAACATGATCAAAACTGAATAAAGACTCTATAATATCAGTGTAGCATGAATACAGTTTAACAAATTAATTTCATATTACAGTCAGTAACATAAAAATAAGTTTCTGTGTTCAGAGAAATATTTTTCTTCACATGTTGTTGTACAAGCAATTGGAATTGACCGTCGATCTCCAATTCTATATGTATATCTCCATCTATCTCTCTTTCTAGCTCTCCCTCTCTCTATCTCCCTCCCCCTCTCTCTCTTTCTCCGTATGTCTTATTTCCCTCTCGTTGTCTCCACCGAAATATAGATTCTCTATACTTTCTGTCATCCTCTTCTCATACAATAAAGTTCTCTGTATCCAAACGCTTATAATACTGTTTGACCAATCTTTTCCTGTGTTTGATCTCTTTCTCTCCCTTGCTATCAATCCACCTACTTATCTACTGAGCCATTCTCATCTCATCTCTTACACCTTACCTGCTCAACCTCCGTCTAAGAACCGACCATTTCCTGCTAATAAGGTGTTCTAACTCGTAAATACTCCCTCTTCTCGTCATCTTGGATAGAATTCTTTTTCCTCCTTCTTTGATCAGACACTTATGTCTCTTCAAGTGCTTCGATAGTGCTTATGAGCACGTAGAACGTGAAAAATCCAAACACTATGCTTCCAAGAGATGCCTACTCGGACTAGAGCACATCCCTGTGTATCCTTTGCTCTTGAAGGCTCTTGCCTGGATACTCGGTAACGCTGGTAACGGATGATGCGATCCTCTGGAGATGGTTTGCTATTTGCTCCCGATCAAAGACCATTCTCCAACGACGACCAGCAAACAGAGATGAACTTTCCGACCAGTCTCACAAAGCAAGCCTACCACTACACTAGGTAGCCCTCTCATGTTTATTACCAGTTAACTGCATCAATTACCCAACGCTCTGGTCCCTTCAAAAGTGGATGGGAGAGCGTTTGATTCACTTGAAAACCAACGGTACTTAATAGATAACACTATAAGGAGCAAATATCTTGACCATGCCGCTAAACGCACCAATGAAAGTTGCTCTTTACGCAGAGTATTTCGGTGATTCGGATTAAGGATACCTGCACGATGTTTGATGCTATCAATCCAATTGATTATGGGTCCCTGTAGAATATCAGTTTCCCCTCTCCTATCATTTCCTCACTTCGCGCGTGTTTCCCAAACACCCCTCTTCGAGGTCCGTTCGTTGTCATTAATAAGTTAGTCTTAACATTCAGACGTAGCCTGACTCTTTTCAAACCATGAAAGTTGGGGTATATTAATATCTTGAATCCGCCGAGGTATAAATCAGATCCGAACTAATTATCTTTGGTTCTTTGAACATGCTTCACATAATACTTGTCCTTGATTGATTTAAAAAAAAATTGTAAAGCCCATCGAAATATTGACGGTATGCGCCATATAAATAGGATTTATAATTATAAATTGATGATGATGGTGATGGTGATGATGACGACGAAAGTTATGAATTTAATCCAATTGTTCATTGAACAATTTAGATGAATAAATTTATGCTTCCCAGATCTCAAATGTTTTAAGGCTACATCCATTTTATGGATTTCCTTTCTTCAAAATGAATAGATTGTTGTTTACATTGCCAACTATACCTCAGATTATATCAAACGATGATAAATAGTTTTTCCTGACCCAAGAGTGTAAGTTGACATGTGCGTTTTAACCTACAGTTAATTAGTTCTTGCTTTATCGAAGTCAACGGTGAAATTAATTTGCTTTTTCTTTTTTCTAGCATGAGTGATGAATACAACATATGACGTGTCATGACGATTACAAATGAACATGCATCAGTTTGTCGCCATGTTTACAAACCAATTAGACATGCTAAGCACGTCTTTAGAAAGACATGACGCCGATTTTAATATTAAAGGGCTCCCTCCCCTCTCTCCCTCTCTCTCTCTCTCCCCCCTCTCTCCCCCCTCTCTCTCTCTCTCTCTAGATCTCTCTCTCTCCTCTCGCTATGACTTACCCATTCTAGCCTTAGGACGACGACGACAATTTTTGATGATAGAGTATCTGTCTCCTTTTATTCTCTTATCGACGGTTTCTCTTATAATCTCTCTCTTCACCTCTCTCCTCTCTCTCTCTCTCTTCCCATTATTTCTCTTTCTTTCTTTCTATTTCTCTCCCTCTCTCTCCCCTCTCTCTCGCTATATCTATATATTCCTTTCTCTCTCTATCTCTCTATCTCTCTCGTTCTCTCTCCCTCTACCTTTGTCTCCCCTCCATATATTCTCTTTATCCTTCTCTCCGTTCAAGTTACTATGATCCAAATAAAAATACTTGAAAAGAAAAGCCCCAAAATAAATTTTCGATATACTTACGATTTGGTCATATCTGATCTGTGATTGTCCAGTTCACATGTCTCTCTACCCTCCGGGTCTTTACTCACCTCCCAAGCCTGTCTCGGATTCTACAACAAACAACCAACAAGAAATATAATGTGAGCAATTATTGTTTAACGAGGAACGTGTTAGGAGGGGAAAAACAAGGTATTTTGCAAGAATTTATAATTTCACTATTTGTGGAAACGTCGCTCCAATCGTACGGAAGGAGATAATTCGATCCTGTTTTTTTTTTTTTTTAAATCCTGAGAACCCGTCAATCAAATATCAAACATAAAGTGTAGCAAATGAAATTACCTGTACGCTAATTTATAAGGGACCTATCCCCAAACATTGTGGTCTGTATGGTTAAAATAGGTACGTGGCTATTCTATATAAAATTAAGACCCTCAAATACTGTGAAAGTCGGGCGCCTGGCTTTCCGCTCCCCAGGGAGTGGAGAATGTGCACACATTGCGAGCAGGCAAGCCTGAATCCGATGACTGAGGTAATAAGATTATTTCTGTAAAGCGCTATAGATTTCGTATATATGTATAAATCGTTTTATGAACCGAGAATAAAATTGTTATCATTAGTTTTTCTGCAAAGAGGTATATGTGTAAACACAATCTATATTAGGCCTTTTAGAGGTGTTTTAGTCTAGACCTATGATAAACTCTCAACCGTATAATCTTTAGAAATGAGTCCCTATAATATAGGATTTCCCGGCCAAATTCGAGTGTTTGTCATTCGAATTCATTTACTTTGCATTTAAGTTAGCGCAGATCGGCTTTGCCATGCCAATTATCATTCAATTTTCCAGTTTTTGTATTTAATTTAGGATTTTGGTCGAAGAGTTTCATAGATCTGTCATTCAATTTAGAAACTGCTCAACTAGCATTCAAATTAATATTCACTTGTCGAAGCGTAATTTTTATCATTCAAATTAACACCTATCATTCGTATTCGTAATATTTGTATTCAAGTCAGGAATGTTAGGGGGAAGAATTGCAACAAACTTTTACAGTTTTTAAATAATGTAGTTGAAATGCATGATTTGCCATTGGGGTCTAAGCTGTTATTCCATTTATTTATTTTGAGGACAATGCAGATATGGTGTAGTCAGACATTAGGTAAAGAAGGGGCGAAATCAAGGGATATGGCATTTCTGCACGGACATGTTCATATACCCGGGAAAGGTGGGGGTACCCTCAATCGCCCCTTTTTACTACAGCTCGGAATTTTACCAAAGTAATTCACATCGTCTCTTATACCCGGCACACCCCTCTGTTTTTCTTAAAGAGTTTCATAGTTTACTTTGCCCGCCAGCAGATCGATGGCTAAAGACATGGCTAAATAATGAATCATGTTCAAATTGTTGACTCTAGTCCCTAACCCAGTCACAATATTGTACCCTTCTTCCATAATGAAATTATGATAAAATTATGATAAATTTATAATGAAACATAAGACAAACAACTTCCTCACATGAACATTTACAAATATACTGAGACCATCAAGTCCGTAGATGCAAGCCGTTTTTTTCTTCTTCACAATCAAACTTAAATGCTGATGAATATCAGATAAGTATTAGTGTATAAATGCAAGAAAATAAAGTATGATGAAATACACATGAACAAATAATCTTGAAAGAAAAAGAATGAGCTATAAAAAGTGTGAAATAAACGAGAAATGTATATTGACCATCAATTGAAGTGCACAAAGTGCTAATTTGAATGCTACAAATGAATAAGAATGCTAAAAGTACGTCGTCGCGTTGTCAGAAAATCGTGTTGCGCCAAATCGAATGACCAAATAGCAAAAGAAGCACACTGTTCATTAATTTGAATGAAACATACGTAGATTCTAACGAAAATTCCATAGATTTGAATACTAGAAAAGGGAATATAAACCCGAGATATACCTGACTGCACTAAAACCGTCGAATTTGAACGCAAGACAAATTAATTTGAATGACAAACTCGCGAATTTGGCCGGGAAATCCTTTATAGTGGCTTCGATGACGAGAAAGACCTATCCTTTTGCTAGAGTAATTTAAATTTAGATCAAGCGCTAAGTAATAACTTTACACAGCAATTTCATAAGCTGATTATATTAGAGCCTTTTAGAGGTGTAAAGATCTATAGTATGATAAATTCTCAACCGTAAAATCATTAGAAATGAGTCCTTATATAGGATTTCTCGGCTAAATTTGCGAGTTTGTCATTCAAATTAATTTGTCTTGCGATCAAATTCGACGGTTTTAGTGCAGTCAGTTTATCTCGGGTTTATATTCCCTTTTCTAGTTATCAAATCTATGGAATTTTCGTTAGAATCTACGTATGTTTCATTCAAATTAATGAATAGTGTGCTTCTTTCGCTATTTGGTCATTCATTTGGCGCAACACGATTTTCTGACAACGCGACGGTGTACTTTTAGCATTCTTATTCATTTGTAGCATTCAAATTAGCATTTTGTGCACTTAAATTGATGGTCAATATACATTTCTCGTTTATTGCACACGTTTTATAGCTCATTTTTTTTCTTTCAAGATTGTTTTTTCATGTGTATTTCATCATATTTCATTTTCTTGCATTTATAAACTTATACTCATTAGATTTATCTGATATATATTCCATTTAAGTTTGATTGTTAAGAAGAAAAAAACGACTTGCATCTACGGACCTGATGGTCTCAGTATATTTGTAAATGTTCATGTGAGGAAGTTGTTTGTCTTATGTTTCATCATAAATTTATCATAATTTCATCATAATTTCATTATGGAAGAAGGGTACAATATTGTGACTGGGGTAGGGACTAGAGTCAAGAATTTGAACATGATTCATTATTTAGCCATGTCTTTAGCCATCGATCTGCAGGCGGGCAAGTAAATTATGAAACTCTTTAAGAAAAATAGAGGGGTGTGCCGGGTATAAGAGACGATGTGAATTACTTTTGTAAAATTCCGAGTCTGTAGTAAAAAGGGGCGATTGAGGGTACCCCCACCTTTCCCGGGTATATGAACATGTCCGTGCAGAAATGCCATATCCCTTGATTTCGCCCCTTCTTTACTTTATGTCTGACTACACCCATCTGCATTGTCCTGAATATAAAAAAAATGGAATAACAGCTTAGACCCCAACGGCAAATCATGCATTTTAACTGCATCATTTAAAAACTGTAAAAGTTTGTTGCAATTCTTCCCCCTAACATTCCTAACTTGAATAAAAATATTACGAATACGAATGACAGGTGTTAATTTGAATGATAAAAACTACGCTTCGACAAGTGAATATTAATTTGAATGCTAGTTGAGCAGATTCTAAATTGAATGACAGATCTATGAAACCCTTCGACCAAAATCCTAAATTAAATACAAAAAATGGAAAATTGAATGATAATTGGCATGGCAAAGCCGATCTGCGCTAACTTAAATGCAAAGTAAATGAATTCGAATGATAAACACGCGAATTTGGCCTGGAAATCCTATAATATATAGTGGCTTCGATGACAAGAAAGGCCTATCCTTGATTGATAGAGTAATTGTAACTTGGTAAGCAAATAACTACCGTTAGTGAAGGTGATGGGACAAACTATCACTTCCGAGGCGATCTGGATGTAGCTATCTTTCCGAAGCGAAGCTGAGGAAAGATAGCGTATACATTCTGATCGACGAGGAAGTGATAGTTTGCTATCGCCTGAAACCAAAAGGTGATTATTTGCTTCATATTCCACATCAAAAAACAATTTAGCTACAAAAAGAAAAGGACGTGTATGCATCTACATAAAAGACACCATGCCCAAATTCACACCAAAAAAGTTTAAAAGTTTAACCCAACCCCTTGAGGGTACGGTGGGCGCATGTGTTTGCTTTAATTGCGCTCATTGGTAATGCGCGCTTAATTACGCCTGTTTTAGTGCGCTTTTAAATAATCTTCAGTGAAAGTGCGTTGCCCTGTGTAGATAGTACCTCTATCTTCAGTGAAAGTGCTTGCACTGTGTAGATAGTAGTACTATCTACACAGTGTAACGAACTTTGTGCTTCTCCCATCAATAATGGGCGAACTATCTTTCATCACGCGATTTACTTTTGACCACTCGTAGAGCAAGATTCTTAGTATGTGGAATACAATGCTTAATAACAGTGTTTTTTTTTTTATAAGCTGATATTTGTAGATAAATTTGCTAAAGGTAGAGATGTTAGAGCCGAAATGAAACAGTTGCAAGCCTATGCCTATGCACGCAAACCGTGCATGCTGATATAGGCAAGGCGCTGTGTGTATATAGTGGCTTCGATGACGAGAAAGGCCTATCCTTGATTGATAGAGTAATTGTAACTTAGTGTTAAATAACAGTTTTTCACAGCAATTTGATAAGCTGATATTTGTAGATGAATTTGCTAAAGGTAGAGATGTTAGAGCCGAAATGAAACAGTTGCAAGCCTATGCCTATGCACGCACACCATGTATGCTGATATAGGCAAGGCGCTGTGTGTAAAATTAAATGTTATTGACAAGATGAGCTCTGATTGGCTGTATGCACATGAGTTCATACTGGGGGTCCAGAGCTCAAGTGGGAAAAAAAATTACGCGCCCCGGGATGTGGAGGTGTACCCAGAGTTGGGTGTGTACGGGGGTTTCCCCTACATGCCCGACTCTTCATGAAGAGTGCAGTGACGTGTCTTTGACTGACTCGCGGGAAAAGAGTTTGAGATTGAGCGCAGAGCAATCTTCGACGGAGCATGTGGTGTACAATGTTTCATGTCCCCTTGATTAATCCTGTTTAGCTGTAGTTGTGACACTGACCGTGAAAGAAATATGCAGATGGGGTTAATGCACCATTATTTCATGAAGCAACGTAAATAATGACGTATTTAAGGATTCCGAAGTAGTTTTCATAGTTGTACGGCACAATGAGGGTCGTATTTAACGTTCATAAGAATGACTCTCACTTTTGCCTGTTCGCAGATCAAATAATATCCATCTCTCATCTTATAAACAGAAACATGAGAGAAGCTCGTCAGTTAACGTTTTGTTTAATTGATAAAGAGTAAATAAAGTTCTGGCATTTCAAATTTGGAAGATCATCATAGCAGGTTCACACCGAAACAAAAAATCACTCAGAGACATCGTAGAAAGGGTATCACACGAGGGTTGTTTTAACACCAGAATTCTTCAAAATGCGTCAAGAGAATAGAAAACTATTGATTACATTTGATATTTTAGTATCCAACAAACATTTTATGACCATAAATTATCAGTTTTGTTGTCAATACGTTTTACTTAATTAATATTAGCTTATGGCATCTGATTGGCTGAAATCATATTTGTCAAAACGATTAAGCATTAGTTATTGATAAGGAGTTTTATGACACAGGGTAGGCCTAAACATTGTACTTTCTTAGCGATCGATTGTAGGAATGTGTGGGAGGCGATTGTATCATATCTCTCACCTCCTTTACTCTCTCTTTCTCATTTCATTTTCTCGTTTTTCCTTCCCTTCCCCCTGCATGCGCTTACGCCATCCTCTATCAATCTCAAACTCATCTGTCGATGTCTGATGTGTCCGAGGTTACACAAGGGCCAAGCCAAGCAGACAGGGGTAAGTGCCCCCTACGAAATATTAGCAAGAGGTGCACAAACTGAGAGACTATGAACAAGCGTTCAAAATGTTCAAGTTTTAAAAAATTTGCTCGGTCGTTCCACTCCTTCAGAGAATGTACAATTCAATGCTCCAGTAAACATACACGAAATAATATATCTTTTTTTTTGTTGAGAAAAAGAACGAGTGATATTTCGTGGAATCCCAATATCGCAGAAAAGTGGTGACCAAAAGCCAGACCAGAGGTTGCCAAAGAAATTGTTACAAGCACTTTAGAGGAAAATATTGTATAGTAAAAAAATATGTGATTTTATTGATAACATTGTGCGTCAACTGTATTTGTTCTCACAACTTTATTTTGATGTTTGAATGTAAATAAACACCTCATTAGAGGCACACAAAAAAAAATCATAAATAGGGGATGAAGTGGAGAGGAGGGTCAGATCATAGACCTACTAAGAAGAGAGAAAGGGTTCGTTTGTGTTAATATTATGTTAACATGCTATAACATCTGGTGCATACGGGTAGACTTATAAATCATAACTGGAAATTTAATGGAAAAGAAGAAGAATTTCTAGGATTCTGTCGTCCCTTTAGCTTTAGGACCCCATACCATAGGTCCATACCCCTGGCATTATCACCTATTAAAAGGATTCATCTTGAAATCTGATTCATATCTTCTGTCAACAAACCCCTTTCTTCTAAAAGCATGACGGAAAGCTAGCTTTATACTGCGTGGGTCGAGCCACTGACCCTCAGTAACTCCGGTCTTGGGTTTCGTGTTGTAAAAGCTCACGGTGTTCAATCATTTCAATTCTATTCATCTGCCATCGACAGACTGGTCTATGTCCCTCCTAGGCAATGGGCACGTGGGGAAACCATTGACAGCGTCTGGGGTGACCTTTCAAGTGGTCTAAGCTAATGGTCCGTAGAAACTGTTGGCTCTTGGGTTTCACCAGGTTTCACTGAGAAGATTTGAGAAGACATCCGATCGAAGGCTTGTGTCAACGCGCCAAATTAAACTCACAATGCAACATACTTCATAGACGTAAAGGCTCGATTACATCTTGGGTGTAAGATTTACAGTCTAGTTACAACGGTTGCACCCAGGGGCGTACGCAGGGGGGGGGGGTTTGGGGGTTCAACCCCCCCTTTGGTATTTTTATGTGTGTAAACCCCCCTAAAAAAACCTAACCCCCCCCCTTTGGATTTCTTTTTTTTAATTATTTAAAAAAAAAAAAAAAAATATGTATGCCCACGGCTAACCTAAAAAAGGTGACCTTACCCCCCCCCCCCCCAACGAAGAAAAATGTCAAATTTTCAAATTTCGAGACCAAAAAAAAAAAAAAAGTGTCCGCTTGTCTCGTGGGCTGTCTATATAATCCCAGATAAATCATAAGCAGGATTCTATTTAGTTATCTTTCTTGATTATGTTGAAATATTTGTCTTTACCATGGCAAGATTTTACTAAGCGGTCAGATGGAGGGTGTACCAAAGAATAGTTGATAGTGTATGTGTTGAGAGGGGTGGAGGAAACTGCCAATGTCCATATTTCCTGAAAAATCAGAGAGTACAAAAAATATCTAAAAAAAGAAGCAACTTTTCGGCCCAGAATTTATTTTTCACACACTAAATAAATCAACTTGAAGGTATTTTAGTTATCCATCTTTTGACACCATTTCCATTGGTGATTAGTGGTTTTGATTAAAAATTAATTTGTAAAACTCGATGTAAACACTTATACACATGTGGGCAAAAATGAAATTCTTGTGGAAATTAAAATCTAGATGATATAAAATTCTTTCATATGACATCAAATTCATGGTGGTTCAAGGTTTAATCCTTAAATCATTATTCACAAAATACTATTTTTCATTAAAAGGGCCTAGTTTTGGACGCCCTCTCCGATTTAGGGTGTTCGCTACAAATTATTAAAAAACACCTCTGAAATATTGTGTATCAGGATAAAATTTTTCAAATGGCAGGGAACTCAAAAATGATATTTGATTTCGGCCGCTTCATTCTATTTCGTTGAATTAAATCAAGAGGGGGGGGGGGATTGGGGATTCCTGCAAAGGACTGTCGGTAATCTTTCTTGAGCTTATAGTTGTAAGGAGAACTATAATAATAATAATGATAATAATAATACATATGATTTATAAGGCGCCAAATCCACTTGATAGTCAAATGCTCAAGGCGCAGCTTGTGCAAGAGATGAAATACATACATGATACATATACAAAGTGCGATAGGAAAGGTACAGACATGAAAGGTTATGGTAATCAATTATAAGCTAAATTAAACAGATATTTCGTAAGATTGTTTTTTAACACTTCAGCATAACTGCTATTCTTAATCAATTGAGGGAGAGTATTCCATAATGAAGGCCCAGCATGAGCGAAGGTTCGCTCCCCCACTTTGTTTTAACCCTAGGAGTAACAAGTAAGCCAGAGTATAGCGTCGGTTGGAGAGGATGGCTCGACGTTTCTGCAAATCTGCAATTAAGCGCAAAACTTACGCTTTATTTTGGGATTCGCAATGATCGCAACTTTCTTGCAACGCCCCATAGGTCACTTTAATGAGTCGTGACACTTCACAAGTCAACGTTCATCTAACCAACTATCCTAACAAATGAAACTAAAAGAGGATTCTACTTTTGTTGACGAGAATGACGTTGTGAAGTCGAATGACGGTTGCAAGTGTTTTTTAAGTTTTATTTAGATATATTTATTTAATATAGCTACGCTATATAATTTAATTGTATATGTATTCAACTTGATGGATAAAATTATATCACCATGTCCATATCAACTCAATTGCAACTTATCCAAATAATTCATAAATAAAACAATTTCATACAAGAAAAGTATCAATGGATGTTTATCGGCAAAATAGTATCATGACTCAGTGTTATCCCATTAGATTTGTTTGAAGCTGTAGATTTATTGAGGAGACGTGATGGCTCACTGGTAGAGCAAAAAGTATTTGCCTGCAGTCAAGTAAAACACAATAATCAACCGCTATCTACTGGTGGTAGCGCTTTATTATTTTCTATATTTAATGAAGAGGGCGACCTCAATGTGTGTCTCTACCCTGAGTATTGATCGAATTTACAATGCTATGATGTCAGCAAACGTGTCACATTGTCCTCACTTTTTTCACTCAAACCATGCCGGGGTAGCATGGATCTCTGTGGGCATATCTGATTTTCATTATTTTTAGGGATTGGGGCGGTAATATTCAATTCAATTCAAAGTTTATTCAACACTCTTGATAAAATCATTTAAAACATACATATACAGAATGGAGTTATAAAAAAAACAAGAAAGTGATAACAAATACAATGTCAATTTATAAGAGCATTTGGGATAGGCAGAAAGGAGAGATTCCTTATATAAAAGCCTACCCCTAAAAATACACATACAGTAAAACGAGAACAAAAGAACAGAACAAAAGAACAGGACAGAACGTACTAAAACTTACTATCATGCACGATCAGAATTTAAAAAAAGTGTCAAAATTTGCCCATGCCATTAATACTGATTATTATACTTATTTAACAGAATATAAAAAGTTTTCGGTATCATTATTTATTTAGTTTAATCATCCTTTGGAAAATTTGGGGGGAAAATTTCATCGGCCATGTTTGCTCGCTTGCTTGTTACAGGGATGTAACAAGGGTTGCTTCACCGGGTAGAAGTGGTAGACACTGGCACTGACCAATTCATTTATACAACCCCCCCCCCAACAAAAGGGGGCAATTATTTTTCATTATTTTCTGCACTAATTTAATAGTAATTCACATTTTAAACCTGCGGGAGCTCTACCGCTAGTTTTGGCCTACGTCAATTCTAGGCATGCACTATTGGTCTTGGTTTGTTTAAACTCATTGCTGCGTCTTGATCCGGGGTCTCGATAAGCCAAGTAGATATATCTTCACAAAATACAAGGAGTGGAACTTACCATTATTTTTGACGTTGAATTTTCGAACAAAAAGATATGGTTCCGCAGTCAATTAATACCATCTAGAGTTTTATGAGAAAGGTTGTTCACAATAAATTGGTCACACCAGCAAACACAAACTCTGTATAAGGTCCAAGGATGGCAAGAGCGAAGAAGCCTGAGCGGGGGAGATTCTCCTGAAAGTTCACGTCCGTGTCGAATGGTTCCTTACATAGCATGCGTACCGAGCCTATACACCGGTATCATCCACCTCGACAAATGCTCAAATGTTGAAAGCTGTCCCCCAAAATTTGATCAACTTTGTAAAAGTCTAGAAATAGTTACTTCGTTGGACGAGGATTTACTTTCAAACAAGTTTCAAAGCCTTGCTGGTCGGAGGTAAATTACAGCAACTAGTAAACGGTAGCTAGCTGCAAATGTTCATCTTTGAATGACAAATGGACTTAATTGGATCCTTAAACCTTTCTTATACGTCCAGGAGAATATACTCGACCGGAACGTCAACTTTTTCAAAGCTGGTCAAGCGAAACAACAACGATTGGTCATTCTTGCTGGCAATTTTTTTTACGCAAAAGTTATCAAACCCTAGAGGGCAAATATCCTGCCGTTGAATGGACGTTATTAGATAGCTTTCATTGGCCTTCATAGAAAAGTTGTGTTAACACCGCCTTTTTTAATTCCCTGGTCAAGCGAAACAATATCGATTGGTCATTCTGAATGGTTATTCGATTGCATGATAAATACGGTTAAGAATTAGTACAACAGGATCCCTGAACTGGCTTGACCATTGGTGCACCCTTTCCTGTCAATCAAATAGCTTTACAACCCATGAATAATATTATTCCTCAGTGAACAATGATACTCAATTTTCTTTCTTCCTTTTTTATTGGGGGAGGTAGTGCCGTTCAAGGGCTGAGGTTTTCTTAACAATATATAGTCATGGTGATTTACACATTTTTTGCCGTAGATCCAGTGAACATACAAAAATCGGGACAATTTGATATGAGAATATTCAGACTCCTATACTGATGAGACGGGCTGAGTAAGTATTATATGTATTTGTAATTTCCTGCATTACTATTATGTCAGGCAATTGATACGGTAATGTTAGAAACAGGTCCGAAAGCCTTCTCAACATCTGATAGTAAGGTGTGTGGTTCGACCAGGTGCCGTTAGATCTCATATTGCGCTGTATTGTAAGCAGGTACGATTATCACCTTGAAGGATTATGTACCTGTTGTACTACTCAGAATAGTCGCTCTCAATGTTAAAAATACTATGAAGACAAATCGTCTATATATCTTGCTATAATGAAAAGACAATATAGTTTATATCTGCAAGATGATTTTCAAATTTGTATAATTTTTTTTTCTTATTTCCACGGTACATGACCAATCATTTAGGATTATGCAGCCTTTTCATTTCCATCCCGTGTACTAGTTATATCTCAGTAACATCACAACTAGACTGAGAATTCCTTGGGTAATCCAACATTATTGAAACTGACAGCGTTAAGACAAAATGTCTACAAAGGTACACCACAGATTCTCTTTTGTCACTGTACTCTTCATTTCGTAAAATATCAAAATATTTTGAATCAAAACATTCTGATCAAGTTCAGAGAAACAATTGCATTCTTTTATCGGAGATCTTAACGCTTGAGAAACGATTCCACAGAGAAGTAATCCTTCAAAAGTCTTCTTTGAGACATAAATATAGCTTTCAGGATGCAAAAGCATCCAAAACGATTATCCAACGACTAAGAAAGTATGATGAGTACGACGGTTTATTATGACGAACAGTTATGATGACGACAATTTATACTGATGAAATCATGTTATGATGACGATGAGCTTTGATCATTTATACGAGCATGGCATGGCGAGATAATGATAACGAAGAGCTTCAATGAAAAGAGATATTACAACGACAAACTTTAATAACGGCGAGCTCTTATGGCGACGAGCTTTGGTGACGTCGAGCTATGATGACGATGAGCTTTGGTGACGTTAACTGTAAACGTTTTATAACGAGGACGATTTCAATACACTATTACCAGCCGATGAAGTATTACTACGCTGATCACAGGATCAGAGAATACCATGATGTGACATGAAGCATTCTCTTTCCGAACTGACCCAAAACCAAACTTCGAAGTTGAGGACGAGATGGATATCTGATCTGTCTCCTCCTCCCATGTACTCCTGATTCTTCACTTCCATCTTCTCTCAACAAGAGATGTCACACCAATTCATCATCATTATCCCCCGCAGAGTGGTCGAGAGCTACAGGAATGCTCTCCTAATTCAACAACTCAATTCTATCTCAATTTACTCTCACACTACGTCATGGACGACTTTTAGTTTTAAACTTTTAGACGATGATCGCAATATTATATCGTATGTTGGGATCCAGAAGGGCGTTAACTCGGTGTAAATGATGATAGTTAATATACTACAGGCTCAAAACGAACAATATCCGATATTTGTAAAGGTTTTTAGTCAAGATCAAGACACTCTATAAAGAATCATACGGAGCAGATTAATTAGCATACTTACCACAGTCGCGTAGGCCGGTTGTATGTCATCAAATCCATAAAGAAAGACTTCACTGTTTTGCTTTCAAATTTTGAATAAAATTGCGATGCAACGCACTACAAGAAGGATCGTAAATACTAGTATTTGTGAGTATCGAATCTTCAACAATATGAGGAAAGAAACTGTCTACTATAAACGGAAAGAAAAATTACATAGACAATCCCAATCTAAAACTGACGAATAAGACGATGGGGTTTGATAAAAACACAACGACAAAGAAGGATAATAATAGTTGCAATTAAGTAGGTGACACCCAACTCACAACGCTGACATTGTTTCCTCGGTTCGGCAGTCGGATATCAGGTATCCGATACAGTTCGGTGGGACAAAAGGGTTTTTATGACAGGGTGCAAGGAGAATATAAACACTGAAGTTTGAATTGAAACACGAATATATCCTGAAGTGTCATCGTAGTGTGTCTAGTGAAAATGAAACAAGAAATGTTATTGCTGTTCTGAAACGATCCTGGCCCAAGCTTTTCTCTGTATAGTATGATGCAACATGATATAGGTACAGTGGCGTACCCAGGCCTTGGCGGCTCATCTCAACTAATTGTGATCCATTTATTTTAAAGCCCCCCTAAAAGCGTTGAGAGCCCCAAATTTGATGGCAAAATGTTACTGAAATGCTATCATATTAATGTGAAAGAGAATGTCAATTAAGACAGTTTTGTAAAGATCCCCACCCCCCCAAAAAAAAATTGTTTTTGAAGACAAATACTGATAAAAGAATACATAATTTTGGTTTCCCGTTGTACGCATGCAGGAAACCTAAATTTTGTATTATTTCATCAATTCCTTGCAGAAATGTGTTTTAATTGACATCCTCTTTCACATCATGATACCATTTAAGTGAAATTTTGCCATCAAATTTTGGGGGCTCCCAATACTGTAGGGGGCTTTAAGTAAACAAATTAATCTCTGATGCCTTTTTTCTGGGAGGTGAGGGTATCGCCCAAAGGGCTCAGACTTTGACAGAAAACAAATGTAAAACTATGTAAAAGATTATCTTTCTATATTGTGAGTTTCTTGAATCCGGTCATCGGATTCAGGCTTACCCGCACACAATGTATGCACACTCTCCACTCCCTGGGGAGAATTTGACTTATCTGCTAACTATTTGAGGGAAAATGTCTTGGACAGGAATCTTTCAGGAGGAAAAATTGCCGCTTTGCTCTTCATTCAAATTCGCTAGTATGTAGACGGCCTACTGAAAGGTATAAAAGTATAGAGCAAGTAGAGTAACTGATTTTGTTTGTTTATATCTAACAGTAACGAAATAATTTTTTTAGTGTCATTCTGACAACAGAAAAAACAAGGATTGCGTTTATGGGTATTCTTTTTATACAGATTGGATATCACAGAAATTAATGGAGACCCATTTTCCATTCCGATTTTAGGTAAAGACTGTCTTTTCTTAAGGGTATGCCGTTTTTTTTTTCCAATTCGTGGTTGCAGAGTGAAAAAAAAAACTTTCTCAGCTGGTCAAAATGAATGAAACAACTGGAGCCATGGCAGGTGCTAAAAAGAAAAGAAAAAACCCGAGACAATAAAATTTTCAATGAAAATGATAATAATGAGTGGCATCACATTTAATGTAATATCATCCATTATGGTCACATCGTGTCAAATTGGCAGTGACATGTCTGGTTTATCTGTCTGCTAGGTGAAGATGATCCCATCAGAGAGTCGTCATACTTCTGACAGATGTAAAGGGTTATCACACCCTAAGGCATATTTCGTGATTTCATCTCAATTTTCCTTTCTTTTCATCGATTCTTTGTAAGGATCTTGTTCGTTGAACCCTAGAGGTGAGATGATTTAGGTTCAAGGAGAAAGTATATGACAAGTGCATGTAGATTCTTTCACCTCTTGTCAATTCCTGTTTTAAACAAGAACAACAGAGCCATCCAGGATCACCTCCCTCAGCCATCTAACCTCACTCAGTGGGAGTGCAAAAGTTGAGATTTAATTTTCGATGGACAGCGGTTTTGGGAATAAAATCCGTTCGCTATAGTGGGCGTGATGAGTATAACCTACAGATTGAAATGCTCTTACCCCCCCCCCCCCGAAATAAATATCGACATGCCCGACGATTTCATAACATGATTTATTCATCAATTGGCAAACAATATAATCCAAGCTTCGAAATTTGCATAAATTATTATTATTATTGGCAATAAACACAATTAAATATTTGCTAGAGTATAATACCAACATTATCAGTTTTATCGTCCATTATTAAATTTCATCAACGCAAATCACCAGTACCTGATTTCATTTTTTTGGTTTTGTTTTTTTGCTGTGGAGTATAGAAAGTGAAATGGTCAGAACAACAGTGCAACCTCGTGTAAGGTCGAATGAAAATAGCGAGAAGATGTTGAACGATTTCATTAGGACAATTCAATTTGTCGTAAGTGGGATGATAATTCAAATTCATGCTCTCCTTGGCTGAGAATAGATTGAACATGTAAGAGCCAATTACATCCTGTCAAAAAATAAAGCAATGAACCTATTTACCTACTTAGCCTTAGTGAGAATGAGAGAGTGAATAAGAGAGGGGAGGGAAGACGAGAGAGGTAATTAAGGGGAGAAATAGAGAGGGGTAGAGAGGAAGAGAGAGAGAAAGAGAAAGAGGGGGTGTAGAGAGGAAGGGAGAGAGAGAGAGAGAGAGAGAGAGAACGTGGGAAAGAGATAGAGAGAGAAAATGAGGGGAGTAGAGTGGAAGGGAGAGAGGAAGAGAAAGAGAGAGAGAGAGAGAGAGAGAGAAAGAAGATAAAGAAGACAGGGGGGGGGGATGTCAGTGAACAATGTCACAGATTAGAAATGTTTGACATGTTCAGGCCCCGTCTTTGAAAGAGATGCGGTTGACCAAAATCATTCGAAAACTGACAATTTTCTCCTATTTGCCATTGATATCTATTTCAAGAATAGTTGTGATCGATTCGAGTCAATCACACACTTTACCGTTCTTCTTTTTTTCTTTTTTTTTGAAGGGGGCTTGGGCAAATTTGTTATGTCTACCCTGTGTAAAGCGAGAAAAGATAGAAGAGAAATTCATTGTCCAAGGAAAAGGGGAGGCAAATATTTGTGGAGGTCCCGCCCTCTATTGGCAGAAGTGACCAAAGAATTTGCATAGTTATATTCAGGGACGATTCTAAAAGAATAATTATATTCGGGGATTGCGGGGGATGGGGGGGGGGGGGGCTTTGGGGTTCTCTCTTGCCTCTCTATTTGTTTTTGATCACCCAAACCCGTCTAGAACCGCTGATTAAACATCGACTTACTCATTATTAGACATGATAATCATGTCTAATTTTTAGATCGCAATCATTGCGATCTAAAAATGTTCAGTATGATAACTCCCTAAACCATTGTGGAGTTTTTAAGAAACAATAAATTATTTGTCATCGTCTGCTTCTTCTTGGTAGTAGTTATCGTATATTGTTGATTAAATCGCTTTTTCGTGACAGTTTTCCAGCTATTTATTTTCTTCCAACATAAGGAATATTCAACCATACGCTTTTGAGAGGTTTCACTGCAATTTTTCATCAAGTTCTGAGAAAAGTGGAAATGTATTCTCTTTGTTAGAAACAATGGTTATTTCTTTCTCTCTATAT